CATTAACCCAATGAGACAGGTGAACAATATTCATTAAAGCAGCACATTAGAGATGTCAGGTCTAATACGTCGATTGTCTGTCAGCCCGACACAGCCCAGTCTCCATCACAAATGTTCTCTGTTCCTGGCCTGGGATGTCTCTAAACCTCACTAAATGCCTACGAGCTGAAGTTAGTGGGTGTGCATGATGGAAAAAAAGGGGGCTGGGGCGCGTGAGAGGGGGGAAAAAAAAGGCAATCTGACATAATTACTAGCCCTACCACACCCCCTCACAACGCAGTTGAAATACAGCCATTTAATAATCTGATTCGATACGTCTCGTTTGATAATAATAATCCTTACATTTGATATAGAGCCCTCGAGACATCTCAAAGCGTTTCACAGAATATACTGTAAAGTGAATTGACTGTATTTTGTGGGCGAAACGCGGCAGCCAATTGTGCTTAGTAAAGTCCCACAAACAATTGTGGATTGAGTTACCAAATTATTCTTATTTTACTTGAAGGGATTATTACCCCTGGAAAGCGATCCACCAATCGACTAACAACCGGGTTCCTACTTACCGCTGATAAACAGAGGCGTGTGGAGTAGGAGTAAGGAAACTTGCCTAAGGTTTTGCCCAGACTGGGAATCGAACCCGGGTCCTCTCGCTAGTGAGGAGAGAGCTCTAACCACTACATTACAGGACTCCACAACAGAGATACAATAGAGGATGGGATCGTCCAAAGGACACACACGATATCGAAGCATTCATTCGTGCAAAATGTACCCCAAACTAGTTTCCTTTTGGGAGGAGGGGAAAGGGGGAGGGTTGAGAAAAATAACTTTGATGTTCTTACCCCCCCACCCCCCAATCCGTCAAAGTATATATTGCTTCTTCCAATGTTCTGGGTGTCTCCTGCGGTTTGCCCTCCAGCAGGGTATAGAGAGAGAGGGAGAGACTGACATCTTCTCCCTCTCTATGTCCAATTAGGGTTAGAGGGTATAGAGGACAGAGGCAGGTCCTAATATGTTCAGCGCCCCTTTAAACATTCATGATCAACTAATACATTTTGTGGCTGCTGTCCCTGCCTTCCACCGGGGAGAGGGGGGTGGGGGGAGTTCAGATCAGTTTGGAACATCCTTCAGATCCAAGATCCTTTGATGTAGTCCTGGATTGAACATCTCATCTCCACTGTTACATTATTGAGCTCTCCTTACAGAGAAATGCCCCCCCGCCCCTCCATGCTCTCCCCACTCTCCCCACCGCCCCCACAACCACCGTCAAAACAGAACCGGCAAACTCATCCACCCCAAAATTTACACCGTAATGCAAACACCTCTGTTAAAGGGACCAGGTCCACTTGTCGCATTCCCCCCCCCCCCACCCCCCACTAACTTATTCTACTTGAAGTGACGATACGTTTAAGGTCTGGGTTTTATGGGGTAATTGATTAATTCGGGGAATTATTTATTTGGCTTCGGGTTCGAAAAGAAACATCTAGAAAGAAATACCTGCGCGTCCATCGTGGGTTGTATCAAAGTGTTGTTTGTTTCAATTATTCTCGTGCCAATGAATAAAAGATCGACTGCTTCAATCCGGGATCGTTTATCAGACCTGCCTGAGGCTAGCGGAGTTATCTAGCCGTCAGATTAATGATTCAGGAGCTCAGGTAATGTGCGTGACACTGTTACCTGGACACATCCTCTCTCTCGCTCTCTCTCTCTCGCTCTCTTCTGTGGCTCCAAAGGGTTGTGGGTTCAAGCCCCGCGTCGAGGCTTTCAGCTCACAGTCTAGGCTGACGCTCCAGTGCAAGGGCCGGGGTGTGTGTTGCACTGTCAGGGGTGGCCTTCAGATGAGATGATAAAACCGAGCTCCCCGTCCGTCCCTGTCCACGTCAAAGATCTCACGCAGGATGCGCATTCCAATCCAACAGTGCATCTCTGGATTTTCCATGTGTAGGCCATTCAGCCCCTCGAGCCTGTCCCACCATTCTATTAGATCACGGCTGGTCTGTACCTCAACTCTAAATACCCCGCCTTTGCCCCATATCCCCTGACCTGACTAACATCCATCCACCTCAGTCTTGAAAATTTGAATGGATCCAACTATATTCTACAGCCTTTTGTGGGCTGAGTTTTGGGGGAGAGAGCTCTCCAGATTTCCTTTAGCCTTTGTGTGTGTGAAAAACTGCTTCTGGATTTCACTCCTAAATTGTTTCGCTCTAATTTTAAGATGAGGAGGAACCACAGCAATGGATTTCTGAGTTCAACAGGGAAACACCTACCGTTCAGACTGTGGATCGCCAGGCTGGACTGGGCCGGGTCAGGAATAGTGCCCAATTGGAAGCAAAATACAGCCCCCTACTCTCTGCGAGTCTGGCCTCTCCATGTCTCTTTTACACAGACCCTTCTCCTCTCCTGCCCCACCACTTCCAAAAATAAGCACGTCTATTTTAGTTCTAGCTCTGAGAGCCGGGAATGTTTGTGTGGTGACCTAGATACACCACACGGGAAAGCTATCGCCTGCTGGGAGTTCCCTCTCTCCCGCGTTGACTGTGCCACGGAACGGTAAATAGGAACTTGGGCCAAATCTGAACCAAAAAGGTGGACAAGATCTGTGTCTGTTTTGGTCAATGTAAAGTCTGGTCCAGAGTGCAAACTCTGTCGTACGTTAATCAGTCGTTTCGCGGCTGTTTGCGAGACCTTGTTGTGGGCAAAATGGCTTTCTCGTGCACCTAATATTAACACTTTTTCTTTCTCTGTATCTCTCTTTCTTCCTTTCTCTTTTTCTTTCAGTCACTACACTTCCAATAAAATCCTTCAAGGGCGTGATGAGGTGCTGTATCAAATGCGAGGATTACTTTATTATGATTATAACTGTATGGGAGGGGAACTTCAGTTGGGGGAGGGGATTAGGGAATCTTTTCATTGATGGGGATGGACCTGTGCTTCATAATATGCGTTCTTCCTTGAACGTGTGTGTGTGCGCGTGTGTGGGGAGTGGTGGGGGGGTGCGTAAGGGGTTAGTCTGTCCTTGGACCACAAATATCCTTCCTGATCATGGCGCTGAAATAGCTCCAGTCTGACAGACTCTCAAACCCAGAGTCATGGACCACAAGTATCAGGTTAAAAGGGCTCCGAGGCTGTTAATTAGCGGACAAAGGAGTTAAAGCTTTTACACTTAACCTGGGTTTTATGTCACCAGGGACTGGGATGAATGGAGGCAAAGACAGGGCCTGAAATAGGCTCACACTCTTCCTGCTGTACCCATTATCCTATCTTTCCACCTCCCAGTGTATTGGGGCAAATTCTCGGTTTTATATTTTTCTACTTCTTTCTAAAAAAATACAGTGTCAGCGCCTCACGTTCAAATTCCTCCACGGTCTCACAGACGCCACTCCTGCTTCGCGTTCCTTCCCCCACTCCCTCCCTCCTCCTTCCCCCCGCACTCCGTCTCATCCCCACCATCGGCAAACGAGCTTTCAGCCATTCTGCCCCCAGTGGTGTAGTGCATCTTTAAAGGTCCACCTGAACAGGCACAGACGGGGAGCGAAGTTTAATGTCTCATCCAAAGGATGGCGTCTCCGACAATGTGGCGTCAGCCTAGTCTGTGACCGACCATGGGGGTGTGGGGGGTTGGTAGGGGGTGTGTGGTGGGGCTCGGTGAGTTTGCTATCGTCTGAGCCAGGCTGACACCTGACCTGCATAAGGTGCTGTGCAGGAGAAGATCTTGCAGTGAATGTGAAAGCAAGAGACTCAGCCAAACCACACAGTATATAAAAGCTGGTGCTATTCTGGCAGTGATTAGGAACATTTGGCAGTACATTGCTGATTTTTGTTCTTATTCAGCAAAGCTGAGCAATCCCGTGCTCCGGCCTCTGTCACCGCTGAACATTATTCAAAAGGTCGCTTTGTCCCCAGTGACCAGACAGGGGAACAGAACAGAACATCCTCTTCAGCCGTCAGCCTGGCCTGAAGCGAGGACATGATGGAGGCCTGTAGTGTAGTGGTTAGAGCGCTCGCCTCACAAGCGAGAGGACCTGGGTTTGATTCCCAGGCGGGGCAAAACCTTAGTCAAGTGTCCTTACTCCGCACGCCTCTGTTTACCGAGCAGTAAGTAGGAACCAAGTTGGTCACTTCAATCCACGATTGTTCATGGGGCACTGCTGCATGCAATTGGCTGTCGCTTTTGCCCACAAAATACACAGTCACTACACCTTACAGTATAGTCAGTGAAACACTTTGAGATGTCAAAACGATGTGATAAGGGCCCTATATCATATGCAAGGATTATTATTATTATTATACATCAGAGGACGTCTCAAAGCGCTTTGCGCTACTGGCTGAAGCGTCGCTGACGGGGGGAATGGGGGGGGGAATGATGAACGAAAGCACAGTGATTATGCATTCGATGCAGCGTCTCATCTAGGTCTCTCCCTAGAACTTTGACTGTAAAGTGTAGTGACTGTGTGTTTTGTAGGTGAAACCGCGCCTTAATGAATAAGCACGGCACAAGCCAATTCACTGGGGGAGCATTAACTCTCACACACTGCAGATGCCCTAGATTTCCTGATACTGAATCCTGCGATGACGGAACTTAACAGAACAACCTAATAAAAACCTTAAATCATAGTTACCTTTCCCGCCTTGTTACGGTTTTTACAAGGTTATAACACATCGAAACTCTGCTCTATCTTACGCTGAACCTGTTCCACGTTATTACACCAACAACAATTCGCATTTATATAGCGCCCCTCAAGCAATGGGGAGGGGGGGGGCGAAGTGGAATGTCTTCAGGCATGACCTGAAGATGGAAGGGGCAAGGCGGAGGGAGAGAGGAAGAGTGTTCCAGAGTTTCGGGGCGTATGGCTGATGGTGGAGCTGAGGGACGAGAGTCAAGCAGGAGGCCGGAGTCAGTCGAGCGGAGGCAGAAAGCGACACCATTAATTGGATCAAATTGCAAAACTGATTATGTTTTAAGTTACGTCTTTTTTTAAATAGATTTCTTTTTTTTTTACCTGAGTCTGCATGTTTCTCTATCTCCCTCTGGATCGTGGCTGCTTTTATTCCGTTGTTTCTTTGATGTCCTGGGATCCCGATTCTTCCCAGCCTTTTCCCTCTCTCAGGTACAGGATGTGACTCTGAGAAGCGATCCACCTGAATTGATAGCCATCCCGGCATGCCTTAGCCTGGGAGCTCTCAGCCACTGGTGTTGGTTCCTGCCGAGACACAAGAACAGAAATGTCCTACATTCCACATCGCTCCTCCCCGCACTCCTTGTGTCCCAGCACAGCTCACACAAGCCCTGAATGATAATAACCCTTTGCATTTCATACAGCGCCTTATCACCTCATCGAGGCGTCTCAAAGCGCTTCACGGGATAGACTGCGAAACGTAGTGACTGTGTGTTTTGTGGCGTAGTGTCGGGACCAATTTGTGCACAGCGGAGACCCACAAGCAGCCTGGATGGGTTGGTAGCTTGTGGGCTCAAGCCTCACGTCCGAACTTGCATTCACATCATCTAAGCTGATGCTCCAATGCAGTGCTGGGGGGAGGGGGGTGGGTGTGGGGGGCGTTGTATTTTCAGAGGTGCCGTCCTTTGGATGAGACGTTAAACCGAGGTCCCGTCTGCCTGTCCGGGCGGACGTTAAAGATCCCGCACGTCGCTATTTGAAAAGAGAAGGGAGTTTCTCTCTCTCCCGGTGTCCTGGACAACAATTCCCCCAAATAAAATTGGTCTGTTTGCTGGACAAGCAAACTGGCTGCCTCTTTTCGCTCGCAAAATACACAGTCACAAAATACCCTTTACGATGTGTCCTGCTCAGCACTTTGAGGCGACTCCACGAAAGGATTAGGTGCTATATCAAATTATTATTATTATTATTAAAAGGTCCTTTTGGTCGGATGGTCATCAGGTCGGTTGGAGCGACACAATCGATCGTGGACCGGATTCCCCCCCCCCCTCACATCCCCACATCCCCATCCCTCTCTCTCCCAGGGTAAGTAAGTAAGTAAGTACTTTCAGAGAGCAGTGGTTAGTGGAATGTGGGGGAGGGCAGAAGGTGCCTCTCTCTCTCTCTCTGTGTCTCTCTCTCTCTTTCCAACCGTTATATCTGTGTGTGTAATCACTTCTCCTGCCCATTGTACACAGTGTGGACCCACCATCTGCCTGGTATCTGTCTCCTCCCATGGGGGCTGGAGCATTGTTAAGCCCGGCTCCCCCAAAGGATTAACTTGTACCTTCACAACTAACGACATATTTCAACACAAAAGAGAGATATTAAAGGCTACAGTGTCCAGGGGCGGGGGCGGGGGAGAGGGGGAGAAAAAAACAATTTTATTACAACATCAATCAGTTAAGACGCAGACAAAAAACTAAGGCGGGCGATTTAAAAATGAACATTCAACCCCTTGAAGGGGGGAACTGTGTCTGGGAGAGCGATTGTCCCCCTTAATGTCAGATTTTTAGGTTATTTAGAAATTTGAATTCGCAACGTGACTGAAATTGAGGTCTGTCTTTTCGGCTGCACTTTTTGGTCACTTCCCCCACCCCCCACCCTCCGCCCCCCCCAACCTTCGCTCCGGGTTCCCACCCAACAATGTAAAGGGCGTTGTATAAACATAATAATAATAATAATAATAATAATAATAATAATAATAATAATAATAATAATAATAATACGTCCATTTGATATAGCACCTTATTATGTTGTGGACACAGCGGTGTCCCACAAACTGTCGTGGATTGGGTGACCACATTGTTTTTTGAGGGATTATTACGCTTGAAAAGAAGTAAGTAGGAACCCCCAACCGGATTCCTACTTTACTGCCGGGTAAACAGGCGTGTGGAGTAAGGAAACTTGCCTAAGGCTTCACCCCGCCCGGGAATCGAACCCGGTTCCTCGCGCTTGTGAGGTGAGGGCTCCAACCACTAGGCTCCGGGACTCCATACTTGGTGTGGTCGCTATATCAAATTATTTTTATTGAGTGCAGAGTTAGGGAACAGATTCAATCAGACGATGAGCTCTAGCTGGGCTGAGATGCTGTGGTGGGAAATAAGGCTGAGATGGGGACAAGCACTTGCACACAGGCAGAGCTGACCTATTTAGAAGCTCACTACTTTGTAAATCTCAGCTGGAGCAGGAGTTAGGAGAAAAAAAACCCTACATTTTGCTGCCCTTAGGAAGAATCCTGCCATTTGATTTGACCTCGAAATGTCTCAGAGAGCGCTTCACAGAATCCAGTAACAATAATAATCCTTGCACTTGACACAGCGCCTTATCACGTCGTCGAGACAACAACACCAACAACAACAAGATTCCATTTATAGAGGGCCTTTCACGTCGGGAGGACGTCTCAAAGTGCTTCACGGGGTATATTGTAAAGTGACTTGACTGTGTATTTTGTGGGCAAAACGCGGCAGCCAATTGCGCACAGCAGCGTCCCCCCACAAACAGTCGTGGATTGAGTGACCAAAGGTTTTTTTGAGGGATTTTATGTATTTACTGAGAAGTGCAGTGACTGTGTGTCTTTGTAGGCGAACGCAGGAGCATGTTTACTCACAGCGACTTCCTCCACATACAGCCAAAGTGAATGCCTGGTTTTATCTGATGTATGTGTGGGGGAGTGGAGGGGTGGGGAGTGGGGGGTGAGTGCGGTGGTGTAAGCCCTGGACACGGGGAGAGAGAGAGAGAGAGAGAGAAACTCCCTTTCAAAGTAGAAACGAATAAAATTGACTTTAAAGTCCACCTGAACAGGCACGGACAGGAGCTCGGTCAGGTGTGTGTTTTGTGTGTGTGTTTGGTGAGGGCGGGGGAGATCAAATCTGCTGCCCTAAGGAATCCTTGATCCCTACCTCTGCTGATCAGGCGATAGATAACATTGCAGGTTTTTTTTGAAGCATTTGGTTTTGCAAATATTTGGGGCCAAATGCTCTTCCCTTTTAAGAGGTTCATTGGGAGAGGTGGTGAGTGGGGGTGGGGGTGGGGGTTCAAGAGAACAAGGCTTTGGATGTGTGAATGATTTTGGTGCCTAAATTCCCGCCCACAGACAAACACACACACACACACACACACACTACACACTGAGCAATAATACTTCCCAGCACTCAAGAGTCACAACTGTGGGACTGTGTCACGCATGAGATTTCTGCAGGTTAGCTGGCTTCATTTCCTTTCAATTAACAAGCCTGTCTGTCCGTATGTCTGTTGGGAAGATGACTGAGACAGATAAAGCGGGTGATGGTCGAGGAGACGGGGACACGTGTACAGAGATGGGGGAATTCTGTGAACATACCAGAATGCTATATGCTCTGTAATTTTTCTTGGGCGCTGGTTGGGTGTAGAACAACTGATAAACAACAACATCTTACTGCGTTGTTATCCTGTGTGTCACTTGTTCCAGCTTGTGTGTCATCCCGCAAGCAAGCGAGAGGACCTGGGTTCGATTCCCAGGCAGGGCAAAACCTTAGGCAAGTTTCCTTACTCCACACGCCTCTATTTACCTAGCAGTTAATCGGAACCCGGTTGTTAGTCGATTGGCGGATCGCTTTTCCGGGGGTAATAATAACCCTTTCAAAAAAAACATTTTTGATAAAATAATAATTTGGCTGTTTGTGGGGACGCTGCTGTGCGCAATGGGCTGCTGCGTTTCGCCCACAAAATACACAGTCAATTCACTTTACGGTATATTCTGCGAAGCGCTTTGAGACGTGATAAGGAGTGATATCAAATGCCAGGATTATTTATTATTCTGAAGTGGTAGAAGAGGAGGATACGCTTCTGATTTCCGCTTGGGAACCGCACAACTGTACACATATATATACTCAGCCGCAATCTCAGCGATTCACTCAGACACTAAGGCAAAATTGGTGCCAGCTTTCCCTCTCTCTTTCTCTCGCTCTTTCTTTCCACTGTGTTTAATCTGAGTCATGGTTGAACTCCAACCTTATCGTTATTTAAAAGCTCTTTTGTTTGCGCATTCTTTCCCCTCCTCTCCTCTCCCTTCCTTAAACCGTACAGCAAGCCAGTTGGTGTGGTTTCCCAACCCACACCCACCCACCCTCCTCCCTCCCTCCCCTCGCTCCCTCTATGTGTCTCCTCTCAACCGCGCCAGGGTTAGTGCCTTTCCCGCGAAACAGGCACTGGAGCTGGACTGAGCGGCGGGCAGATCGGCGGGGAAATAGAGGAGGGAATGGGGTGTGTTTGGGAGAGAGGGAGAGGGGGAGAGAAAAAATCCCCCCCCCCCCCCCACCCTCTCTCTCTCTCTCTCTCTCTCTAGCCAACAGATGCTTTTAACCATTGGCAACAGAGAGAGAGAGAGAGAGTTCCAGTACCAGGGAGAGGGCAAAGTCCAGATACCAACAAAAAAACAGCCTCAAAACTTTTTTTAAAGCAATGAAAAGGATTAACATTTTATTGTAAATCAATTGTGTGTATGTGTGTGTGTGTGTGTGTTTTTCTCCCCACTTTAGATTAAACACCAGAATATTTTGAGAGAGGGAGAACGTGGAGTGGGGGGGAGGAGGAGTGGGGGGAGGGGGAGGGGGGGGGAGAGAAACAAAAAATTAAAGTTTTATTTAACTTTGTTCACGACTTTTGATCAACTTTATAGGGGGGATTTTTTTTTAAGGGCAAACGTTTTATAAAGGGAGAGGGGATAACTCCTCCACCCCCCACACCCCCCCCTCCACCCCACCCCTCCCAAAAGAGGAGTTTTTTATATAACGTTGTTCACAATTTTTGATCCCCTTCATTTTGGAGGAAATTGTTTTTAAGAAGGGCAAACTTTTTTTTGAATAGGGGATTAAAAATAGAAAACTCCCCCCACCACACACCCCCCCCCCAAAAAAAAAACAAACCCCAAGTGTTATAGAACTTTGTTCACAACGTTTTTGTTTGCTGGTGGGGTGTGGGGGGGGGGGGGTATTTTAGGGAGAAAACACTTTTAAGAAGGACAAACTTTTTACAGGGGATTAAAAAGAAACCTCACTCCCCACCTCCCAGGGGAAAAAAATAATTTTCTCAGAAGGGGGGGGGGGGGGGGACTTTGGAGACAACTTTTTTTTATATGAATGGGGGGAGAGGGGGTGGAGGAGCATAATTTTGATCAGTATCTGTCTGTCTGAGTGTGAATGAATGAATGAATGAGTGAGTGAGTGTGTGTGTGTGTGTTGGAGGAGGAGTGGGGGGGGTTAGGGGTGGGGGGGGTTAGGGGTGGGGGGAGGAGGGGGTTGGTTTGCATTAGGATTGATCTGCAGTCTCTGATCGATTGCAACTAATCGATCCCTCCCTCCCCCCTCCCCCCAAACACACTCACACACACTCACTCACTCATTCATTCATTCACTCACTCACTCACTCACCCCCCCTCTCTGTGCGCATGCGCCACTGGGGCTACATCCAGTGCCGGGAAATTTAAAAACCGTTTGTGTTGGATTCAAAAATTCAAACAGCAAAGAGAGAGAGAGAGAGAGAGACACATCCACCCACACACCCACACACCCACACACACACCCACACACACACCCAACCACCCCAGAGCCACAGCAACACAGGTAACAAGCACCCCCTCAGCTTCCTCTCTGTCTGTGTGTCTGTCTCTGTGTCTGTCTCTGTGTCTGTGTGTCTGTCTCTCTGTGTCTGTGTCTCTCTCTGTGTGTGTGTGTGTGTGTCTGTGTGTGTGTGTCTGTGTCTGTGTGTCTGTGTGTGTGTGTGTCTCTGTGTGTGTGTGTGTGTGTGTGTGTCTGTGTGTGTGTGTCTGTGTGTGTGTGAAGTCTCGCAGCAAAACCCACCCACCGGTTGCATTCGATTTTGCCAAACACACATTTCAGGCTCTACCGAAACAAATCAAACCGATATTTCTCTGAGCAATATCGAGCAGATTTAGGTTCAGATCCAGATCAGGACAAGCAGACACCCGAAGCCAGTCAGGTACTGCACACACACACACACACCAAAAAAAAAGGGAGTTAAGTTGTCTTTTCCTTCTCTTTTGTTTTGCTTTAATCTGGGTTATAAATATACTTTGTTGTTGTTGGTTACGTGTAGAAGAACTCATGTGCGTTGCAATTGGGAGGAGAGAGAGAGAGAGAGAGAGACAAGGAGAGGAAATAGCTCCTCATCAGATTATTGTTGTTATTTATTATCAATGCTTTCTGAGGGAGGGGAGGTATTAATAATAATAATAATACTAATAGTACCTGGTGAGGAGGAGAGAGGACTTGTTGCTGGTTAAGGGAACACATGCTTTATTATTTATTATTACCATTGCTTGGTGTTTCTCGTTCTTTGTTGCTGTGAGAAGGTGCATTGAGTAACTTTGTAAGTGGGTGTAAGTTTGTGTGTAACAGGCACTTATGTGCCTCTCTCTCCCTCTCTATTCCTGAAATGTTGGAGAGCTACAGTCCTGGTCACCACAGAATGGGGAGGGGAGAATACCATATCATTTCTCTGTGTGTGCAACCCCTCCTCCCTCTTTATTATTTCTTTAAAGGAGATGATAGAAAACGAGATCAGATCTGAAATGTCTGGGATTTTAAGGACAGAGCACAGTTCTCAACACCCAGCACAGGAATACAGGTAAGAAGTGAACCCCCCCCCACCCCACCCCCACCCTCCCCTCTCTCCCTCTCTCTCTCTCTCACACACACATTCACTTTATTGTCTTTCACTGTAATAATTTAATATATAGATAGAAATGATGCATTACTTATTTTTAAACAGAAAAAAAATCGAAGCCCAAACCCACAGGATAACTTGTTGTGTGTTCCTCCCCCCCCCCCCACCCCCATTGCAACTTTTTTCCCCCCTAAAAGTTAAACAGTGTTTTTTTTGGGGGGGGTTGGAGGTGGTGTGAAAGGGGAAAGTTTCAGATTATTTAATTAAAAGTTTGATTTGATGGCTCTTATGTGGAAAACATAAGTTTCAACTCATTCAACCGCCCCCCCCCCCCACCACCCCCAGTTCAGATAGGCAGGGAGAGAGGGGGGGGGGGGGTAAGGGGGGAGAGGGGGGGAGAGAGAGGAGGAGGGAGATAGAGAGGTAGAACTGTGACCCTCTGATAGTAGATTTATGTGGCTGGGTTAAACTTGACCTAAATGTGAGTTCCGTGGGTTATCCTGATGTCCTTTTTATTTTCCTGTTATGTGTGTGTGAGAGAGTCTGTGTGGCTACCACAGTGAGTGGCTACTAGACTGGGCTGCGTGGCTATCACAGTGAGTGGCTACTAGACTGGGCTGCGTGGCTATCACAGTGAGTGGCTACTAGACTGGGCTGCGTGGCTATCACAGTGAGTGGCTACTAGACTGGGCTGCGTGGCTATCACAGTGAGTGGCTACTAGACTGGGCTGCGTGGCTATCACAGTGAGTGGCTACTAGACTGGGCTGCGTGGCTATCACAGTGAGTGGCTACTAGACTGGGCTGCGTGGCTATCACAGTGAGTGGCTACTAGACTGGGCTGCGTGGCTATCACAGTGAGTGGCTACTAGACTGGGCTGCGTGGCTACCACAGTGAGTGGCTACTAGACTGGGCTGCGTGGCTATCACAGTGAGTGGCTACTAGACTGGGCTGTGTGGCTATCACAGTGAGTGGCTACTAGACTGGGCTGCGTGGCAAGTGCAGTGAGTGACTGTGTGAACAGTGAGATAAGAACGTGGAACCAGTAGCTGAACTCATTCATACTGATTTTCTGTGGGGTTCATACAAGTGTCACGTAAAATAAACGCGATGGAGTGGTGATGATGGTGGGGAGGGGGGTGCGGGGGGGTAGAGGAATTTAACAGTAGTGGGAGGAGGGAGGAGGGAGCCTCACAGACATGATATAAGAAAAGCCAACAACGATTTAAAGTGACAATACACTTCCTTCCCCTCAATGGAGGGATCCATCGAAATACACAGCTTGTTTTTTTTNAAGTATCCTTTCTGGTCAAAACATCCACGAAATAGTTAGTTAATGTTTAACCCCTCAATAATAACAATAATAATAATAATAATAATAACAGTAATAATCCTTGCATTTGATACAGCGCTTCATCACGTCGTTAAGACGCCTCAAAGCGCTTCACGTAATAGTCCGTAAAGTGACTTGACTGCATATTTTGTGGGCGAAACCCGGCAGCCAATGGCGCACAGCGGCGTCCCCACAAACAGCCGTGGATTGAGGGACCACATTATTTTTCTTTGCACACTGGCTATTCAAAAAATGTAAAGTAAACAACAACACACGACATTTACACGGAGCCTTTCGCGTCGGGAGGACGTGCCCAGGCCCTGGACAGTCAGGGCTTTGGACCCGAGCTGGGGGTTGGGATCAGGAGGTGGGGGGGGGGGGGGGAGAGGGCAGGGAGTTTGGGTGGTAGGAGGGTGACCGAAGGCACGGTTCAAAGAGGAAGGTCTTAAGACGTGCTTTGAAGGAGCAGGCGAGGGAGGGTGGGGGGCGAGGCGAAGGGACTGTGGGATGGATTTCCAAAGGGTGGGGGCAGAGAGGCTGAAAGCCCGACTGAAGATGGTGGGACGGGCGATGGGAAGTGGAGCAGGAAGTGGCCCTCTGAGCAGAGGGAGGGGACAGACTGACGTGGAGTTAGCAGGTCATAGACTGTGTCACTGTGACTGTGTGTATTTCGGGAGCGAACCCAGACAGGGTGGGATTTCTGCCCCAAATCATCCCCCGCCGTTATTGATTACGGCTCGGAAATTCACGGCGGGCGCCGGAGTTCCGGTCCGCGACGCTGCGGAGTTAAGAGACGACAAGGAATTGTTTAGTGACACTGCGCCACGTGGTCACATCACCCCCTCGCTCTGAACGCACCCAAATCGCCCAACTTCAGAGGAGCCACAGCTCGGTCACTCTCCCTCAGCCGTGTTACTGAGAAGCACTTTATAACGACAACAACTACTTGCATTTGCACAGCGCCCTTCACACGAGGCAGTGTCTTGGCGCGTTTAACAACGATGGAGCCTGAGGGGGGCAGGGAGGGAGGAATGCGCACGGTCGAAGAGGAAGGTCTAAAAGTGGGCAAGGTAAGGGCATGGCGGAGGGGCCGGGGGAGAGTTCCAAAGCTACTTTTTTGGGGGGCACAATTGGGGTGGGGATGAGATCGTAGGGGATAGGTGTGAGGACACGGGGAAAGTGGGAGAGAGGGTGCAGTTTGCGGGACACTTTATTCAGGGAAGCAAGTGCCCCTTTATACGGTGATAGAAGAAGCCTAAGGTTCATTTCTCCCTGTCGTGTTCAGTAACGAACCCGTTTTTTTCCCCTCCCCGCTGGAATAGTGTACGGAGATTAAAAGGCGACGTTCCCGCCAGAGCTCGCCAGAGAGCGATCAAGAGATTTTGGTCCGTGAAAGAACATGCGCAGCCCGAAGGGGTTAGTGCTAGCCTGCGTTCACCCCTGCGATTGTATTAGCACAGAAGCAATGTCCATCAGGATCGCTTTAAAAGAAAACGGTTACAAAGAATGACTTTGATCCCTTTCTTGTGCACTTTATTTTGGGGGACTGGGATGGTAGGAACTACTGAGACCAGCAGTTCTGGGAAGGAACTGGATTCAAATGCTCATTGAAGTATCCCCCAAGGACCCTGTGAAGTGTAGTGGTCAGAGCACTCACCTCGCAAGCAAGAGGACCGGGGTTCGATTCCCAGCCGGGTTCAGGGTGAAACCTTCGGCAAGTTTCCTTACTCCACACGCTCCCTCTGTTTACCAGCAGTAAGTAGGAACCCGGTTGTTAGTCGATTGGGGGATCGCTTTTCCAGGGGCAATAATTCCTTCAAAATTTAAAAAATAATAATTTGGTCACTCAATCCACGGCTGTTTGCGGGGACGCTGCTGTGCGCGATTGGCTGCCGCGTTTCGCCAGCAAAATACACAGTCACTACACTTTACAGTCTATCCCGTGAAGCGCTTTGAGTCGTCATTATTATTATTATTCAAATTCTCGACGAGGGGGCCCGAACCTGCAACCTTCTGACTCAGTGGCGAGAGGGCAACCGACTGAGCCAATAAGAATATATTTGGACATGAGTGGAGCTGTCGGATTGTATCACCTGCACTTGTTTACAGGCTGTCACGTTGCTGGCTGGAGTTTGCAGACAGATCTGGGGGTGGGGGGGGGGTCCAGGGTCATTCAGGAGAAACAGTCTCCAATTAGTCAAGTGTTTTGGTGGGAAGATAGCGGAAGGAGACAAAACAGTGTCTGGGAAGTGCTCAGAATTTGGTCAATTGTTTAATCGGACAACACGGGGCAAAGGAAAGGAACGAGACTGGAATTCGCACAGGCCAGGGACACACTGACACACTAGTAAGTTGTCTAAACGACGCGCCCTTGAACTCTGAAACATTTCTAGCTGCCCAGAGAGAATAAGACGTCAAAAGCGCCTCACTGGATATTTTACTGTAAAGTGTAGTGCCCGTGTATTTTGGGGGCAAAATGATGGATGCTTTGAAGTAATAATAATAATAATAATAATAATCCTTGCATTTGTGATGTAGCAACTTATCACGTATTTGAGATGCCTCAAAGCGCTTTACAGAGTATATTGATTGACTAACAAGCGGGTTCCTACTCGCTGCTCGGTAAACAAAGGCGTGTGAAGTAAGGAAACCCGCCTAAGGTTTTGCCCAGGAATTGAACCCAGGTCCTCATGCTCATTCCTCTTTGTTTTGAGCTCATTTTTAACCGTGAGAAACTGCAAAACTGTGAAGATCGTCTTATTGTATTTTACATCACAAGAGAGGTTTGGGTGAAGAAACCTGGGACTTTGTTGGGATTTCGAGCTCACTGTCTAGGCTGATACTCCGATACAATGCTGGGGGGGGAATTAGACTTCAAACTCCCCCCCGTCTGCACCCCTTGTTCAGATGGATGCTGAAGATCCCAAAAAGAGAAAAAAAGTTTCTCTCTCCGGTGTCCCGGCCAACAATCCCCGGATAAAAATTAGTCATCCACTTCATGGCTATTTGTGGGACATTGCTGTGTGCAAATTGGCTGTTGTGTTCACCTACAAATACACAGTCACTACACTTCATGGCGAAAGCTCCAAAGCACTTGAAGGTGTGATAAGGAGCTATATCAATTGCAAGGATTATCCTAATTATATTATAACACCCAACCTCGCATCAAGCATTTTCTTAATCAGTCCCTCATTGAGGGTGGCCTCAACTACTCTCCCGGGTAAGAAAGTGACTAGACAGAGGTAGTTAAAGTGGTAGGTGTTAGCATAACCTGTGTAAAGACAGTGAGGTGAGGATGTGTGAATGCGGAGGGTGAATGATTTGGTCTTTCAGTTCTTGAGTTTCCTTCCTTTACAATTTCCTTCTGACGGGACTTTAAACGAGCTCCCGCCCGCCTGTTCAGGTGGATGTTAAAGGCGTAATTGATTACCCTCTGGGTAAAGAAAAACTTCCTGGTGTCAGCCCCGAAATTGCCCTTTACTACTCTAAACTTATGTCCTCTTGTTTTACGCTTGTTACATCCTAAAGTATAGATCTGTGTTTATCAATCGTGAGGATTAATATTATCTCCTTACAGCGCTGGTTGGGATTTTATGATATAAAGGGACTACACCCTACTCTAGAAGATATAAGCTAATTACTACTTCCTAATTATCTGAAATCGATGCCCTTCAGTTACTGACTCACCGACCAGTGAAAATAACTTCTCCCCCTTTGACTCTATCATACCCCCTCCCCGTCATTCTAAAGACCAAATTAATTTCACGATGAGGAAACGGGAAGTATGTCACCCCGACCTGTCCTCCGACACAATCTACGTTCGAGCGGACTTCCTGCGGGTCGCTGTGACGCGCTTCCTGTTAGCGGAGTGCGCCCTTACTGCTCGGGCTCCGGATTAAGGAATCCCGTTAAGACAGCACTGTGTGTGAGACCCCAGCCTGGCTGGTCCGAGCCAATACAAACGAGATGGTTCGGAGATTCGCTTCCTAAAGGGAATGCCTCCCAAGAGGCGGAAAAAAAGGGGGGGGGGGGGGGAAGACAGAGAGGCGGGAGGGAGCTGAACAGTTATTTCACCTCCTTAAAGTTTGCATAAACTTGCTTGGGAGGGTGGGGACCGATTGTACTGATGGGGTGTGTGTGTGTGTGTGTTTATGTATATTTGTGAATGTGAGTACGCGTGTGTGTGGTGTGTGTTCATGTATTTGGTTGTGTGTGTGTGTATCACACAATTGGCTGCCGTGTTTCGCCCACGAAACACACAGTCACTCCACTTCACAGTGTAACCCGTGAAGCGCTTTGAGATGCCTCGACATCGTGATAAGGTGCTGTGTCAAATGCAAAGATTATTATTATCGTCACCTTTGACCCATCCAACCGGACCCGGGGGTGGGGGGGGGTGGGGGGCGAGGTGGGGGGGGATTTAGAGCACATTAAGTTTCAATTGTACAGCAGGTTTGTCAGGGTCTGGTGGGTGGGGGGGGTTGTGTGTGTGTGTGTGTGTGGGAGGGGGTTGGTGACAGATGGCATTTGATGTCTGTTGGGTGCCGGCTGTTACTTGGTTTGAGGATTAACGCAAAGTTTGAAGCCGGAGAGAGGAGAGGAGGAGAAGAGAGACGGAGGGAGGGAGGGAGCGGGTAGGGATGGGGGGGATGGAACGAGGGGTTGTGGGGAGTGGACAGTTAAAGAGGCTGTGAGAGAGAGAGCGAGAGAGAGCGAGAGAGAGGGAGAACAGTGCCGCGTGCCACTAGAGTAACCGTTTGCACAGACAATGGACTATCAGCTTTCAATGCACGGGCCAACTGCTCTTGTCCGCCACCCCCCCACCCCTCCTCCTCCTCCGCCCTCCCCCCCCCCCCCCCAACCACCCGCAGACTTCAAATTACTCTCTTTCTCTTGTTTTCGTACAATTTTGGCCAATTGTAACTGCGGACATGTGTCACCTGATGCCTTCCTTGTCTCTCCGCTCGGCCAACGCAAACTAACTGACTCCTTCCCCCGTCCCCCTGGCAACTCCCCACTCCCCCCCCCCACCCCCGGCTTTTATTGTTCTTTTAAGTGGGCGTCTGCATTATTAATCACTGGGATTCTGTAACTACCGGCTGCCCCTTTGAATATTTCAAACTGCTGTTTTTTTATTGGCCTTTTTTTTGTGTATAAGGAGGCAGCGCCTGTGCGTTCGTGTGTGTATGTGTGCGTCTGTGTCCGTGCGCGTATCTGTGTGCGTGCGCGTGTATCTGTGTGTGGGTGTGCGTATATTTTCTGCGTGTATCTGTGTGTGTGCGTGTGTGTGTATATATCTGTGTGTGCATATATTTGTGTGTATATCTGTGCGTGCAGCCCTGTGTATGTGTATCAGGGCGCTTAGCTCTTGTGGGTATTTATGTGTGCGCGGGTTTAGCAGTCTCTCTGTGTACGTGTCTATCCCTGTCTTTATCATTCACACAAAAGGGGTTTAATCCCGCTCTTGACACAGCCCGCTAAATATTCTGCAATAATATAAAATTATTGCATTGGTGACTTGGATCTGTCAAAGCTCCAGGGCTGATGGTCCAGGCTTCATTATACTGTCTCTCTCTCTCTCCTTCTCTTTCCCTTCCCCTCTTCTCTCTCTCTCTCTCTCTCTCTCCTTTTTCCTTCTGTGGGTACCAGTTCCATGGGTGCCAATCACCTTTGTGTGCCGAGCCCAAGTGCCCTGTATTAATGTGAATATCAGCAGTGAGTAATGAAGACAAGTTTTCAACCATGGGAGTGTGTGTGTGTGTGTGTGGGGAAGGAGCACAGACCAGAGAAGGGAGTTCTTCTTTCTCTCTCCTCTCTCTGCCCTCCCTCACCTGACACACATACACACACTCACATTCCAGCAGAAATCTCAAGATTGGAAAATCCTGTCTGATTTCGTCACCGCAGCTCAGTGAGGCTCAGGCCAGTGAGGCTGAGTTCAGTTGTGCAGAGAGCCCCAGTGTAGGGTGGACACTGAGTGAGTTGAAGTGGGATTCAGAAGGTTGTGGGTTCAAGTCCCCCTACATCAGGACCTTGAGCTCACAGTCCAGGCTGACACTACAGCGCAGCACTGGGAGTGCATTGTATTGTCAGAGGGCACCGTCCTTCAGATGAGCTCCCAGTCTGCGCCCTGTTCAGATGGACCTTAAAGATCCCTTGGCACTACTTGAGAAGAGAAGGGAGTTTCTCTTGCTGCTGTCCTGGCCGACAATCCCACCGCATCAGATCAGCATTCACCTCAAGGCCATTTGTGGGACACTACTATGTGCAAATTACACGGTCAAACCACTTTTCAGTGTACTCCGTGAAGCGTTTTGAGACGTCTCATTGACGTGATAAGCAGCTGTAGCAAATGCAAACATTATCATTAGTCACTCCACTTCATGTTAAATCCTGTGAATCACTTTTGGACATCCTCCTAATGTGAAAGGTGCTGTACCAAATACAAAGATTATTATCTATATCCTATCACCGTAAAGCACTCCAAAATGTTAATCTATGTGAGGGTAACTGTCTGTCATCTCTTGTTCTCCACCCACTTCTCTCTTAAAATCGATTGGACTAACAACCGGGTTCCTACGCACTGCTGGGTAAACAGAGGCGGGTGGAGTAAGGAAACTTGCCTAAGGTTTCTCCCTGCCTGGAAAATCGAACGCGGGTCCTCTCGCTTGCGAAGCAAATGCGCTAACCGCTACGCTTTACGGGTCACGAGTGCCGAGCAGTGCGGGAAGGTGGCAAAGAGGAGCGGTGGCAATGTGGGTTTAACACTCACAAAGGATCGGGGGAACGCTCATCTGCCCTGAAAGCTACCAGTCCTTTCAGCTTCGCTGATCCTCGTCCATAACTGCCCATCGATCCTCATGTGTGCCGAACTGCGGACTGCATTTTAATGCAGTTGAAGTGAAAATTGATAGCTCCCAGGGGAACGAGGGAGGAATAAACAGGCTTCTGTTGGGGTTGCAGACAAAAAGTTTTGCACCTTTGAATAAACGTCACCTTTCTCTGTCTCCAGGCCCGGCCTGGTCAGCCCTGACCCCACCCAGCTGAGCGAGGATGACCTCCCGAGTGATCTCCAGTCGCTGTCCTGGCTGACCTCTGTGGACGTGCCTCGCTTGCAACAGATGGCCACCGGCCGCATGAACTTTAACCTGGGATCGCAAAACGCCACACTCACCGCTCAAACAGGTGACGGCCAAAGGGCGCAGCGGAACATTCCGGAATGGAGTCCGACACAGATGTTCTCCTCCAGCTTCGATTAGCTTAGTGGGCCTCACTTCGGCGAACCGAGCTGAGTCAGCCCGACACCAGCCTGGCTCAGAGGGTAGCGCTCTCGCCTCCGAGTAGGTTGGTTGCGGGTTCAAGCCCCGCAAGCCTTCTGACTCGGAGGTGAGAGGTCCACCCACTGAGCCGAGCTGACCCACAATGGGGGCGGGGGGGGCGAGGGGGGAACAGCGCAAGGTACACATTGTCAAAGGGGGAGGTGGGAGAAAGAAACCAGTAAAACAGACGAGAGAAAATTTCAACTCTAACGTTGAGTTTTGTCTCGATAGCAAAAGTTTGACTGTCGGCGGTTCTGACCTGCCTCTCCTGCTGCTCGGTCGTTGCGGCCGCTGTTTAACGGCTTCTCCTTTGTGTCCGCAGGGCTGGTGCTGAACATGTCTAACATGTCTCCGGCCGCCGTGCAGGGAGCCATGATCCACGTCCAGGCGTCCATGCAGCACGGCCTCCTGGGAATGAACAGCGTGGCACAGAATGTAAGCCGTCGTTACAGGGCTTGGACTGTGAAGTGGGATGGACTGTTTCTCTCTCTTGGTATCCCAGCACTGCATTGGGAGCGTCAGCCCAGACTATACGTTTCCAAGTCCCGACGTGGGATTTGAACCCACAATCCCCCGACGCCGAGAAACACAAAACGGGGCCGAGGCGCAGGGGTTGTGGCTGGAAGCTTGCTTATTTACCAGACTCCTTTCTCTCTTCTCATTCCAACCAGATTTCCCAGTACTCGGTGACGGGGCAGCACCACACTGGGTTTCAGACACAACCATCCCTCTACCAAGCTCACTCTCAACAGCTGTACAGCCTACCTCCATCCAGCCAGCAGGTAACACACCCAGCACATCTGGAGCGCTCGACTAAACCTTCAGAGATTCCATGTGGGCAATTAGATAAATTTACTTGGGCGTAATAGGCACTTGGGCTCATGTCAGAAACCAATGGGCCATGGAGTCCTGTAGCATATTGGTTAGGCCTACAATATGCGTTGAGTAGAGTGTGTAGCTATTATAGGAGATGTCTTTTATTGCATTCGTGAAAGACTGTCACTGAGTTGATGTGTGTAACCGTGTGTATGGCGTGATGTAGTTAGAACATCTCACATAGACCTACGAAGAAGGATTTGATTCTATCTCTAACTCTCTACATCTCCTCCCTCTACAGTGTTCTCCTGGCAACATCTACAGCCCGTCCTACAGCACTCAGTCTCAGTACTCCCAGCCCCGGCTCGCTCCTCACAGCACCCAGGACCTCCAGCCCAAGACCTACCCTAAACCCATCTACTCCTACAGGTCGGTGAGACTTGGATTTGAATGTGAATTTTCACCAAATCAAAGAGAACTGTTAAAAAAAAAACCTGATCCCTTTAGTTCAACGAAACTCGTTTGGCTGTCAAAGGCTGGGCCAGGGATTCTTCCCACTCGACTCCTGCTCTGACTTGCTCTCATCTCTACCCACCGCCTTCGCTCGGCTGGCTCAGGTCTCCTGCAGGTCCCTCGTCCCCTCCGCTCCACCATCGACCACCGTGCTTTCAGCCACAACCCCCTGACCCTCGGAACTCAATGCCTCCAAAAAATTTGGTCACTCAAATATTCTGTGAAGCGCTTTGAGATTTCTCAACGACGTGATAAGGCGCTATATCATATGCAAGGATTATTAACGTTAGTGCCTTGTGATTGACAGCTGTCTGATCGCCATGGCTCTAAAGAACAGTAAGACCGGGAGCCTTCCCGTCAGTGAGATCTACAGCTTCATGAAGGAACATTTCCCCTACTTTAAGGTAAGAGATCACTGCACACGTCCCTTTATGAGTGCTTAAAGCACTTAATGCTCCAGATTAAATTGGTCATTCACTTCATGGCCGTTCGCCACGACGTTGCTATACACAACTTAGCTGCCACAAAACACACGGTAACAACAACAACTTGCACTTCTACAGCACCCTCCACCCAGGGTAGCATCTCACTGCACTTTACAATGTATACTTTATAGTGGAGTCCTGTAGCGTAGTAGTTACAGCACTCACCTTGCAAGCGAGAGGAACCCGTGTTCGGTTCCTGGCCAATAGGTAGGATCCCGGTTGTTAATCGATTGCCGGGTCACTTTCCAGGAATAAAAATCCCTTAAAAAAATAATAATAATGATTTGGTCATTCAATCCATGACCAGTTGTGGGACGCTGCTGTGTGCAATTGACTGCCGTGATTCGTTCACAGCAGTTACAGTCAATTCACCTTACAGCTAATCTGCTCACAGCAATGTTCCACAAAAAGCCACAAGGCGGACGACCAATTTGTATCTGGGGGACTGTCAGCCGGGTCACTGGGACAGAGAAACACCCTTCCCTTTTCAGCTAGCTCTGCGGGATCTTTAGTGTCCACCTGAACAGATGTGAGACCCATCAGAGACATACATCTCAGACCAATTCCTCCTCACCTCCTGCAGAGAACACTGCAGCTTTGGTTCAACATCTCACAGCACGTCTGTAATGATTCCCAATCCAGGTAAGTAACTCTTTATACTCTACATGCTTACTTAACTCACATAGTTATGCAATACCCTAACCATCAAAACCACTACCCTTTGGTTCCCTTCCTGCTGCCGTATCATTGGCGTTTAATTCCTTAATTTCTTAATTGCCATTTAACTCCTTAAAGCAATGTCCTACAATGATTACAGCCGAGGGTGGAACTCCACGCAGGCCCACAACATTTACCACTTGCCACCGGACAAAGGAAACATACCTTAGTTGAGTTCTCCCTGTGCTAAGTGCTGTTGCCTCTGTTTCAGACGGCCCCGGATGGCTGGAAGAACTCGGTTCGGCACAACCTGTCCCTCAACAAGTGCTTCGAGAAGGTGGAGAACAAGCTGAGCGGCTCCTCCCGCAAGGGCTGCCTCTGGGCCCTCAACCCGGCCAAGATCGAGAAGATGGAGGAGGAGATGCAGAAGTGGAAGCGCAAGGACCTGCCCGCCATTCGGAGGAGCATGGCCAACCCAGGTACTGAGCAGAGAGAGAGAGAGATAGCACTGATAGTCAACAGTGTCTGTCTGTAGCGCCCAATGTCAGTCTCGAACAACAACAAGTTACATTTGTATAGCTCCTTTCACGTCGGGAGGACGTCCCAAGGCACTAATAGTTTCCAACACCCAGTGCAAGTTTCCTTACTCCACACGCCTCCGTTTACCTCGCAGTAAGTAGGAACCCGGTTCGGGGGGGGGGTAATAATCCCTGAAAATAATAATAATATGGTTGCTCAATCCATGACTGTTTGTGGGACACTGCTGTGTGCAATTGGCTGCTGGATCCGTCCACACCATCAAGAGTGAGATTGGTAGATTTTTGGTAGGTCAGGGTATCAAGGGATATGGGGAGAAAGGGGGTAATTGGAATTGAAAGGATTAGTTGAGGCACAGATCAGCCATGATCCAATTAAACGGCGGAACAGGCTCGGAGGGCTGAATGGCCTACTACTGTTCCTATGTTTCGCCCACAAGGTACAGTCAATCCACTCTACAAAGACGTCTTAACAATTTGACAAGGCGCTATATCAAATGCAAGTATAATTATATTCTATCGTCTTGTTTTCAAGCCTGATGTGTTTACTTTTCTCTCCGTGCAGATGAACTGGACAAACTGATCTCCGACCGACCGGAAAACTGCCGCAGGGCGCCCAAGCGTTCCGAGCGGTTGGGGCAGACTGGGGGACAAGTGAGGGGCACGCAGGGGGGTCTGTCGGGATCCCACCTCCCTCACCAGGCAGTGGCTACGCTCTCCCTGCACTCCTTGCCCCTGCACCATCACCACCATCACCTCCAGCAGCAGAGAGAGTCTCGCGTGTCCCCTGGTTCCCCAGCGCCAGCCCAGACACCCCCACTCCACACCGTGCCGGACATCACCTGCAGCCCCCTATCCCAGCATGGAGCCAGCGGCCCCCACTCCGAGCTCTTCTGCCTGACCACAGACACCAGCACTGACGTAGACACCCTCGACCCCACCATCATGGACTTTGCCTTGCACGGTGAGTGAGATAACACACACACACAGGGTTGATAAGTGCATGGTAATAACACTAATCCTTATAATAATTATAATGATAATAATAATTCTTGTAACATATAATGCAGCACCGTGGTTAGCGAGCTCACCTCGCAAGCGAGAGGACCCGGGTTCGATTCCCGGTCGGGTCAGTGCGAAACCTTAAGCAAGTTTCCTTACTCCACACACACGCCTCTGTTTACCAGCAGTGAGTAGGAACCCGGTTGTTGGTCGATTGGCGGATCACTTTCCGGGGGTAATAATCCCTCCAAAATAATAACTTGGTCACTCAATCCACCACCGTTTGTGGGACCCAGTTGTGCGCAATAGGCTCAGAAAACACACAGTCACTCCGCTTTACGGTATATCCTGTGAAGCGCTTTGAGACGTCTCAACGACCTGAAAATGCGCCTGTATGTATCAAATGCGATTATTATTATAATAGTTATTAATACAATATCTTTGCAATTCCAATAGTCGAACCACTTTGTATCTCCATTAACAGGAAACCTCTGGGAAGAGATAAAAGATGAGAGCTTCAACCTGGAAACGTTGGGCGCCTTCAGCACGTCGCCTCTCCACCTCTCGGAGTCCCCGCTGGGCACCGTGGGCCTTACCCCCATCTCGAGCAGCAGTGAGCACTGCTTCCCCGATCTGCAGGTGACCGGTCTCTACACGACCTACGCCAGTCTGGAGAATGTACCCGCCCAGTACCTTAACACCAAGGGCAACAAGCCTATCGCTTTGCAATAGATAGACTCTCCAACCACAACCAAGGCAGGGACTTCCCGAAAAGGCAATGCTGTGGACTTCAAAGATGCACTTAAACATCGCCGCTCCCCCCCAAAAAAAAAATTCCAACATAGACGTTCCCGTTTCCAGTGTCCTGTCAACTCCAACATGGGGCATGTCACACGCCTGTGTTTTTCAAAGGGTTTGGATGTTTTGTTGCTTCTAAACGTCCTCAGCTTTTCCGCTACATGACTTGTTAAGTTTCTTTTTTTTTTTGGGGGGGGGTGGGGGGCAGGGGGAATGAAAAGAAGCAATAACTGAAGGAGAACGAACCTTATTGGAAATGAGACGAGGGCGTAAAGACAAGACAGGAGCTGGGATCTGTGTCTGGACTCTTCGAAATGGAAACAAACCTCAACCATTTTAGTTTGTTGGGGAAAAAAAATCATGGAAGGTTTGAAAAATAAGCTATAAAGCCATTGGGGTATTAAAGCACTGTTGTTATATTTTGGTGGGAGCAGAACTCTGGAGAGAAGCCGAGATTTGAAAGAAACTTTTGCGTCTATTTTAACTGTACATTAATCTCTTAACGTCAGCACATTGCAAACTCTGATCAGGAAGATGATTGTCTTTGAAGGTAAGAATGACATTGTCCAGGCTAGCCGACGGTTTGCAACGCTTCTCAATTATCCCCCCGCCTCATCCCTCCCCACCCCACAACCCTTGTTGCCCAACTTTGAATTCAAGGAAAATGTGGGGCAATGAAAAGTACATTCGAACATCAAGCCTACTCCACATCCATCATGAACTCTACTGATATCGCTGGAGATAAGGCCTTTTGTGGTGGTGGTGGTGGGTGGGCCGGGGAGTGGGAGACAGTCAAGTCTTTGCAGTTGCAGGATACATGTCGTTTCTGGTTGGCCAGGCTGTTGGGTTGAGAACGGGTTGAAAGCATTCAAACCAAGGTTAGGTATTCTCATTCCAAGAGTCAACTCTGGACCACAAAGAGAATTAAAAGCATCGCTGGACGAAAGAAGACCAAGGTCCATCCAGTTCACCTTCCATCATCCTGGCAGTCGCTTGCACATGTCATGTCCCAAACAACAATATATACTGTAAGTCAAGCACCTATTGTATCTCTGGATAGACCATTGCCTGGTTAAAGACGGTGACCAAACCGACCATTCTTCCTCAAGCTGATTGATGGATATAATGGTCCCAGTGATGCTTTCCTTCACAACCAGAAGGGGTCTCGCTCCTTGCCAATTGCACAGTTCATCACCCACAAAGACCTTGTATCATGTTGGGACAATTTTGCTTCCATTATCTACTGGTGTATATGTGCTACTTAAAGCGGACTTAAGGATCCCTGTGAGAGAGAAGTGGTTTTAAGAAGGAGAAAATGACTCTGGATTCACAAGCGTTGTCTCCTCAACAGTCCGAAACTCAACTCGAACCAATATCGTTAGATCCTAGAACTGTGAATTATTTCCTTTTGTAAATGTCCTGTGAATTGTGATAGCTCTTAACCGTGTAATGTGCTGGTGCCTGTGTGATAGACAGTATTACCGTTTGTATATTTGTTTTTATTTATATTTATTGACCTGAGGTGAGGGGAGGACTGGTTTCATGTGAAGTAAAACACTGTATTCGTTTAATAAGACAACGTGCAGCAAATCCACTTGTTGGTTGGTTATTAAAGAGGAATTGGAGTTTGGTGAGATGTTGAGAGCATCTCCATGTATCAAGGATGTGTTGCAAATTGTACAGTTCTGACCATCTTTCTTTGGAACTCTGGTCCTGTTGCTCTGTTGACGTCAGAGATTGGTGGCCAGCTTCAACTTTTCAGTGACCAACAGGACTAGAGGGCTGGCCTGGGAGTCGGTCAGAACAATGTCATTGTGCTGGTGTTCAGATGGACTCCTCCTGACCTTGAATGGGAAACATTTTGGGAAGGAACCTCGAACATCTTGCCTGCTTGCTCATTGCCTTTCCTCGCTTACCCCTCCATTCCCTTCACCACATCCCTGCTGACAAACAAACCTCCATCAAGCCAAGCAACTGTGTGGCTAGAGAGTTAAGACATGGACGTCAGCAAGGGCAGCGTGAGATGGGTGTAGTTCTCATCGTTGGGAGTTGCAGATTGGCTGCTCTGCTCTGGGACCTAAGGTTGAATCAAGGCAATGCTGACTGTAATGGAGTTTGGGAGGCCCAGGTTGGGTGGAAGTGGTCACAGCGCTATCTTGCACAGTAAATAGGGGAATGAGAAGAGTGGTGCTCATGTGGAGCATAAACACCCATGGATTAGTGGAGTTGAATGGCCCATTTCCGTGGTACATCACTCAATTTAACAAGGTAAAAATAGGACGCTGTTCTTGGGTTGACAAACCAATGCTCACATTACTTACCCTAATCTGGCAATAGGGGGCGCTAAGTTTTCGACGATGCCGTCTTTCGGACAAGACATTAAACTGAGATCCCATCTTCTTGGATGTTAAATGTCCTGGTGACACTATTAGAAAAGAGAAAGGAGTTTCTCTCTCTTTCTCTCTCTCCCCCAGTGTCCTGGCCGACAATCCCCCCCAGATAAAACTGGTCATTCAATTGATGGCTGGTTTTGGGACATTAATTTACATAAGTTGTCTGCACATTCACCTATAAACAGTCACTATAATTTACAGAAACTTTGTGAAGAGTTTTATCATAACAATAATAATAATCCTTGAATTTGATTACTATCATTTGTCAATGTTTTTGAAACGATTTAAATGATAATCCTTGCATTTGATATAGTGCCTCATCACGTCATTGAGGCGTCTCAAAGCGTTTCACAGAATATACTGTAAAATTGATTGATTTCACAGCATTCAATGTAAAGTGTAGTGACTGTATATTTATAGGGGATCACGGCAGTCAATTTGAGATGGTTTAATGTAGGGGAATTATGATAATAAAATGAACAAATCTACCAAACCTGTACTTAAGGAACAAATTGGTTAAAATAAAACTTTTTATAACTTCAGAACAGTTTTATAGCGACCAACAAATAGGAGTTCGTAACCTCAAGGTACTTGGTAAAATAACAAATCGTTGCTGTGATGAAACAAATCATAAAAGGTACAAATTTCTGAAGTCAAATTCACATCATGACGGAAGGGGAAAAGAAATCGATATTTCTTAAGATGTTTTTTTTCTTCTTTGCTCTAATTTCAGGCCAGTAATCTGACCGACCGCACGTCTCGACTAGAATGTAATGAAACTCTTAAGTGTAAAATGTGTTAGGTTAACGAATAAATATTTAAATTAGAAAAATGACCCCCGCTTTGACTGTTACTATGATTCCTTTGTACTCAGACGGCTCTGGGTCTTATCTCAGCTGGCACACTGTTCAACGACTTCAATGCTAGCGCGTACAGAGTTAGCTGACCCAAACAGCAGTAATAATAATAATAATCCTTGCATTTAATATAGCACCTTATCATGTCGTTGAGACATCTCAAAAGAACTTCACAGAATATATTGTAAAGTGAATTGACTGAATTTTGTGGGCGAAACGCGGCAGCCAATTACACACAGCAGTGTCCCCACAAACTGTTGTGGATTGAGTGACCGATTTTTTCTGGGTGGGGGTGGGGGAAGGATTATTACCCCGGGAAAGCGATCCGACAAATCTTAACATAACATCCGGGTCCCAACTTATTGCTAGATGAACAGAGGCTACGCTCCGAAACTCTGGAACTCCCTGCCTCCATCCTCGCCCTATCCAAACTTGTCTTCACATCGCAACTGAAGACCTTCCTCTTGGACTGCGCCTACGGTCACTCACCCTCTCTCTCCCCCCGGCTCAGCATGACGCTCCACCAATGTTAAGCGCTCCGAGACATTAGCCTATGCGAAGGGCGCTGTGTAAATGCAAGTTATTATTATCGGAAAGGTCAGAAAAAAAATCAGTTGCATGTCTAAAACATCATCGATATATATTTTTTAATCTTTAATTCATCGAATATAATTGTTCAGTCACGGAATTCCCAAAAAATTTAAATTCCAGGCGCTTTCAAGTATACATATTTATACAGATATATTTTCTCTTAAAAAAGAAAAAAAAACATGAATTAAATGTACCAGACATACCGGATCACTTCAAACTCCAATACACTTGCATTTTGTGGCAACACTCACTTCCGTTTAACCTGAAGACATATTTGTGCAAATGGGACCAGTCTTTGTAAACGCTCGAACATTGGCTCATACGCACTCACACACACACACATACATACATCAGGAGAAACTCCCTTCTCTTTTTGAATAGAATCGCGATCTGTTAACGTTCACTGAATAAACAGATGGGACTTTGGTTTCAATGCCTCATCTCAAAGACAGCTTAGTTGCAATGGGCTTAAACCTACCTCTATGCTGGAGTCCTGTAGTGTAAGTGGTTTAGAGCGCTCACCTCGCAAGAGTGAGGACCCAGGCTCAATTCCCAGGCAGAGCAAAATGTTAGGCAAGTTTCCTTTCTCCACACGCCTCTGTTTACCTAGCAGTAAGTGGATGAGAAGGTGTTCACACAAGGGCTGGGTCTCTCTCTCTCTCTCTCTCTATTCCTGAAAATTCCAATTTGTGTTCTTCCCGCTCTCCGCTGTGTTGGCCGCACGCCCGCTGAGACTCCGAGATTAAAGGCTCCAGCGCTCACTGTGTGCCTTTGCTCAGCTGGAGCCTGAACCGTCCATGGTTGTGAGCAGGTGGATGATCTGTGCTCTCTGAGCGGGGGTGATCTGTTGCGACATGTGGATAATACTGTCCATCCCCACCTCGGGGTTTTCCTGAACCAGGCTGGAAAATAGCAAAACAAAACACTTAGCTGCTACGCGCAATTGGCTGCCGTGTTTCGCCCATAAAATATACAGTCAATTCACTGTACAGTATATTCTGTGAAGCGCTTTGAGACGTCTCGAAGACACGATAAGGCGCTGCATCAGTGGCAAGGATTATCATTAGTATAATCATTATTGTACACACAGCCCACTCCAATGCACGTCTACACACACACACACACGCAGATCATGTACCAACACAAGCTGACGGCATGTGTGTATATAAATGTGCACGCACAAAACAAATACACACAAGTAATGCACATGCGTGTGTCTCAGCCTGGCGCAGTGGGTAGCACTGTCAAAAGGTTTAGGCTCAAGCCCCACGTTGGGACTTGGGAGTTTATTATTATGCACTCAGAATGGACACTGACCTGCGGATGTGTTTGAGTGCGTAATCCCTCTTGAGGTACTTGATGTTCTCCCGTATGACAGATCGAGTGTCGTCCTCCTCCCCCAGGTGTTTCTCCAGCCACTCCACCACCTGCAGGTTACTGTCCCACAGGTAGGCCTGCACACGGACAGAGAAAGGTCAGGGAGCAACATCCTCCCTTCTCTGGCTCTGCGATAAATCCAGCGCTTCCTAAAGGCCTGAAAGTTCCCGAACTGGAGAACCCATGGTGAGCATTTACCATAGTGGTTAGCGCACTCGGTTTGTTTCCTGGGCGGGGTGGAAGTTTCCTTACTCCACACGCCTCTGTTTACCCAGCAGTTACTTTTATTAAGTTGGAACCCGGTTGTCGGTTAATTGGCCGATCGCTTTCCGGGAGTAATAATCTTGGAAAGCAGGAAAAAAAATAATAACTTGGTTGCCCAATCCACGACTGCTTGTGGGTCGCTGCTGTGCACAATTGGCTGCCGCGTTTCACCCACAAAATGCACAGTCACTCCACTTGACAGTACATCCCGTGAAGCGCTTTGAGACGTCTCGACGACGTAATAAGGCGCAGTATCAAATGCAAGTATTATCATCGTCATCATCATCATCATCATCAACTTGGAAAGCCAGAGCAGGGGCAGAGACAGGGAGAAGATCGGGGGTGGGGGGGGGAAAATAATTGGACGTGATGAATTTCTAAAACAAAAAGCACTGAAGTAAACCTGTTACAGGAAAAGCAACAACAACAACTTGTGTTTATACAGCGCCCTTCACGTGGGGTAGCATCCCGGAGCGCTTCACAGTGGCGGAGTCTGACAACGGAGCCGGGGGGGGGGGGGGGAGAGGGAGGGAGGGAGGGAAGTAGAGGGGAGGATGACCGTAAAGCACGATCGCGATCAAAAAAGGTATGCGCAGACCTTGACGGTGCCCTCGGTCTCCACGAACCAGCGGCGCAGCATAGACTCAATGTGTCCGTTGCTCAGGTCGGGGTTGGCCGCCAAGATCTCGCGCTTCACCACCTCCTCCAGCAGGAGGCGGCGCAGGCGCCAGAAGAAGAAGGTGCGGGCGGTCCTCCACTCCAGGATGTCCTGAAAGAGAACGGGGTCCACGATTCATGACCAGGCAACCAATACTGGCCGCCCTACCGGCCAGCCAGCCCTCTCACTCACACACACACACACACACACACACAGCAAAATGTCGTCAGCGGAGCCCTGGAATACTGCGGACCCGCCTGGCTCAGGAACCGGGCTACCGAAGCGGCGGATGTCTAGACGGTTGGGCGAAAGACAAGGAACCAGAAATTCAGTGCAGAGCAATTGTTCTTAACTGTAATGACTCCCTTCTCCTGCATCCGTCCTGGGGTGTCGTGCAGATCGGCAAACTGAACGGCGACCTGGTGGTAAATGGGGAGCAGGAACTCCTCTCGGGCCTTCAGCCTGGCCTCCAACTCCCTGCGCCTCTCCTCGGCCAGCTCTGGGGAACCTACCGGGTCGAGCACAAGTCACTGTCAAGTGGCAGAGGACAAGGGACAATGCAGGTGGGTTGCGAGCGGCAGCACATTTGGATTGTAGACAAGAATCGCGCTCTCTCTCACCCAACTGCTCGCTGAGCCCCAAATAGATGGCGTCAATCCTCTTCATAGTCTTCACCAAGTCCTTCCGCCTGAACTTGATTTCCACCGTGCCTTCGGGCTCCAGCACACCTCCCCTGGTGGGGGGGGGGGGGAGAGGAACAGAGGGCAAGTCACCTCAAAGCAGTTTGTGCCAATCCCGTATACCCTTTGACTCACCTCACCCACTCCCTCGCCTCCTTCAAGGCCCGCCTCAAGACCTTCCTCTTCGACCGCACCTTCGGTCACTTTACTAACCCCCACCCTTCACCCCTCCTGATCCCAACCCCCAGCTTGGGTCCAAATCCCTGACTGTTCACACCTTGGGACGTCCTCCCGACGTGAAAGGCTCCGTGTAAATGTCACATGTTGTTGTTGTGTTCAATTCACAATTAATTCACAAAATCCAATAAGGTTCATCTTCTTCCTTTGCGTCTTTCCCCCCACTCCCCGCCTCTCCTCTTCCCTCCCCACTGTCTGCGTTCCCTCACTTCTGCACAGCCATTTGTCCCTCTCGCTCCCTCACTTCTCTCCGAGGCTGTTGGTTAGCAGGGCGTCTGGAGCTCAGAGGCCAATGCGAGGGTCTCTCGCGGGGCTGGTACCTGCTCTCCCGATCCGCGTACATCTCCATGTAAAGGGGGTTGATGGTGGGGTCGATCACCACCCAGGAGCCCCCGCGCAGCTCAGCCTGAGGGGGGATGTAGACCAGTACCGGCTGCCGGAACTCCCTCAGGCCGTCCACAATGAGGGCCCCGAACTTCAGCACCTGATCGTACATGTCTGGTAGGAGGAGACAGGCACCAGGATTAGAGCAATAATCCTTATATGTAATCCTGGCATTTGATGTAGCGCCTTATCACGTCTTTGAGACGTCTCAAAGCTTCACAGGACATACTGTGAAGTGGATTTACTGTGGACTTTGTGGCTGAAACGCGGCAGCCAGTATACGCACAGCAGAGAGAGAGAGGGTGTGCTACCACCGAGCCAGTCTGATGTCCCTGAGTCGGAAATAACTGATAAATAATTTGCTACAGCAGTTTATCACATCGTGAGGATGTCTGCAAGCACGGAAGGCAGACGGACGGGCGGGAGGGCGGGTGGGGTGTGTTGGGGCCGTTGTGTGCAGGTCTCACCTTTCATTCCACCTGAAAATCCTCGCCAGTTGGCAAACACCATGAGGGGAAGATGTTCCCGGTTGAAGTCTCTGATGGCCTGAGCCGTTTTAAACGCCGAGTCTGGGAACCACACCTGGCCAGCCTGCTGGATGATCTGTTGGTTAAAAAGCAGGAGTTTTCACTCCCGCGTCAACTACTATTAATAATCCTCACCCACATAATACACAGTTGATTCACTTTACAATATACACAAGCACTTGTTGCACATCTCAATGACGTGATAAGGGGCAACAGCAAATGCAAGGATTATTATTATTATTATCATCCTCGCATTGAATACACGCTAACACCAAAACATCTCAAAGTGCTTCACGATAATTGCTGTCAAATGTGTATTTTGTAGACAAACGCAGCAGTGAATTTGTGCACGGCAACGTCCCTCTCGCAAACAGCCATGAAACAAGCGACCGATTTTATCTGAGGGATTGTCGGTCAGGGTCCCGGGAGAGAGAGAGACTCCCTTTTACTTCGATTCACGGAATCTTTAACGCGCAGATAAACAGGACACAGACGAGATGGCAACTTAACACTTAATTTACCGACGGACGGCACCTCTGACATTGTGTCGCGCTCTCCCCCCACAGCCTAGACTGTGAGCTCAAAGCCCCCCGACTTGAACCCACAAACTTACTTTTAATTCTGAATCGAGATCGGCTGGATCAGCGGGGATCGTCAGCTCAACCGTCCGGGTCTCAACTGCAATAACTCCGAGGGGAATCCCACCGAGCCTGTCCGCGAGTTGACAGGGAGAGGGAGAGAGAGATGGGGGAGAGAGTGAGAGAGAGAGAGAGAGAGAGAGAGTTAGAAGAGAGGTTTTAGTTAGTTAAACTCCAGCTCATTCGGTGGCCCTTGCCAACTTCTGTCTAAATTCTCTGTGACGAGTCGACCACGACGACGACAACTTGCATTTACACGGGGCAGGGTCTCAGAGCGCTTGACCCTAGCAGACCACGACGGCGAGCCAGGGAATTGGGGGAGGTGACCGTAGGCAAGGTAGAAGAGGAAGGTCTTCAAGCATGTGGCGATGGGTTAATGTTGTGCTGTTTACCTGGCTCTGCCGACCACCACAGTCTGTGCCCAGGGTTTCATGATCTCCATAAAGGATCCGTGGTCAAAGAAGCCACTTTGCCACTCGCCTTTGACAGCTGTGAGAAAAAAGATCGATTATTCACAGTTGCCTACAAAACACACAGTCACTATACTTTGCACTATTTACCATAAAGCACTTGAATACCGGCCTGGGCCAAAATATAAAGATTGATACAACAGAACTATCTTTTTATTTGACACAGGGCGCTTAACAGTGGCGGAGCATGGGGGAGAGTGAGGTGACCATAGGCACTGGTCGAAGAGGAAGGTCTTCAGGCGCAACCTGAAGATGGGAAAGGAGGGGACAAGATGGAGGGATTGAGGGAGAGTGTTCCAGAGTTTTAGGGCATAGTGGCTGAAAGCCCGGCTGCCGATGATGGAAGGGAGGGCACGAGGGACAAACAGGAGGCTGCAGCCAGTCAAGCACAGGCAACGGGTATAGTAGCTTGGGGAGCAAGAAGGTAAGAGAGGTGGGGAGGTGCCAGGGCATGAAGGGATTTGTAGATGAGTGAGAGGATCGCGAAATCAATCCTCAAGACAACCAAGCAAGTCTCCACAGTGAACTAACTCTTGGCCCCTCTCCCCAATTCAGCTCTTACTGGGGTGAGGTCTGCCAGCCAGCATCCACCGCGGGTCGTAAGGAGCTTTTGTGGGGACAAAGTCAATCTCTCTCTCAGGGGAGTCCTTCGGGGTGATGACAGGAAGCGAAGCCCGACTGTCCTGAGGGCATGAAACAAAATACTATTAATAATAATAATCCTTGCATTTGATGTAGAGTCTTATCAATGCCTTCCAGACGTCTCCAGGGCTTCATGGGATATTGGGCAGGAAAGACTCCGAGAGTAACAGTACTGTGGGATCTTTAACATTCTAACCATCTCTCGAGTGGAACATTCATCAGTGCAGTTTCCACATTCCAAACATTATAGATTACACAGAGATAAAGACACAGAGACAATACAAGGCTCCGGTATCCCCCAGCGAAGAAGGGGTGTCAGATGGTCCCAATTGCCCACAGCAATGTCCCATAAACAGCCGTGAAACAAATGACCAATGTCGTTGGGGAGGGGGGGAATTGTCTGTCGGCCAGGACACCAGGAGAGAGAATCTCCCTTTTCCTTTCGAAGAGCGCCAGGGAATCTTTACAGTTCCACCTGAACTGGGCACAGACGGGGAGGGGAGTGAGGTTTAACGTCTCGTCTGAAGGACGGAATATCTATAGTTCTGCGGTTCACTTCGGAAGGCAGAGCACAGCGCCATCCAGCGGCTCAACAGAGATTCACTGACCAGGACAGAAAAGGAAAAGGGCTTTTTTGGTGTGGAGCCTTTCTCACCTCGAAACATCTCAAGGTGCTTCACAAGCAACGATTAGTGCGCTAACAGACTGTTTGTGCTGTAGCAAAAATCCCACCGGCAGCCATGTGGTGAACGACCTGTTAATTTGGAGAATTATTGGCTCCCTTATCGTTTCTAATCGTGTTACGGGTTCTTTAACGTTCACCTAAAGAGCAAGATTTTACACTAATTAATGTACAATTGCAAAGACACCACGAGGATGTCCTGGCCAACAAATTCCCCCAGATAAAATTGGTCGTTCACTTGACGGCTGCTCGTGGGACACTGCTGTGTGCGAGTCGGCTGATGGCTCAGGGAAACACAGTCACTACACTTTCCATGACATCCAGTGAAGTGCTTTGGGCGTGCGTCCTCCTGACGTGAAAGGTGCAATACAACATGAAAGGATTATAATCATTATTGTTACGGATAATGCAATGTCTGAGCTTTGAGCCGATGCGGAGCTTTTGGCTGTGTTCAGCGTTCACAAAGTGTGGCTCTTCCTGACAGGCATACCTTAGGCATGTAGGAGAGCCATTGTAAGATAGTGAAAACCCCCTCAAAGTCATCAGGGACGGTGGCGTGCGAGACACCGTTGTTGTGCATGATCTGGACGCCTCCCAGTTGACTGTTGGACGAGTAGACTTCACGGCCAAGCACCTGTGGGGAAAGGAGGTTAAAGGTCACGATGCGTTAGGCGTGGGGATAGTAAAAGAGAGCAATAATAATCTTTGCATTTGATATAGCGTAGTGTCATGTCATTCAGACGTCTCAAAGCGCTTCACAGAATATACTGTAAAGTGGTTTGGCTGTGGATTTTGTGGGCGAAACGCAGCAGCCAATTGTCCACAGCAGCGTCCCCACAAACAGTCGTGGATTGACTGACCAAATTTTTTTCATTATTAACCCCAGAAAGTGATCCACCAATCAACCAACAGCCGGGTTCCTACTTTACTGGTAGGTAAACAGAGGCGTGTGGAGTAAGGAAACTTGCCTAAGATTTCTTCCTGTCTGGGAATCGAACGTAGGTCCTCTCGCTTACAAGAGCGCTAACCAGTACGCTACAGGATTCCACAAAAACTGCAGCTATGACCCAGTGACGGAGTGCATTAACCAGGAGAGGTGAGTAGGCTAGGATGAGGATTTCAGTCATTCAATGGGGCTTGGATTGAGTTGAGCTGGTTCCAACCCAAACCAGTTGAGTCCCAATAGCAACAGCCTAAGTGCTCAGTTCCCCTGACCTTGTTGAGGGCCCCAGCTCCGGTCAGGATGATGTGGGAGTTCTCCACCTGGATCACCCGCTGCCCCAGCCTCACCAGGTACGAACCGATCCCGATCGCACGGCAAGTCACCTGGAAAGGCAATGGAAAAAAAGGTGACGACCACAAGAACTTGCATTTACACAGCACACCTCACAGCGGAGAGGTGCCTGATATACATTCAACAACAATCTCCTCAATCGCCTGCGGGACTTACCAGACTGATGGTGATGATTTCGTTATAAGCGAGCGACGTTTCTCCTGCGATGGTCCCAGACCCCCGAAGGTTTTCCACTCCCAGACCTTCCTCGTTGCCGATAATGTCCGTGATCACGTACCTACAGCAAAGCAACGGGAAGAAGCCGTGAAGCATCCCTGTTACTCACTGTTCGAGAAGAGTTTCCCCAGATTAATCGGTTGCTTTGTGGCTGTCCACGGGTCCTGTCCGTGCGCAAAGTAGCTGCTGTATTTGCCTACAAATGCCTCGAGTTTAGATGCTTGAGGGATGATCTGATTGAATTGTTTAAAACAATAAAGGGGTTGGATGAAGGGTAGTACGTACCTGGACTCTCCGTTCTCCTCCACGTGCTCGCAGTGCACAGAGTTAAAAGGACTGATCTTCGTGTAGTCCTGAGGTGTTAGGTACAGATACTTGAATCCCTGAGGAACGAGAAGGCCAGACAACAAAAAAGGAAAGATATCAGACTTCACTGTAAAAAAAAGTCAAGCTGTATTAAGTATAACGCTGTGAATATCTTACCCATAAAACACACGGTCAATTCACTTTACAGTATATTCCGTGAAGCGCTTTGAGACGCCTCAAAGACGTGATGAGGCGCTGTATCAAATGCAAGAATTATTAATAATATTCTTGAACAGATAATGACGGGGAATCGAGACGTGCTTACTTTATACGGATCTTCAGGATCCTCCCAGGCGACCTGGAACATGTGGCGTATCTCCTCCGCTAGGCCGATCCTGGCTCCGCTGTTTGCTGCGATGTAAACTCGAGGGATGCGCTTGGCTCTCGCCAGCTCGGACGCTCTCAGGAACAGCAGATCCTCTTCTGGGCCAAAGGAACCAATCTTATAGGTCAGGTCGTTGCAGATGACCACAATGTCACGTCCAGCTGGATACTCGGGAGTCTTGAGATTCATTTTCCAGGCCACTATCCCTACCTGAGGGGAAGCCCAAAATATAGTTACATCGACTGTACAGCACAACTAGTCCGTGCCGATGTTTAACCAATTTAATCCAATTCCCTCCTCCCTCATGTAACTATCACACACAGTCACACGACCAAGGCCAGGGTCAGATGTTCAGACAGACAGACATACAGAGATTGAAAACCCTCAATCCAGCTGGGAGCAGACCGCACTCACCTCATTACTTGCGGGCAGCCTGTTCATGTGCACCAACAGCCCCTGAGAGTCCAGAACTAGCTCTGTGTAGAGGAGGGGCTCCTTGGGATAGTCGTTGTCACTGCCCCACAGCTTGAAGAGAGCCTGGTCCGCAGAAGGACGAGAAACGTGCAGTCATTGATAAAGACCTGCTCTTTTGCATTTGAGATCCATATTTTGACATTGGCCAGATGAGGAAATTGCAGGGACACCGTTATAAAGTGGAAGTTTGGGGCCATAATATTAGAACCTCACGTTAAAGAGCAGGGAATGGTGTTTCCTGCGCACGGAGCACAGGAAATTACACCATAAGGTGCTTCCTGCGCATAGCACACCGGAAGTGACATCAGCAATGATCGAACGACCTGGAAGCTGTGGGCATTTTCTAAGATCTAAGGTTAGTCAGACACCAGCGATGAGTGGACCATTACTAAACCAGGAATGCCTTGTGACAGATCGTATGAACTGTGTACTGTTCGAGTCTTCAGGTCCATGTCAGATGGATCTCTTCTCCAATGAGAAACATGTGGTAGGAGGATTACCTGGTGAAACATTTCAGGGATATCGTAAACGTAGGTTGTGCCCAGGGTCTGTGCCTGGAATCGCTTGGCCTGGAGCAGGTCTTTGGTGACGTACGGGCTGCTGATCAACATGCCGTGGAGAAGTCCTTGCTTATCTCCATACGAGTGGAACATTATCTGAGCGAAAGTGCAGATTTGATTTAACAGCGAATTGGCAGCCTGCCACATTTCGCCCACAATACACACAGTCATTTGATAAGGCGCCATTCATTAATTAGTTAGAAATAATTCCCCAAATAAAGTAATTTACCCCAAATAGACAAATAAAACTGACGATTGCGTTCACCCATAAAACACACACTGTCCAGCCCTCAAGCGTCTCGATGACGGGATATGGTGCTGTGTCAAATGTAAGGCTTATTGATATTTATTATGATTACCTGACCAGTTCCGGGATCAGTCACTTCCTTGTACAGGCTGATGTCCAGGTAATATCCAGATTCGTTGGCGAGGAACAGCCGGATTGGGATGGCTTTCCCAGTGGGAGTCAGGCGGATATTTATCTTGAGCTCCGCCTGCAGGACACGGAGTTTCCACAGCCTGCTCCCGTACCTCATCACCATGCTCCGCACAGATGTTTCAATCTAGCAGTGAGGCAGAAAGACCCATAAATTGTGGAGTCCTGTAGACTAGAGGTTACAGCACTCGCCTCGCAAGCGAGAGGACTCGGGCACAAGGGACAAGCAGGGGGTCAGAGCCAGTCGAATGAAGGCAGCGGGTAGCGAGTTGGGGAGTAAGCAGATCGGAGAGGTAGGGAGGTGCCAGGACACGAGGGTTTTCTAGACTAGTGAGAGGATCTTGAAGTCGATCCGTTCAGTGTTCGGGAGCCAGTGGAGACTGGCGAGGACTGGTGTGATGGGGTTACAGAGTTTAGGGCGGGTGAGTACGCAGAGTTCTGGATTAACCGGATTTAGTGGACAGTGGAGCTGGGGCTCAGGTCATCTAACCTTGGACGGATCCATGATGACGGTTGGCACAAAGTTGAGGAAGATGTGGTTACAGTCAGTGCGGACGGTCTGGTTGTTAAACACCACCTCCAGCTCGTCCATAGCCTCCAGCAACAGTCTTTCCCCCTCGTTCTGCAGGTACTCGAAGGAAGCTTCCTACACAACGCATGGAGAGAGCAGCACAGAGTTAGAGATGACTACAAACACGAGCGGGTGTCCTGGTGGGTAAAGGAGCTGGCACGAATTAACAGCAACAACAAGTTACATTAACACAGCGCCTTTCACGTCGGGAGGACGTCCCGAGCCCTGGACAAGTCGGGGATTTTCAAAAAAAAAGAAAGTCAAGATTAAAAAAAAGCTCAACGACCACAGCTCCCTTCATGTAATAATAATCCTCACATTTGATACGACGCCTTATCACGTCGTCGAGATGTCTCAAAGCGCTTCGCAGGATATAACGCAAGGTGAATTATCTGTGCGTTTTGTGGGTGAAACATCTTGGTGGTCTGGGCTTTCCTCACCTTAGTGATGAGGTCCGGATGCCGGATGATGGCTCGAACAAAGAACCTGTAGTCAGTGACCTCTGCCCCCTTCTCCACCTTGGCGGCCCCCAGGTACAGGTGCATCTTGTGGTTGCCACAGGGCATGGCTTTCAGGTCGAAGTTCCTCATGCGGTTGAGTTCCAGCTGGAAGGCCAGCGCCGGGTCCAAGTGCCGGTAAATCCGATCCTCTGCAAACTGGAGGACGGAGACAATCGTTACAGCAAACGCTGAGGCCGGATGGACTGCGCTTGGAACCTTACGGCCCTTCGGCCCATCGTGCCCGTGTTGGCTCTATGAAAGCGACGACCACCAAGGTCCACTGGTCTTACCCCACAGGTGAGACATAGCAAGCCAAAGCAATTTTGAGGAAAGAGGCATTGTGGCTGGAGCTTGGCTGGCAACGGTGGAGGGGGGGGGACAGTGGGCGCAAATGCTGCTTAAAGACCTCAGTTGATTCTATATCTAGGACGTTACAATTCTCTACACCACCCAAGTCCTGCTCCTAAACACGAATCTTCTTCAGGGGAAGTCACAGAGTGCCCAGCTCCACTTCAGGGGAGACGTGGATTACTGGAGACCGTGTCCCTGTGCCGACTCAATGTACCTCAGCGACTGCTCTGAAGGTGAAGAACTTGGGGAATTCTCTCTGTGAAGAAGGGATTGAAGAGAGAGGAGGAAAAGAAAGTCAGTAAGATTGGGAATGCTGAGAATTCGCGGACACACACAAGCGTACACAAGAACCCACTTGCGCGGACACGATTAGATAAATACACACTGAAACAATTTACCTTTTGCGCTACTAAAAAGGTGATTCTTCTGATTGAGTTGTCAAAGAGAACGGCTTTCTGCAAACACAAAGGAACAAATCATGGAGGTTGCAACGGAGAAAAAAGGCAGAGTGTATGAGAGAGGAGGGAGAGTGAGAGAGAGGGAGAGACAAAGAGAAAAGAGGTGGGGGAAAAAGAGAAAAACATAAGATTGGCATCTTTGGTAGAATATGGAAAGGTCAAAGATGACAGCACTTGACACATACTGTACACACCTTTGATTGAATGAATCTGCTGAACACCTGCACCAACTCATCATCCTGCACACAGTCCGTCTCTCTCATGGCAACATTCAGAATATATGCAGGCTCGCCCTTCACGCACTGTTGAAATAAATATTAATGCATACGTCACATTTTGTGAATTCTCCAGCATTGACTATCACTTTCATACGGTATAACCCACATGATGTATGCGCTGGTTAGAAATTAATATTCTCTTGGGTAGTTAAAATACTAATACTATTCCTTGCATTTGGTGTCGTGCCATTCATATCACCGGATACATTGTGAAGTGGGGTGACTGCGTATTGTTGTGGACAAATGTACAAAAATATACAGTCAATTCCCTCTCACAATCCACTGTGAAGTGCTTTGCGACGCCTTAACGAGTCGCACACAGGAATTTTTTTAGTGACCAATTTTTTATTGGGGGCATCGTTGGCCAGGGAGAGAGAAACGCTCCCTTCTCTCTTTGGGATGTTTAACGTCTACCTGAGCAGACAGACATGGAGCTCGGTTCAATGGCTCATCCGAAGGACGCACCTCTGACAATGCGCACATCCCAGGTCTGCATTGGGGCTTGAACCCACAATCTTCTGACTCAAGAGGCGAGAGTGCTACCGACTGAGCCAGACTAACACGCTTAACTGAGGGGTTGGATGTTTAAGAGACTTCGCGGCTCGCTACCTTATTCTCCTCATCATCAAAGAAAGGGGATCTTGGCTCGGAGAGCAGGGGATTATCCAGACAATTCAGGTTATCAGTGAAGGAAGAAATCACCTCGTCAAAGTACCTTTAAAAACAACAACCCACAAATATTTCAATAACTGGTGAATAACTAAAGAAAAACATGACTCAATTTATTCTGGCCGGGCATGTGAAGACTGAGTTACCAATATCAGGGTTTAACAACGAAACGTCACCATATTGTGTATATTTGCCAAGTTATATGTTGTTATATGTGACATAAGCTTATTTTGGCTTGAATACTTTCTCATGGAACTTACAATGAGGGAGCTATTTTGAAGCAAAGCTCATCTATATAATAATAATAATGCTTGTATTTGTTATAGTGCCTCATCACATTGTTGAGACGTCTCAAAACGCTTCACAGAATATACTGTAAAGAAGATTGATTGTATATTCTGTGGCCGAAATACAGCAGCCAAATTGCGCACAGCAGTGTCTCACAAACAGTCGTGGAGTGACCAAATGGTTATTATGATGCATTTTTTGTGGAGGGATTATTACCCCCGGACATTGGGACTAATTTAAATAAGCAGCTGGATGCTGTGACGGATAGATGGATGGTGGGGTTGGGTGTTCTGGAGGGATGAGATGAGATGGACTGAAGGGCCTTCTTCATCCACAACCGATCTTGGCAACGATTTCCCCTCTCTGTCGGGACGATACTCACTTCATTAGGTCTTCAAAAGCATCAAAAGCAAACATGATTCCCATTCGCTGGCACGAAGTTGACTGCACGCCACTGGCGAAGGGGTCACTGCTTTTCCGATTCAACTCATAGCGATCTGTGCTGGTTGGAATGCTCATCCTACAAGTTTCAGTGCGAAAGGTAAATGGAAACACTGTTAACAGCATTCAAACTCTGTTGCTCAGACTTCAGGTTTAATGAACGCCAGCCTGCTTCACTCCAACATCTATGGGCGAGCCTTCAGCCAGCGTGACCCCACTCTCTGGAACTCCATCCCAGAGTCCCTCCACCCTCTCCCAGTCAGTCAACGTGAAGCCATTTGCGACATCGTCCAGATGCGGAAGGAATTGAATAAATGTAAACTGTTGCACAGAAACATAAACGTTTACCGCACAGAGGGAGGTTATTTGGCCCATTGTGTATGTGTCGGCTCCTTTCAGTCCCATTGACCTGCCCTTTCCTCACACCCCAGTCTAGTTCCATTCTGACAGCTAATATGGAATCTGCCTCAACTATTGCTTCCATATCCGAACAACTCTGAGGATATTTGAAAGGCATCGTTGAGAGGAAGCCCTTAGAACACCAAAACCGTGGGCTCGAACTGAAAATAATTTTATCAAACAAAATAGTTTTGCTTCAGAAACATCATAACAAACATCACGGCCTTGAATACATACCCGTCACCTCTCCCCTTCAAGGATGTTGTATGCTTTCTACAAGATATCACTTGTACAAAGGTTACACAAGGCGTAAGCAAAGCAGCCCTCAATACAGAGGAGCATGATATAACAGGCATCCCAGTGTGGAGTGGACACGATAGCCATTGTTAGTAACCGGCAATTTTAAAGTAGGATTATAGACCCTTGTTAGAGCTCAGGCAGTTATTAGCAAGCTGAAATGAGTAGGTGTTTGGGGGTATGCTCTGTAATACGGACATTTTAAAATCAGCTGTGAACTTCCAGTTTCTCTCTGCTATGATGGAAACTGTTATAAAACCCAGTCTCAGAAACTTACTGCTTCATGTTCAAATCCCTTCATGCCCTTGCTCCACCCATCCACCTCTGTGACCTCCTGCCACCCACCCAGCCTCGCAGCAATTCTGACCCGCTTTACGTCCCTCCTCCCCTGCCAGAGGTTCAGCGATTCCGCCCCCTTATCACGCTCTCGAGACGTCACTTAGGGTTAGGGTTAGAGTTATATCAGTGTCCCACAAACAGTCGTGAATTGTTTCTTTGAAGGATTATTACCCCCGTAAAAGTGATCCACCAATCAACTAACAACTGGTTTCCTACTTACTGCTAAGTAAACAAAGGTATGTGGAGTAAGGAAACTTGCTTAAGGTTTCGCCCCGCCCAGGAATCGAACCCGAGTCCTCTCGCTTGCGAGGCGAGTGCTCTAACCAAAATACTGCAGGACTCCACAAAAATACAGGTTAAAACTAGGTGGAAGTTAAGGTGATCACATGCCTAAGGACAAACCCAACTCAATTGTGATCTTGTATCTCGGTTTGTGCACCCTCTCACCCCAAGGGATTACCAATCAGGTTAGTCAGTTATTCACAATTTGCAAGGCACCATTCTTTGTTTTTTTTTGATCATTCATTTCATGCTGTGAATGGATGAGACTATACTCCACCTTCCTAGGGTAGGGTTGTCTTCTCTGAAATTGAACAGTTATAAACACACAGAGTGTTAAGCTAGTCGGTCAATAAATAATAATCGTTGCATTTGATATAGCGCTTTTCACGTCTTCTAGACGTCTCAAAGCGCTTCACAGAATAGACTGTCAAGTGAATTAACTATGTTTGTGGGCAAAACACGGCAGCCCATTGCGCACAGCAGTGCCCCACAAACGGTCGTGGATTGAAGTGGCCAAATTATTATTGTTTTTTTTCTTGAGGGATTATTAGCTGGTGTATGGAGTAAGGAAACTTGCCCAGAGTTTCACCCTACTGGGAATCAAACCCAGGTCCCTCACCTGCAAGGCGAGCGCTCTAACCACTGAGCTGCAGGACTCCAAATAAATACTGTTCCCGTTTTATTCTCCCCCAGCCCACCATTGGCGGGCTTTGAGACGTTCCTCCCATTGCACTGAACATTGTATTGCATTGATGTGTGCAACCTAAAAGGCTTCTCATCTACACTCATAGGGAGAGATCATTCTGCCCTTTCGGCCTATGGCTCCTTCCCCGGTGGCAATTATATTATGCGCATTCCATTCCAACAATCTCTCTCTTGAGTTTCCATGTGTTGGTGGGATGCATGGAATTCCCAGTTTGATTTGGAGACTCTTAAGCAATGGGGATGGGTTTCCACATGTGTCAGACACCCGACGTTAAAGAGCTCTAAGGATCATAGAATTATATAGGACAGAAGGAGGCCATTCAGACCATCGTGTCTGTTCCGGCTCTATGTCCCTATTTATAAAGCCTAGTATCCCATATGCTTTTTTAACAGAATGGTGCATAGCAACAGGATGGTGCAGGGTACCTAAGAATAATTGGGAGTGTGGACAAAGCAGACAAACATTGCTCATTCTTAGCTCAAGTAAAGCTTGTTGGCCACAATCACTGGTCGACGCAATGCAGCTAAGAAGCTAAGAAGCCAGCCTTAGCCGAGCAGACCTGTTGGGATGAGATGAAGGGAGTGTAAACTTGAATTCCACCACACAAGTGCCGTCACGCAGTTGGTTGTGCTGTACGCTGTTCAGCTCGTAAGCTATATAAGCCCGTCTCACGTACACCTGAGAGGGTGAGAAGGTACAGTTTGTCACCTGAGGTTCATAATAATAGTAATAATAGTCCTTCCATTTGATACAGAGCCTTATCATGTTGTTAAGATGTCCCAAAGTGCTTCACAGAATATACCGTAAAGTGAATTGACTGTGTATTTTATCGGCAAAACACAGCGTCCAATTGCGCACAACAGCGACCCACAAACAGTCATAGATTGAGTGACCAAATTATTAATTTATTTTTTGGGGGGAGGGATTATTACCCCCAGAAAGTGAACCATCGATCGACTAACAACTGGGTTTTTACTTATTGCTGAGTAAACAGAGGCGATTGTGTGAAGTAAGGAAACTTGCGTACTGCAGACCCGCCTGACTCAGGAACTGGACGACCGAGACCACCACAGAAGGTGGGCTCTCAGTCAACCCCCATCATTTGGCTGGAGAGGGGGAAAGGGGTGTAAAAGTATGAAAGTTGAGGCTTTTGTGCAAGCTCAGTACACGTTGACTTTACCTCGAGCGCTGCCTTCTGCACCACCTGATTGCTATGGTAGAAGAAATTGGGCAGGACGTCAAAGATGGAGGTCTCCGAGAGGATTAGTTTCTGAAAAGAACCAGAAAATATCATCAACAACAACAACTGGCATTTATATGGTGCCCTTCACATGGGGTAGAGTCTCAGAGCACTTAAACATTAGGTACCAATCCCTCAATGGCCCAATGACATTGGATAATCATTAAACCTCAAAACGAGGACAACCTCCCATCATGTACTAAGGGTCTCTTCAAGGCCATGCACCTTCAGCCTGTGAAATTCTAGTCACTTGGGAGTTATTCCTATAGCGTAGTAGTTAGAGCGCTCGCCTCACAAGAGAGAGGACACAGGCGGGGCCTGGGCGGGGCGAAACCTTAGGCAAGTTTCCTTACTCCACACACACCTGTGTTTAACTGTATAAAGGTAAATTTGTATCAGACTATCTGAACGTCTACCAATGTCTTCTAACACAGCACCTCCAGACCAAGGTACAGAGTGTCATATCACGAAGGGGAATAGTAACCCTGTCACAGCTCAGACACATGGACAGAATTGTTGTAGCCACACCTTCAGGTTCTCTGGGCAGAACTGGTGTCCATACTCGTCAATGGCGGAGAGGAAGATGGACTCCACTTGGTTGTGCCGCAACTCGTAGGATGGCAAGTGCGACGCAATCAGCACCTGGAATAGAGACGCACGAGAGGAAAAGAACAATGTTAACATCCAGGCATAATTTACAACAATAATAATAATATTCCTTGCATTTGATATAGCGCCTTGTCACGTCTTCGAGACCTCTCAAAGCGCAACACAGAATATGCTATATATTTTGTCGGCAACACTCTCGTCTCTGAGACAGAAGACTGTGGGCTTGAGTTCACATCGAGGACTTGAGTTCACAGTCTAGGCTGACACTCCAATGTCAGAAATGCCGTCTTTCGGATGAGACGTAAAAACCAGGGTTTTGTCTACGTCTGTTCAAGTGGGCGTTATAGATCCCGTGGCACTACTCAAAAAGAGAAAGAAGTTTCTCCCAGTGTCCCAATGACTTCAGATAAAACTGGTCATTGACTAACATGGCTGTTTGTGGGACACTGCAAATTGACTGCCGAATTTGCCCACAAGTACAGTCAAGGCATTTTACAGTAAAATTAAGTACGTAAAGCGCTTTGAGATGTCGGAATGAATTGATCGAATGCAAGAATTAATTAATTAGTATTATTAATTATCAGAGCAGTGAAGAATCCTCACCTGTCTAGCTCGAAGAGCCACCTTGGAGTTCTCTGTTCTGCTGAGCTGTGTCAGGTCTGTTAGGATCAGCATCAGTTCATCTGTCAGTGTGGGATCCCGGGAACAAAGCTGATCCTAAAACAGGTGAGAAATAAAAGCGAACAAATTCATCTCTGATGTTTAATATCAGGACCGTCTCAATCCCTCTCCTCAGAGACGCAATGATACAGCACGACCACCAAGGCAAGGCTCATGGTATCTCTCTCTCATCTCAAGCTCAGCGGGCTCCGGCCTGCCCCACATCCTCCACCCAGCCCACTCCACCATCAGCAGTCAGGCCTTCAGCCTCTCTACTCCCACCTCCATCCCACAGCAAGGAGAGGAAAGTGAAGATAAATGAATCTACTCCCAGGTCCGTCCGACTCGCTCCCTCCCTCCCTTCCCTATTTCAAGGCTCGCCTCCAAACACGCGCTTTCGGTCTTTCTTCATCATCTTTCCCCTCCTCGCTGCCCCTTAGCTCACTGCTCAGCGCCATACTCACGATCAGCATGATAACCAGGTGGTTCTTCTTGGCGACCTGGGCGTGGGAGAAGATACACTCCAGGACGGGTGTCATGTCGGGTTTGTTCTGCTCTCTCATGTTGATCACACACTTGTCGTAATGCGCTAAAACGGAAAGGATGTCAAGATCTGTGCGTTAGAAGCCTGTCTCTTTCAAGGCCCGTCTCAAGACCCTCCTCTTCGATTGCGCCTTTGTTCACCCTCATATCCTTACCCTCCACCCCTCCTGATACCACTCCCGGGTCGAGTGCAAATCCCTGACTGTCCAGCGCCTCGGGACATCCTCCCGAAGTGAAAGGCGCTGTGTAATTGTATAGGAAAGCATCTAATGGAAACCGTGTCCGTCTCTTTCCCAAGCCAAATAATCTCAAGCTGTCCTTCCTCCCTTTGTTTTTAATCTAAATTTAAGAACATTTTTCACCTTGCTGGAACTGAGTTTCCACGCACAAGTATCTCCTCAGCAGGTCGAGGACAACCGACTTCAAGTGCCCACGAATCCCACTGCGGTAACTGACAAGAGAAAACAAACTAAATACGACACCTTGACACCAACAACAACAACTTGCATTTGGAGTCCTGTAGCGAAGTAGTCGAGACGTCTCAAAGCGCTTCACCGAATATACTGTAAAGTGAATTGACTGCATATTTTGTAGTCGAAACACAGGAGCCAATTGCGTGTAGCAGTTTCCCACAAACAGTCTTAGTGAGCAAATTATTATTATTTATTTTATGAATGGATTAATACCCCGGAAAGCATTCCACCAATCGATGAACAACCGAGTTCCTATTTACTGCTAGGTAAACAGAGGTGTGTGGAATAAGGAAACTTGCCCAAGGTTTCCCTCCACCCGGGAATCGAACCCGGGTCCTCTCACTTGCGAGGTGAGTGCTCTAACCACTACACTACAGGACTTTTGATACAGTTCCTAAAGTATCCAACGTACGGAGCAGCTTTCACAGAAGGACACTTACCGCTGCACCAGCTGAACAATGCTCTGCGTGTTCATGAAGAAGACTTCGCGGTCAGCCTTGCGCTGCAGGGTGGCTGCGTGGCTGTCGAGGATGTTTGCAATCTGAAATTTAATTCGGGAAGGGAGCACGAGGGGAGTGAGTGGGACTGAAACCACTGAAATAGCCAAGAGGTGAGACAGTGCACGTTCAAAGCAGTGTTGGGCCTTTTCCCCTTCCTCATTGACTGAGCCAATACTCACTCTTGTAGCTGAAGTAAGACTTTGTGAATCGATCACCCCCACCCTCGCCCGGCTTCGCTGGCTCCCCATCCCCCAGAGGATCGAGTTCAAGATCCCTGTCCTCAACTTCAAAGCCCTCCATGGCCTTGCTCCACCCTATCTCTGCGACCTATTAAAACTTCACCAACCTGTCTGCTCCCTCCGCTCAGCAGGCACTGGCCTGGCCCGCACCACGTCCTGTCCTGTCAATACGCTACAGGCCTCCCATACATATAGGATGAGGCTTGGTTTACCTGCTGGCTGGGGAACTGGCAGAGCACTGAGGTGATGTTGCTGGCGTACTGAGCCACCACTTTGCGAATGGCTTTCTCCACGCTAGCGGGGATTCTGCCTGAGATGCTGGTCATAATGTCTTGCAACTCGAGAAGAGGCAACGAGGCGTCTCGAAGAGTCTCCATTAGCTTTGTGATCCACACCTTAACCTGAGAGCAAGAGTGAGTGAGAGACAGTGAGAGAGAGAATGAGAGAGAGAGGTAGGTTTAAACATCTTGAAATTAAATTCTGACGACTCACTTTGTTGTTTATGGGTTGTTGCTAGTGCAGACTGGGCCCCATCAAGACCTACCTCTTTGACCACACGTTCGGTCATCTTTCTCCTCCCCACCCCCACTCGACTCCCATTGCCAGCTCGGGTGCCAAGCCATTACTGTTAAGCGTCTTGAGACGTCCTCCTGACGTGAAAGGCGCTAAGTAAATGTTAATTTGTAATGTATTGTGTTTAACTTTTGCCCACATAATATTGGTCAGGACACTGGAAAAATTACCCGCTCTTTAGAACATCAGAAAATAGTAACAAGAGAAGGCCATTCAGATCATGGTACCTACCTACTCCAAACCCAAGTACTAATTTAATTTCCCTTAGTTTTGCAATCGACTTGGGCTTCACATTGTTGTGCTCTAGAGATGAAAGTCAAGACCTGGACATGGGAGCTCCAGTTTGCAAGTGCACTGCCCTAACCCCGCCATTTACCTTGATGCTGAAGTATGGCTCGGGCAGGCAGTAACCATTCATGACATTGACCAGGTTCTCCAGACACTGTGAAACACCTGATGCAGTTTCTCCCCAGCGATTGGCAGCGTCTGCTGTGGCTTGAAGAATCCTTTGTAGAGCTGGGCCTAGAGGGCAAGGAAGGAAGGGAGGAAGGACAGTGATGTTCTTGCCAAGATTTGTTCAACCAAACTCAGTGAGTAACTGCACTGGCCTGGTTTGTGAGAGAAGCCTAGCTCCCAAGCCAGCATTCACTCCCCGATACACTGAGGCATTAGCATCACCAAGGCTGACCTTATCAAACCTTTTTATAATTGTAAACACCTTTGAAGGTAGATCACACTTACTGGATGAAGGTTCTTAGGATCATCCAACTCCAGCCTGGCCACAATACAGCCTTGGTCCAGACAAGCTCCCGGTCTCTTGATGAAATGCACACACCCTGCCTCCTCTACAGTCAGCACCATAACCATCTTCATGACCTGTGTGGACACGAGACAGTCTTTAATCCCACAGGTAGTGGTTAGTGCGCTCGAATCACAAGCGGGAGGACCCGAGTTCGATTCCCGGGTGGGTTGAAACCTTAGGCACGTTTCCTCACTCCACACGACGTCCTCTCGCTCGCGAGGCAAGTGCTGTAAACAACACGCTACAAGTCTCCGTGATCAGGGCCTGGGTGTGACCCTCTCTTTTAAACTGCACCCGACTCGACATACCTCGATCTCCGCGTAGCACTGTCCTGCAAAGACATGACCTCCATCTTCGACGAGGTACTGCAGAAGTTTACCAGTAGAGGGGGCCCTCAGCACCGAGGGGTCTTTCTCCTTGTCAAACACACAGGTCTTGTTACCAACTGTTATCAGGTACCTGAGGGTTTGAACAAGCGAGTGAGTAGTAGGGACTTCCAGAGAACTCGTGCCCGCTATAAAGTAGCCTGGCGGCTGTATTTCTTACTTGTCGATCTCCTCCTTCATGTACGTGGTGTAACTGCTACCGTCATAGGACAACAGGAGACCACCATCGCTCAGCCGGTGAAGGTCAACCTCGACGTGAGAGCCGTTCAGAATAACAATGTAGGTCGTCAGCAACTGGCGAGTCACCTGCAGGTTGGACGCGAAAGAGAAGGAAGAACGAGAATCACACATAGCAGCAGGAGAGCCTCCACGTTCAACCAGCTCAATAATATAAAATAATAGTCCTTGCATTCAATACAGCGCCTTATCACGTGGTTGAGACGTCTCAAAGCGCTCACAGAAAATACTGTAAAGTGAAATTGACTGTGTATGTTGTGGCAGAAACACAGAAGCCAATTGCACACAGCAGTGTCCACAAATAGTCATGTGGATTTTTTTAATGAAGGGATTAATAACTCCGGAAAGCGATCCCCCGTTCGACTAACAACTGCGTTCCTACTTACTGCTAGGCAAACAGAGGCTTGTGGAGTAAGGAAACTTGCCTAAGGTTTTGCCCTGCCTGGGAATCGAACCCAGGTCCTCTCGGTTGTGAGGCGAGCAGGGTAACCAAGCTACAGGACACCACTACAATGCCTACTATACCTGCATAGAATACACACATTATAATACACACAACACAGTACATACCTGCATAGAATATTTAATTCCTTCATAGATGAGCTCCACGTTCCCTGTGTTTAACAGACTGTGGGCTGGGAGCACCTGTCCTCTGTGTAAAAGGAAGAACACAACATTAAAAAAACAGCATGTCCCATAGTGAAGAGAAAACAATCGCCATCAAATTACATTTCAAAAGGCACCTCCCCGTCCCCACAACTTGCCTCTCGAGAGAGTGTAAGAAGTCGGCCATACTGGTCTGAAAGATTGAATCCGCCACGTGTAATGCACCACAGACCACGCCGAGCATAGTGTCCGGCTTCTCAGCCTAAAGGAGCACAAAATAAAAACATTAATAATAATAATAATAATCCTTGCATTTGGCATTTTATGTCAGGAGGACATCCCAAAGCGCTTCACAGGGTATATTGTAAAGAGGATAGACTGTGTGTTTTATGGGTGAACATTGTAAATATTCCTCTCTCATATCCACCTAACGTTGAATTCTGCTCGACCTTCGTTGAATACACACAGGACAGTATCCGTACCTGGATTTTGTCGGCGATGAGTTCATCAAGCCAGCCGGTGTCTATCTCATTGCATTGGAAGCTCTCGGTTTCCAGCAGCTTGATCAAGTACTCGACTGTTGTCCTAAAGTCCCCGCGGATTGATAGCTCCTTCAGGGCCAGGACCATGTTCCTGCAAAGGAAATGACAATAAATCCCAGATACGATCTCTCGGAATTCCATGGGTAGGTGGGACGTACGGAATTCTCAGTTTGGTTTGGAGACTCTTAAGCAACGGTGATGGGTTTCCGCCTGGTTGATGAAAAAAAAAACCCTGTATGTGTTTGTGTGCGTGAGTGCGTGTGTGTGCAAGTGTGTGTGTGTGTGTGCTGATGATGCAAGATAGTCGCTCGCAACAAAGTGGGAAGTTGACTGACTGCCCCAGGACTGAACCAACAACAATAACTTGCTTTTCTGTGGCGTCCTATATAATTGGTACTGTACTAACGAGATGGCTTCCTCGCGGTTCTCTCCCCAGGAGAAGCAGTGGCCAAACTGGGAATCAGCAAACTCATGGAGCCCTCCTGCGGCAGCCACGCTGAAGTAGCCCCAGACATTTTTGTTGCTGCGGAAATTCAGCTCCTGGACAGTTCCTGAGCTTGGCTTAAATCCCTGGCGAGAGAGAGAGAGAGAGAAGAAACAAAACGTAACATCCAATATTTCTCAGACTAAGCAGATTCCATCAAGTCCTTCCAAGGAGATCAACTGTTGCTTTTACTTTAAGTGCCTTCAACCCTAACATTCTACGGAATCTGTAAGCCAGTGATAAATAATAATAAAAATCCTTGCATTTGATACAGTGCCTTTTCACGTCGTTGAGACATCTCAAAAGCGCTTCACAGAATATACAGTAAAGTGGTGACTGTGTGGTTTGTGGGCGAATCGCGGCAGCCCATTGCGCACAGCAGTGTCCCACAAACAGTCGTGCAGTGAGTGACCAAATTATTGTTGTTGTTGCTGTTACCTCTTCTGGGTTTTCACTGGTGATGCGGGCAGCGATGACATGACCCCTGGGGCTCGGGTTGTTAGCTGGCGTTTCCAGGTTGATTTGCGAGTCGCCCCAAGGAGGTGCTCCGTACAGAACCCGGATATCCTTAATCCTGTGTAAGGGAATCCCCATGGCAATCTGTACATCAACAACCAAAAGCACAGGCATGATGAACACATGGACCCGCGGACTGAGATAAATACATTTTATTAATAATAATCCTTGCGTTTGATACAGCGCATCAAATTGTTGGCATCGACTCAGAATTTACCTGGCTGAAGATTCTACCTGTAACCTGGAGGGTCTACGTTCACAGTTTACCTGGCTGGAGGTTTTACCTGAAGTTGGGCAGCGGGCAGATTGACGTCAGCTATCATCTCAGTGCAGGGATGTTCCACTTGCAGGCGTGGGTTCAGTTCCAGGAAGTGGAAGCTACCATCTGGGCTGTAGAGGTATTCCACCGTCCCCGCACTCACGTAGCCCACCATTTTGGCAATTCTCACCGCACACTGTAAAGGAGCAATAAATGCAGAGTCAAGATTAGGTTGATGCAACTGAACACGAGTTGGGCCAAATGATATATTTCTGGGCTGTAACATTCATCTTAATTATAATAATAATCCTTGCATTTGATGCGCCTTATCACGCTCAAAGACGCCACATTAATGTTGTTAAGACAACTCCAAGCTCTTCACAGAATATACTGTCAAGTGAATTGACTGTGTATTTTGTGGGTGAAACGCGACAGCCAATTGTCACAGCAGCGTCCCACCAATAGTTATGGATTGAGTGACCAAATTTTTATGATTATTATTATTTTTGAAGGGGTTATCACCCCCGCAAAGCGATCCACTAATTGACTACCAACAGGGTTCCTACTTAATGCTGGGTAAACAGAGGTGTGTGGGGTAAGGTTTAGCCCCTCTCGGGAATTGAGGTAGGGCAAAATTAGGGTACATAATTCTATGTACCCTACACACACACACACACACACGCACACACAGACAGAAACCCCCACCTGTTCCATGTACTCCAGCACGGCCTGGTTGGCTATGCTGGCTGGCGCTTCTTCAATGATCTTCTGGTGCCGGCGTTGGATGGAGCAGTCACGGCCGAACAGGGAGATGGCATTGCCGTATTGATCCGCCAGGATCTGTACCTCCAGGTGCCGGGCATTCTGAGCCATCTGCATGATGAATATTGGGGAGCTGGGCACCTCAGCCTGGACCTGACACAACAACAAAAAGGTTAAATTTACACAGCGCCTTTCATGTCCCAAAGCACTGGACATTCAGGGATTTGCACCTGAGTTGGGGTTGGGATCAAGAGGGGTGGAGGGCAGGGAGGGTGGGGGTAGGAGGGTGACCGAGGAGCGCAGTCGAAGAGGAAGATCTTGAGATGGGTCTTGAAGGAGGCAAGTCAGTTGAGTGCTACCCAGTGAAGCTCACTGGAAAATTATGTTACTTTCAGCCAAAGACATGGATCTGATGCCCCAATCGTATCAGTGCCACATTTTATACACTTCTTCAGCACATTCAATGTTGTAGATATTTGATACGTACATCTTTTTTATTGAGAAATCCCACACATTAGACCCCAAGTTGTGCTGAGAGGCTGACGCCCACTTACTTGTCTGAACAGGTTGGGGAAATCATCTGCACTGTTGACCTTTCGAATTCCTTTACCTCCACCGCCTTCGGATGCCTTCACCATCACTGGATAGCCAATCTTCTCTGCAGCCTACACACACACACACACAGTAATGATTATGTGCAAAACCCTGACTATCCAGTGCCTTGGGACATACTGCTGAACGCGAGGGTCGGTGAGAACGGTGGATCAGAGAAGGTGGAGGCTTGACTCTGTATCTAAGGCAAACTGCTCCTTTGCTGGGAAAGCTGGATGCTGAAACTGTGTAATGAGTTGCTGTTGCTGTTGTTGTTGTAGCCTATGTCCTACCTTCAAGAAGCATTTGTGTAAATATCTTGGCAACAGCGCCTACCTCCAGGCCCTCATTGACATCTCCCACACAGCCATCCCTGTACACGTCCAATGGCACATGAACCATCCTCCGCAGCATCTCATCTTCCTTCGACCATTCCACAGTCAAACCTAAACACACCCAGCACCAACACATTTGAGTCCCTCGCAGAAGTATGGAAGCCTTGGATTTTTTTTCAGTCATCCAGGTGTCTGATACACAGAAATCCATTGCATGCTTAAGAGCATCTAAGAGTTCCACATGCACATTAAAATTTCAACTCCGTACAAACTCTCTCCCGGTGTCCCTGGCTAACAATCACCCAAATAAAATTGGTCGTTCATTTCATGGCTGTTTGCAGGACATTCCTGTGTGCAAATTGGCCACTATGTTCGCCTTCAAGAATACAGTCACTCCACTCTACTAAAAGTGTAGGAAGTGCTTTGAGATATTGATGGAAGTAATAAGGCCCTGGATCAAATGCATTGATTACTATTATCATGAAAACAAGGTTTGAATAATTAATTAGGTTTGAATTTGGGGTAAATTTGTCCCAGCTGAAAAAGAAGGAGAAAAACTTCACGATTCTTTCGAACAGTGGTAGATGGTGGTTGGGAGGAGAGGGGTGGGAAGTCCTTTAACATCTTCCTGGTCACAAGGCAGAAATAACCTAATAATGACTCAGTCAAAATAGGTTGGCGAACCTTATCAACTCTGATCTGCCCTATCAGTAAAAGTTCCAATAACACTCAAATATTTGTTGTACCAAGGTGTTGCAACAGTAAGCATTGGAGGGTACAGAATCGAATAAGCATTGCACAATACACAAGTTACAATTTCCATCTAACAACCTTTCGCTCTCCTCTCCTCCCTCCCCAATCTATTGGGAGGGAAAGGTTTCCCACTATGCCTTAACCCCTTACCGCTTCCACTCCAAGGTAATGTTGGGATCCCAGCAGTCTGAGCTACGATGGAGGAGGCTATCTTATCACCCAATGCCCACATAGCCTGACTGGAAGGACCTGCAGGAGGGGGAAGGGAAACACAAATGTAAATGAAGCATGCAAAAGATTAACAGAATGGAGCAAATGTCTCAAGTGTAGAACACATTACATTTACACAGAAGCTTTCACGTCAGGAGGATGTACCAAGGTACTTAGCAATCCTGGCTGGGCATGCAAGGTGGGGGTGGGAGCCAAAGCAGGTATGTTGGGGAAAGGATGATCATAAAGCGAGGTCAAAAAGGTAGGTCTTAAGACGGACCTTGAATGAAGGAGGGAGTAAGTTGGAGGGAGTCCAGGATGGAGATCCAGAGAGTGTGGTTTTAAAATCAGGTCACAAATAGAAGGGAAATATATTTTTTACCCTATCTGCTTTGTTCCTACTGCCCCAAAGCTTCTTAATGTTATATATCCAGTTGATTACCATCCAGTACATAAGGAATGCAAGGGCTGGCGAGGAGCAGATTGGATCAAGTTGGACCACCGCTACCTCATTCATTCTGCAGGGTTCAGATTACATCAGTTTCACCAATCTTGCCACACTCCAAAGGCTTGCCCTCACTGCATCAGGAAAAGGAGATATTTTCTGCTGTACAACTGGGTCTGTCACTGAAAGGGTCTTACCTAGAAATGCCACACCGTGCAGCTGCAGAAGCTCCGGGAGTTTGGGATTCTCCGAGGCATGTCCCCAGCCAGCCCACACCGCCTGGAGGAACATGGGAGGACGTGGATATTGATGCACATCTTCATTGGTTTATATTATAGAGCATTTGTGTTGTGGTTTTGTATTGTGTCTGTCTGTGTTGTCTTGACACCCAGTAATAATAATAATAATCATCCTTGCATTTGAAATGTCTTGACAACATAAGACATGTTTGAGACTTCGTGACACCTTGTGTTGTCAAGAAGTCTCAAAGATCTTCATAGGGTTTACTGTACATTTGTAGGCCAAACGTAGCAGCCGATTTGCACACGACAAAGTGAATGACCGATTTTAACTGAGGGATTATCGGCCAGGAAACCAGTGAAAAACTGCTTGGTTTGGAGACTCTGAAGCATAGCGATGGGTTTCTGCATGTGTCAGACACCGGCTGACCAACAAAAAAAAACACTGCCATTTACCTGCACTGGGATTCTCTTTGCAATGTCCACGATCAGCTCCACATTGGCGTAGTTGTTATTGTTGGATCCCCCAGAGACTGGCACGTACTGGTCCGCCATTTTGATGTACTCTGAAGGAGCGGGTTTTCAAAGGAAAAGAAGTCTTGTGTTAAGAAGACCAATAATAATAATAATCTTTGCATTTGTTACGGCGCCTTATCACGTCGTTGAGGCATCTCAAAGCACTTCACAGGATTCACTGTAAAGTGAACTGACTGTATATTTTGTGGGCAAAACACAGCAGCCAATTGCGCACAGCGGCATCCCACAAACAGTCGTGGATTGAGTGACCAAATTATTATTATTTCTTTTTTTTGGAAGGGATTATTCCACCAATCAACTAACAGTCGGGTTCCTACTTTCTGGCTAGGTAAACAGAAGCATGTGGAGTAAGGAAACTTGCTTAACGTCTTGTCCCACCCGGGACACAAACCCGGGTCCTCTCGCTTGTAAAGCAAGCGCTGTAACCAATACTACAACAACTTGCATTTATATAGCGTCCTGCTGGCGTGGTAGCGTCCTGGAACGCACTACGCTATGGGACTCCGATGCGGAGGGGCTTAGAGAGGAAGTTCCAAGGAGCAAAGACAAAGTGGCTGAAAATTGACCGTGGATGGAGAACATGAAGCAGGCCACAGTTGGCCGAGCGGAACTGAGAGGGAGCTTCAGACTGAATCCCCGGAGTGTACCTGCATTAGCCTTCAGGTCCTCGGGAGTCACCATCACCACAAACCGAATCGCCCTCTCGTTCCGAAACATTTCGTATGACCATCGGCGGATGGACCGCATGCATTTAACCGCTGCAATGCCATTGTTAGCAATGAGCACCTGAGGAAGGAAGGAATACAGTAAAACTTGCATCAGTCTGATCTGTATAGATCGTACAATCTGCCCAAGTCGTACATCTGCCCAGGTCCCTGACAAGAGTTTATATTCTATCCAAGTTTGACATAACTCATACTTTGCATAAGTCATATTAAATGTAAGGTCCCAACTGATACGACTCATGTGAGGTTTACTGTAGTAATAATTTGGCCACTCAATCCACATCTGTTTGTGGGACGCTGCTGTGCGCAATTGTGGCTGCTGCGTTTCGCCCACAAAATACACAGTCAATGCACTTTACAGTATATTCTGTGAAGTGCTTTGAGACGTCTCAGTTTCAGAAACGACACCTAATGTTCCGTACCTTTTCAATGACCCGCGTTCCCCCAAACCGAGTGACAAACTCGGCGGGCGAGGCGACAGTGAAATCCCTGGACAGCTCCAGCCGTCTCTCATCTCTCCTCTTTCCCAGGTGAAGACCTGACATCCTCGACCTAACACATGGGATAATCCACGTTAAAGCTTCAATAGACTCGGTCCCGAACAATAAACAACAACCAAGTTACATTTGCTTAGCGCCTGTCACATCAACAGTTTTCTTTTCCAACCCACCAGGAGGGTTAGGTACTTGAATCAAATCACTCAATCAATCATTCAGCTTTGCCAAAGATAGCAGTGCAAGGTGACAGCTCTCTTTAATAAGAGATTAAACTCTTAAAACCTCAAGACGCAGCCTGGCATAATCTAGGATTGTGGCGCACAGCGTAGCAGACGTAATCTTTTCAACAGTGGCAACAGATAAGTGAGGTAACGTGTGAAAGCTTTAGTGCAAAGCTTTCTAAAAGGAGACCATGGAGATTTCTTTCTTGCCCAGCTGGGTGCCTGACACGTGTGGAAACCCATCACCTGCTCAAGAGTCTCCAAACCAAGACGTGAATTCCATGCATCCCACCTAGCATGGAAATCCCAAGAATAGATTGTTGGAACGGAATGCGTGCTCTCTCTCCCTGGAGGGATGCATCCTGCTTACCTTATTTCGGAAAGTATTAGACCCAGGTTGGCAAAAGCAAGGCTTGGGGATTGTACGTTGGGGTAACTGCTGGAGTCTAACAGGCTATAACCGCATAGCTTGCCATTGATAGCGCTGTCTGATAGCACAGCCAAATGCAGACGGCAAATTGAGGAAAAAAATAACAATCCAGTTACACTTCCCTTCAAGATCAGGGACAAAGTCTGCAGGACTGTAGACTAAAACCACTGAAATGCTGCTCTCGAGAGTTCACTAACCTGGAGAGTGCTTTGCCAGTAAAGCCCCTTACATTAGCCAACAGATCAAACTGCAACCAAACTGGTTGCAAAGGGACTGTTTTGATGTATGTTCACATGCGATGAGACAACTCTGATCTACAGTTGGGAATGTTGATGAAATGCACTGAAAGAGTTTGCAGCAGTTAACATTCGATAAAGATCAGAACCGAAAGCGCAACCAATCAGATTACCTATCATCGGCAGACCTCAGTCTTGCAGCTGCTCAAAACATAAAGACTTTATCCCTTCACCCCCTGGCACTCCTCAGTCCCTCACCTTCTCTCCCAGCACTCCTCAGTCCTCTCTCAAAAAAGGTCGCTCCCTGGCAATAAGGGAAATATCTGCAATCAGCCATTGTACTTTGAGCACGGAATAAGCAAAGAACACAAGCCATTAAACTGGCACTTTCCGCAATCATGTACAGCTCACCCTATCTATCATGGATTCATTCTGTTATCTCCTGGGGAAAGTCCACAAGTGAAATTTCCAATGAAAATAATAATAATCACATCTTTGAAAAACCTTAAAGTGCCTCACAGAATATTCTGTAAAGTGTAGTGACTGTGTATTTTATGGGAGACTGCGCACAGCAGTGTTCCACAAACAGTTGTGGATTGAATGACCAAATTATTATTTATTATTTTTTGAAGGGATTATAACCCCCGGAGGGCGATCTGCTAATTGACTATCAAACGGGTACCTACTTACTGCTTGGTATGCAGAGGCATGTGGAGAAAGGAAACATGCCTAAGGTTTTGCCCCACCCGGGAATGTGTTATCTACTAAGGAAAGTCCACAAGTGAAATTTCCAATGAAACTAATAATAATCACATCATCGAAACACCTTAAAGCGCTTCAGAGAATATAATCTAAAGTGCAGTGACTTGTCTAAAGTTTTGCCACCCCCCACCGCCCAAGAATCGAACCCGAGTACTCTTGCTTGCGAGGTGAGCTTGCTAACCATTACGCTACAGGCTCTTTGGTCTGTTTGACCACCAACCTAATCATCTTCCTATAACAGCATCAAGCTGATTGTTGAAGAAGTCTAGCTTTGAGCTCAGACATGTGTTAAAGGGAGAGTCACAATAGATATATACATCTTTTTTTTAAAAAGTACTATTGAATATGAAGCAATGTTTAACTGAAAAAGTAAATGTTTACACACAGCCGTCCCCTCCATTTATATAGGTCCTCTTCGCGTGGGGCAGGGTCCCGGAGCGCTTAACACATCAGACGGACATGGAGGAGTTGAAAGCTGCAAACATGAGAGGCTTCCCTTACAGAAAAACAGCTTAAAACATGACAGGCAGCAGCAGCCCTGAGTATCTGGATGGTGTCCAGAAGAGAGAGAGACACACACACACATGCACTTTATTTTAAAAAATATACACACAAATAAAAACAAGAAACATTACACCCGGTTGTGACTCTGCAATCTCTCTGCTCGAGTTAAATCTTTGAAACTAAAGACACTGACCTGACCTGCCCAGCCGAGCCGGCCACCGAAACCACTTCGAAGTGTATGGGTGTTGTGTATGTGTCTTGCCTTGGAGCGAGAGACTACAAAGTTGTGGTTTGTTGTTTTTCCACATAGACTCCTACCCTCTCCCCACTCCCCTCCCACTTCCCCCCGTCCCCTTCCCCCCCTACTCCCCCTCGTTCAAAGTCTTCTCTCTTCACCCCCTCCACCGAGAGACCTCACACTCCCCAGATACTGCAAGATCTGAAGCCTTTCCACCCTGACCTGGCACACTGCAGGGAGATAGAGGCCAGAGAGAGAGCAGTGTTATAGCAGGCATTGAAGTCCAGGTTGCGTTGATAGCACAGTACTTCTCTCAGGAAAAGGCAGGCTCCAGCTATCGTGGGGGAGGGGAAACACACACAAATAGATCACTTAGTAATCTCTTGTCGGTGAATGCATTTCGCCCACAGTTACTACACTTTACAGTATATTCTTTGAAGCAATTTGAGAGATTTCAACGATGTGACAAAGTGCGACATCGAATGCAAGGATTATATTATTAATAATAATCTTTCTGTCTTTCATTCACACACTCACTCGCACAATCTTTCTCTCACACACGCACAAACACTCTCTCTCTCACTCTCTCACACACACAGACATTTCCCTCAAACTTCCCTCTATTCGCTGAACTAAACCAGGAAATAGTTCAGGCAGCAGCAGTGGGGGATGCACTGAAGAAAGGACCTGCAGAAAAATAAAGTTGTATTTTTATATCTATATAATATTTATATATTTTTATATATATATATAATAAGGAAGGAAGACGGGAATTTGGCCCAGTTGCTGTAACTCGATCCCTTCCACAAGAATTGCCAAAAAATGTGACCTCCAACGACTTTAAGCAATTGTTTACTCAACACAAGCAAGGACACACTGCTCAGCCGGGAAATGTTTTTGTGCCTTGCGAGCGCAGAATTCAGAGCAGCTGCCCGTCATTTCCATTGGGATGGATCGAGGCCCTGACTACCTGTTCAGTTGGACGTTAAAGATCCCACTGTAATATTCGAAAAGAGAAGGGAGTTTCTCTCTTCCGTTGTCGTGGCCAACAATCCCCCAAACAAAATTGGTCACTCGCTCCATGGGAAGTTTGTGGGAAACTGCTGTGCGCAACTGGCTGCCACATTCTGCTCACAAAATACACAGTCAAACCACTTTACAGTATATCCTGTGAAGTGCTTTGAGACATCTCAATGTTGTGATAAGGCGCTCTATCAAATGCAAGGATTATTATTATGGTTCTAAACTAACCTTATGGTTATGTTGGAAGGCAATTCTGGTAACAATGACAAATTACTTTTCTTCTCTCTGTGGGCCATTACATTGGGGTGTTGGCTTGAACACACCTCATTATCAGAAGGGTCATCTTCTGAAGAGCCTGTGAGGAACTTGGATGGACACTGTGCTCTATCCGTCATTGTTGCCTTTACTGATTGAAAGTTCCTTTCTCCATGTAGTATTGATAGTCTGCAAGGTTGTGCCGAAGATTGGCTTGAATCAAGATCTTCTTCACTGGATGGTTGGACGTCGATTCGGTCTGGAAACTTGACAGAGAGATATTTCAAGAGTTGGACTTGAACCCCGTACCCCAAGGAATAGGAATTGTGGAGTTTTCCTGGTTCTGGAGCATTTGGCAAGAATTCAACCTCTAAATTGGTGGAGGGCTTTGAAGACGGTGCTTTCAAATGACGTTTCTGATCTTCAGAAGGCCGGGGTTCAGGATTGGGTCAGAAGAATGTGTTCTGAGAAGATGGGGACTGACTATCAATCTGTCCTGAATTAGGACCATTAACTGTAAGGGTCAACCCAAGTCTTCAAGGTCTGACATGAATATTCTGACATCTTCATATACAACTAACCAGCGACATGGGGCAAGAAATTCTTACGCAGCTCTTCTCAGACAATCTACTGTGGTAGATTGTTGTGGTCAACCGGGTGTTTAACACATGCGGAAACTCATCACCATGCTTAACAATATCCAAACCAAACTGAGAATCCCAGCTACACATGGAAATTTGAGAGATAAGATTGTTGGAATGCAATGTGCACTCTGTCTCCCTGGAGGGACGCATTCTGCTCACCTAAATCAGGAGAGTATGAGGTGCAGGTTAGCAAGAGCCAAGACTCGAGGACCCAGAGTGTGCGTTGGGAACAAATGCCGGAGTCCAACCCGCTAAAACCGCAGAGCTTGCCGTTTGTTACACCAAATGTGAAATAGTCTTCCTGTAGTGTCCAACGGGATAGATTGTCTCCGTGAGGCGCCTAAAGACTGGAGAGGTGCTACTGCACAGTACAGTACAGTACAGTACAATACAAGAGCGCAAGTTGCTGTAAAGGGTGAAACCTGTGGCCTCAGCTTGAACCTTTAACGAATCGAAACGAACCTTTACGGCCTGGTCCTGCTCAAAAAACCAAAAGCTCAGCAATTCTGAACACCGTAAGACTTGCCGACGCCTTACCCATGGACGGGTCAAGGAGTGAACACTTTTTTTTTCGCGCGTGCGCCTCAGCGCACTCTCAAGAGGCGAGTTTCCGCAAGTTGACACGAAAAGGAAAAGGGCGCATCGGCAAACTTGAACACTTATCCCTTCCCCTCACCAGTCATCGCCGTCTCGCCCTCAACAGGGTCATTGGGGCCCTTTACCAAGATGGCGGCTCCTTCGAGCCTCCTTTCCCAAGATGGCGCCCCCCCCCCCCCCCCCTCGCCTAGCTACCTCGCTCCCGTCTCCTTTACCAAGATGGCGGGCGAAGCGGTTCAGTCGGAGCATGCGCGCGTCCGACCCGTCTCCCTCCCCCCCCCACCTCCGGGTCCCCCGCGTGACCCGGAAGCGGAAGCGGCCCCGGTGGCCGTCTGTCCCTTGGAGTTCTGTGTCTGTGTGTGTGAGAGAGAGAGTGAAAGTGAAAGAGAAAAAGAAGGAAAAGGAAAGAAGCGCAGACAGAAACAACACAGAGTGGGAGAGTGGGAGCAGAGGCTGTGGGTAAGGAGCCGGTGACCTTCCCTGCGGACAGCGTCTGAGGTTTAAACCCGACAGCCGAGCCCCACAGGCCCACAGGGCCGGGTTTGGCTTTCTCTAAAATCTGTTGTTGTTGTTGTTGTTGTCGTCGTTATTATCAACAGCAATAATCCTGGCGTCGGGGACCCCGGGGGCCTCATCGCGCGCCGCCGAGGCGCCTGGACAGCGCCTTCGCGAGCCGCCCCGCGCAGCAAAGTGACTCGCGCGCGTCGCGGGCGCAACGCGGCGGTGACCCCCGGCAACCAGTCGGGGATTTGAGCGGTCGCATTTTTTTTTTGTCCGGAGGGATTGTTACTCTCCCCCCACCCACCCCCCCCACCCCCGCCCACCCCCGGAAAAGCCATCGGCCGATCGACTGACAACCGGGCTCCGACTTGCTGTGAGGTAAACTTTTTTTTTTTTTTGGAGGCGTTATTACGCCGCTTGTTAATGCGTCGAACAAGCGTCTCGTTTAATTTACAGTCCATCAGCCTGGCACTTTACCTTTTTTTTTTAAAAAAAAGCAGATGTTTATGCGTGTGAAGGGCGCTGTATTAATTGAAACTTATTGTTGGTGTCCCTATCGGGCACTGGAGTGTGTGTGTGTGTGTCTATACATAAAGCAGTTGTCACACCAGTCGCTCTACGTGACGTTTGTGTGTTTGGTTTTCTGGCAGTTCTGGTCCGTGCGAGTTCCCGGGGGCGTTATTCTGAGAGGATGGAGCTGAAATGGTGGCGTGGGGCCAGCGCACAGAGTCTGCCAACTGTCTTTGTACAATAACACTTCAGTCCAAGTCAAGGGAGAACTCGCAGAGAGCTATGTCTACACCTCGGGACTGATGCACCAATTTCTGCTTTGAGACGGCAACACACAGCTCAGGTAAGCAGCGTTATATATCCCGAAGTTTCACATATACTGAGGCAATTGTGTGCCGGTATCGTGCAATGTCAATATTACATGGGCAGCATTTCTCTGTGTCTCATGTCCCAGGAGAGTATATTAGCCAAAGCATTCCACTTGCTTCTCTGTGGATATTTGGAACTCCTTTGGGCACAAACTTTCTGAAGTCCTCGCATTAACCAGCATCTCAGTAGAACGGTCAGTGAGTTTTATCTGGTGGTTTCATGGAAGTTACCAAAAGACTAGGATTATTACCTCCGGATCTGCCAATTGACTAACAAGCGGGTTCCTACTTACTGTTGGGTAAGCAAAGGCCTGTGGAGTCAGGAAACTTGCCTAAGATTTCGCCACCAGATAATGCCTTCAGTAGAGGAGAAATTAAGAGGAACCTAAAGTGCTATCTTCTTGTCCACAACAGCAAGGATGTTCAGTGCCACACAAACCTCGAAGTTGCAGTTTCTGGACAGTGCTCGTGCAGCTCGAGAGGAGAGGAAAGGACAGAAGGAGCGGGAGCGAGCGGCCATTCACATCCAGGCGGTCGTCAGGAGATTCCTCTGCAGATGCCGGCTTCTTAGAGAAATAAGGTTCAAAACTTTCTTCTGGGTTCATTGCTGAATAATAATCTGCCAGGAAGGGTGTACAATGGACACAAAAAGTGATTACACGCATAGATATAACAGTTGGAAAGGAGAGAGAGACACAGGCGTCTTGTTTGAGGAGACTGTAGATTATTTTTGCTGTGTGAAATATCAGGAGCAGCGGATAATCAGGTGCTGTTGTTTTTGCTTTTACAGGAATGAAATCGATGATTTTTTGGGCCCAAACGAAACTAATTCATCCAGAAAAAATGCACTTTCTATATTCAAACTCACTAGGAAACTGCTCTTCGTGTTCCACATTAAGCAAGATAAAGAGGTGAGCGCGGGAGCTGGAGGGATATTTTGAGACTGATTTGCAGGTACCTGGAGGAGAGAAGTTCAGAATCTCTCTTATCTTCATCCTGTGAACACTCCCTTTCAAACGCAAGGATTATTATTACATTTACTATAATGAATCGTGTTGTTGTTCCCCTTCAGAGACTTGGGAAGCTGTGTCGCTGTATTCTCAACAGCATGGAAGCCGAGAATGAGCCCAAGGTCTGTAGTTTTCAAACCCATTCACTTTAACTGCTCCCGTGCCACCGTTACCACATTATAGTGCCAGCGTAGACTGATCTTCGGTCCCCACTTAGGGCTTGAACCCACAACCTTCAGACCTAGAGATGACAGTGCTCCCAACTGAGCCAGGCTGAAAATATCAGCGATGTAGTCACAAGCCACTGGCACTCAGTCCATTCACTACATTCTTATTTGCCCTGTCATTTCCAATAGCTCTGCAATGTTTACATGATACGGATTGATGATGTGTACATTTGTGATAATCCTTCTATTTTGGTCAGCCGGGCGTCTTGACACATATGGAAACCCATCACCATGCTTAAGAGTATCCAAACCAAACATAGTTCCATGCATCACATCTATACATGGAAATTCCAGAGATATTTATTGGAATAGAATGTGCACACTCTCTCTCTCTCTCTCTGGAGGGATGCATCCTACTTACCTAATTCTGGAAAGTACTAGGCGCAGGTTGGCAAGAGCCAAGGCTTGGGGACCCCAGAGTGTGGGTTGGGGTTACTGCTGGAGTCTAAACAGCTAATACCACATAGCTTGCCATTGAGAGCACTGTTTGGCAAACTTTCCCACTGTTTCTCCAGCTAGGACCACCCCAGCCATTAGAGCTTTGGCTTGCAAGGTTAACAGGAGCTGAGTGGGAAAAGTCCCTGCCTCCAGTGACCAGTCTCCAATATCCCACCGAGAAGGTGTAACAAACATTTATCAAACCAAGCTTAAAGTAAAGATGTGATATTGGATGCATTTTTATGGACAGTAAGGATTACTACTAAAACGGTTGAAAACGCCATATCTCATTCTTTCTCGTAGGTCTGGTACGTTTCGTTAGCACTTTCAAAGGAACTGACCATGTTGTGGATCAAACAGGTCAAGGACTTGCTGTGGCTCTGCAGTAAGCTCTTGAAACAACTGAAGGTAAATTCGGTGTCTTGGATTTAAGACTCTTTTGCCCCTGACTTCTATTAAATCTTCACCAGCCTGTTTGCTCCCTCTGCTCTGCAGGCACTGGCCTGCTCCACGTCCCTCGCCCTGCCTGTTCCACTATAGGCAGTTGGGCCTTCAGCCCTTCTGCCTCCACCCTCTGGAGTTCCATCCCGGAGCCCCTCCAGCTTGTCCCCTCCCTTGCCTCCTTCAAGGCCAATCTCAAGACCTTCGTTTTCGACCGTGCCTTCAGTCACCTTGGGGTGTCCTTCTGACGTGAAAGGCACTATATAAATGTAAATTTGTATTGTTATTGTGTTTGTGTTCTAGCCCGATATGATGCAGGACACAAAGCACATCACGCTGCACCTCACCATGTTAGTCACCTTCACGGACACCTCGACGTGGAAAATCCTGAGAGGAAAAGGTCAGTGGAGGAATAACCTGGCCCCAGTGCCCAAGTGAAGTTTTAAAAACATTTTTATAGAGTTTACTTTGAACAGTTGAGGCAGTGTGATTGCTTCCCTCCCTGTGAACACGCTTTGGGACATCCTCCCAATGTGAAAAGCGCTATATAAATAAATGGAATTGCGAACACCCTGTACAGCAAAAAAAAATCATCTGAAACCTGTGGTTTTCCCAGTAACTCGTGATTTTGTTTGATTTTTGGCAGGGGAAGCAATGAGACCCGCTATGAACCACATCTGTGCCAACATCATGGGTCACCTCAACCAGAAGGGATTTTATACTGTGCTACAGGTTTGGGAGACAACCTTTTTTCTGACTTTGGGTCAATTTGTTGTACCTCAGTGTTGCTTAAAACCGCTGTATCAAATGAAACCATGATCACAACTGTATATTCTAATATTCTATTCCAGTTACTATTAACAAACGGGCTAGCAAGGAGCAAGCCATCCCTGTCTAAAGGCACTTTAACAGCCATCTTCTCTCTCTCTTTACGGTAAGATAATCGGGAACAAACCTTCCGTCTCCCGGCAGAATTCTTTTAAAAATAAAAGTAGTTTCCTGTGGTAAGGGAGGGAAGTGCCGACTTCTAGATGGAGAAACTCGTCCTCGTGTAAATGGAGTGGACAATATACTGTACCTGCAATAGGGGAACGTTTAAGAGGTTAATGGTGGATTTTTGTGAAGGAATTCAGGGCTGCAAATAGCAAGATTTTCCTGGCCGGGGTTTTGGTCCAGTGCTTCAAGGATGCAGACAGTACATAGTTTGGGACATGACATGTGCATGCGACTGCCAAGATGGTGGAAGACGAACTGGGTGGCCGTGGTCTTCTTTTGGTCTAGCAATTCTTATGTTATAATAATAACACTTTCATTTGATAAGGTGACTTATCACATTTTCGAGGCATCTCTAAGCGTCTTCACAGGATACACTGTAAAGTGAATTGACTGCCAGGCATATGGAGCAAGGAAACTTACCTAAGGTTTTGCCCTGCCAGTGCTCTAACCAAATGTTGCAGGACTTCTTGTGACCCCTTAAATGTTCTTGAAGAGTTCGAAACTAATCGTGAGCTCTTGTCCTGCCGATGTCTCAAGGTTTCCCACTGACGATTTTCCATGTTCTTTTCTTTCCAGTCCAGTGATCGCAGCCCATTTCTCGGACAACCTGCTCCGTTCGTTCTTGCTGCACATCATGTCAGTCCCAGCCTTAGTCACGCATCTCTCTACCATCGTGCCTGAGGTAAAGAATGTCACAGGAAACTCCACAGCAGTCTAAATCCTACATACACTCTGCTGTCAGCAGCCTTGTTGTAACACGGTGGTTTGGGTAAATGAGCGCAGCTGCTGGGTCATTGCTGATAGCATTCAGCAGTGCTGAACTTGTACACAATGTACAGGAAAGTTGGTCAGTCAGGGCTGTAAGCTGGGAGGGCACCTCACTTCTGGAACGCTGTGGATCCCCGCTACAGCATGTGTTATCCACTGACCACGGGGAACTGAAAAACCGCTCTAAACTCCACACGTTTTCCTTTATAGTGCATGGCCATGGTGCATTCGCAGGAGCTGCTGCTAAAATTCATCCTGTTTCTGAGCCGGGAAGAGCAATGCAGTGACATCTGTGTGTGCTTGGAGGGCAGCCACTCTCTCTGCCTGCTGGGTGAGTGCCCGATGCTCCCCGTCTCCGGAGCCAGTTCAGTTTGCGCTTGTCTGCGCTTTTCGTTTCTCAAGGCTACTCCTACCTACACCCTAGGCGGTGTGTTTATGGTTTACTCTTGCGTAGTGGTTAACACGCTCGCCTTGCAAGTGGAGAGGACACGGTTTTGATTCCCCGGCAGGACGAAACCTTTGCCAAACTTCCTTACTCAACACACTTCTGCTTACCTGGCAGTAAGCAGGAACCTGGTTGTTAATTGATTGGCGTATCGCTTTCTGGGGGTAATAATCCCCTCCAAAAGAAAAATCAGTGACTGTTTTGTGGGACACTGCTGAACACAATTGGCTGCCGCGTTTCCCCCAAAAAATACACAATCAATTCATGTTCCACCATTTCTGTGAAGCGCCTTGAGACGTCTCGACGCCGTGGTCAGGCGCCATATCAAATGCAAGGATTAGGTGTAATAAAACGGCTTGCAAATATTTCAGTTTTGCTTTCAAGTTAATCTGATTACAAGAGGCAACCAAGTGTCTCTCCAGCCAACATTTAAACCGTTAACATCCAAACATTAAACATCTAAGCGCTCCGAGACACTGCCCCGCACAAAGGGCGCTATATCAACGCACGTTGTCATCGTCGAGAGAATCTGATGGGCTGAGTTTGCCTGCCCCAGGGAACCTGATCCAGCTGGCTTACCTGTCGGAGAAAGTGCTGGAGGAGGAGACGAATCACTTTGTCAGTGTGCTCACAGCCATGCTCTCGTACTGCCAGAAGTACGTCGCGCAGAAGAAGTCAAACCTGACTCACTGGCACCCGGTGCTGGGCTGGTTCTCTCAGACTGTGGATTACGGGTATGTCATATCAGCGGTCACCCAGAAATCCCTCGCGCCCCTGGCACCTCCCCACCCCTCTGCTCGCCCGCTCAGCTAACTCTAGCTTTCTCTCTTGACGCCCGTTCTGCCCGCTTCAACATTAGTGCCGGGGGTTTCAGATTCTTCGCCCCTCAGCTCTGGAACTCCCTCGGTCTCTTTTTCCCCCCCCCCCCACTTTCTATATGTCCTGCCTTTAAACCTACCTCTTCGACCGCGCATACGGTCACTTCTCCCTTGTTCCTTTTTCGCTGTCCGCTCCCCTTTCCCCTCTGCTCAGCAACTGTTCCCGCCATTGTGTTATCCTACGCGAGGGACGCTTATAAATAAATGCGAGTTGTTGTGTTCTGTCCTGGGGGAATCTTCTCAGTGATTTTCTCTCTTCACCCCCACCCCTCCCCGACACCCTGCCCCCCACCCCGTTATGTGCCTGTCCTCAGGTTGAATGAAGCCATGCCGCTGGTCACCAGGCAGCTGCAGTACCTGTGGGGGGTCCACATCATTCGCACTCTGTTCCACGACGTGCTGAGCAAGAAACTGCCCGAGAGCCAAGACTCGATGCACGTACAAGCCTCACTCTCCAGCCTTCCCAACAACATGCAGGTCAAAAGTAAGCCGCCTCCCTTCCCAGCTGCTCGCTTTCCAACCAACGTCGGCCCTGGCTCAGTGAGCGGCTCTCTCGCCTCTGAGCCAGAAGGTTGTGGGTTCGAATCCCACGTTGGGCGTTGAACTTACATCATCTAGAATAAAATTAATAATAATTTGGTCTCTCAATCCACTTGGTAGCTGAGCGCGATCGCTGTGCATTTCACCCACAAAATACACAGTCGCTCCACTTCACAGTATATCCCGTGAAGCGCTTCGAGGCATCTCAACGAGGTGATAAGGCGCTATATCACGTGCAAGGATTATTATTATCGCCGCGCTGCCTGTTTGCGCTGCTCGCTCTATATCAGATGATTTACAGGTGTTTTTCCCCATTGCAGATCTCTTCAAACGAGCCTTCCAGAAGTCTGCTTCCATGAGGAACATCCTGAAGCCGGTGGGCGGGAAGCGAGTGGACTCGGCCGAGGTGCAGAAAGTGTGCAGCATCTGCGTGCTGTACCAGATGGCACTCACCACCCTCACCCAGATCCGCCTACAGATCCTCACAGGTTAGTCTTGTGTTGTTTCTACCTCTCAGCAGCGGAGAGCAGCAAATTTCCCGCTGTGTTCTTCTCCCACATTCCCACGTCAAGACAGTCTTCAGCCTTTCCTCCTTCACCCTTTGGAACTCCATCCCACAGTCCCTTCGCCTCGCCCCCTCTCCTTTAAGGCCTGAAGACCCTCCTCTTCAACCGCGCCATCGGTCACCCTCCTACCCCCACCCTCCCTGCCCTACAGCCCTCTTGATCCTAACCCCCAGCTCGGGTGCAGATCCCTGACAGTCCAGCGCCTTGGGACGTCCTGTCGACCTGAAAGTCGCCGTGTGAATGTCATTTGTTGTTGATGTAGGACTTTCTGTGGCTGGCTGGTGGGAATGTGTATGCTGTGTGAGGTCAGAGCTGAGTGGGTGCTGTTTGCGGTCTGTGTCTAAGTGGTTGTTTATCTTTGCTCAGGGTTAACCTATTTAGACGACTTATTGCCCAAACTGTGGGCTTTCATCTGCGAGCTCGGACCCCAGGGGGGGCTGAAGCTGTTCCTCGAGTGCCTGAACAACGACACGGAAGAGTCCAAGCGGCTTCTCGCTATGCTCATGCTGTTTTGCGACTGTTCCCGGCACCTCATCACGTAAGTCACAGACCCTTCTGGCCTTAACCCTTTCACTGCCACAAGTGATTCGGTTTGAGCGAAATGATCAATATAAATAGGAGTTCAATAAGAGTGTTGAATTGCTGATTAGAGTGAGTGTTTTTGTAAAGCTGCACAGTTACAATAAATAGTAATATTCCTTGCATTTGCCCCAGCGCCTTATCACATCTTCGAGACGTCACAGTGCGCTTCACAGAATATACTGTAAAGTGAATTGACTGTAGCACGGCCGGTAAACAGAATCTCTGCTCCTTTGTTCAGCGTGACGTTTGTAAAGGGACAGTTAAGTAAGTACTGAGCTGTGTATGAACGCAGCCCGAGAGTAAGCGTATAGCAACGTTTCGCCAGCAAGCGGCGCCATTTCACTTTACAGCGTGAGTCGCACATAAGGGACTGTTGACTGTAATGGGGAAATACAACGCAGCATGTTTGACTCCACAATGAACTACGTAGCTATTTGACATGCGTTAAAGTGGGTGCTGCGTGAGTCTCACTCGTTAGTTGTTGGACTTGTGCAATGGTTAAGCGCACCGAGACACCGTCCGGTATGAAGGCGCTGTATCAACGCATGTTGTTTTTCTTGTCAGATTCTCATGAGACTTAGTTGTGAATAATTCATTCTTCTTCCTCTGGCTTCTGCTGTGTCTGTCCTGCGTGAAACCGACTGCCGCCCCCTTATAACTGCAGGATCCTGGATGACATTGAAGTATACGAGGAGCAGGTGTCCTTTAAACTGGAAGAACTGGTCACGATCTCTTCTTTCCTCAACTCGTTTGTGTACAAGATGGTCTGGGATGGCCTGCTGGGTAGGTTCATACCCTTGTGAGAGGCTTCATTGGAACCAGTTGGGAAATATGGTCCATGGGAAGTGGTGTTTGTTAGGACGATGGAGATCGAGTGTATAGCGATGGTTTGCCAGCATGTGGCGTCATTTCACTATGGTTTGGAGACTGTTAAGGCTGACCCCAAAAAAGTGTGTGTGTGTGTGTGGGGAAGGGATTTTGTTGTTGACTGACTGCACCAACAACAACTTGCTTTTACGCAGCAAGTCCTTTCATTCCTGAATCTCATGGATGGTGCGGTTGAACGAAATTCAGACGGGCAGACCTCCAGTTACGTCATTAAGACCTATCTTTTCAACTGCAGTCTCGATCAACTTTGTATGCCAGAGTGCAGTCTGGCTACTCCATTGCAGCTTGTCCCAGAGAGAGACACCCACTATTAGATATAATACTGCCTAAATCATAGGCTTTAGGATGAATCCTACAATTTGCCCACAAAATGTACAGTCAATTCACTTTGCAGTATGTTCTGCGAAGCACTTTGAGACTTCTCGAAGACGTGATAAGGCACTGTGTCAAATGCAAGGATTGTTATTTTATTATCCTGGCAAACATCTGTGCACGTGCGCAGGCTCTTAAAGGGATGGGTCGATCAGTGTGTGAATTGGCTCAGTGTTTGGCCATATGTGTTGGAGAGCAACTGACGCTGTATGTTCGAAGGCTCTGGCGAGGGAGGGAGGGAGGGGGCATTACAGGGGTTTGGGTTTTGCTGAGCGGTCAGTGGACAGGACTCCCGAGTGTAACTGCGTGCTCGTGTCTGCAGAGAACGCGAAAGGGGAACAACTGGAGCTGTTTCATTCAGTGCTCGGGTGGCTGATGACGCTGTACGAGCGAGACTGCAGGCGACGTTTTTCTCCTGAGGATCACTGGCTGCGCAAGTGAGTAACTGATAAGAATGGGTGTGGTGTGTAGGGCAACAAAGTGTATAGCATTGTCTCCCTTTTACAATAATAATAATTATCACTGCATTTGATAGAGTGCCTTAGACAGTCCCCTGCAAGAGGGGCGCTATATAAATGCGAGCTCTTGTTTTGCAGTATATCCCGTGAAGTGCTAATCTGTTCTGTCTCTGCTTCTTCAATACAGGGACCTGAAACCGGGCCTGCTGTTCCAGGACTTGGATAAAGGGAAGAAGAGAGCTCAGTTACTGCTGCAGTACATCCCTCACATCATTCCCCACAAAAATGTAAATCACAGGGAACAGGCTGGTCAAAGATAAACTGACCCCTAACACAGTAAACCTCACATAAGTCATATCAGTTGGGGCCATACATTTAATACGACTTATGCAAAGTATGAGTTATGTCAAACAGTAAGACTGATGCGAGTTTTACTGTAATGCGTTTAACACGGCAAAAAATGTAGAGCGACCGGCTGTCGATTCATGCTCGGGAGAGGTTTTTAAATGGAGAGATTTTAAAACGTTTTATTTGTTCACCTGAGTTCGAGGGAGTTGAAGGCTTTGAGTGTAATTCGAGTCTCTCTTTGTTCTGTTCCCAGAGAGTGCTGCTTTTCCGGAACATGGTGACGAAGGAGAAGGAAACCTTGGGTTTAGTGGAGACGAGCTCAGCCTCTCCTCACGTCATCCACATCACCATTCGCAGATCCCGCATGTTAGAGGTTAACCTCAACGCACTCCTCCATCCCAGACACCAAGCACACACATACACACACTCATGCACACAAACACATACACACTCTGGTACATACAAGCACACAAACTCTCAAACGCCCACGTGTACACTCGTACATACAAATACACACATGCACTGCACACGCGCAGGACTGTGTGGACATCCTGTAGAGGGTAAACACTGGTCTTGGGTCCACATGGACCTAAGAGTATGTTGAGTCCAGGAAAAAGATCTGGAGCTTGTCACCATGAGTTGTAATACTCTTAAGGTACATGGTTTCTGTTACAACATGACATTAATAGGATGGATTAATGCAATTTATCACTTATGTAGGGTTTAGGACATCTCATCCAGTAGAGGTTGACTTCTGTGTGAGTTAATAAAGAGTCACTTGCTTTCAGGATGGTTACGAGCAGTTGAGGCAGCTTCCTGTCAACACTATGAAGGGCGTCATCCGGGTGAAGTTTGTGAACGACCTGGGAGTTGATGAGGCTGGCATCGATCAGGACGGGGTCTTCAAGGAATTCTTGGAAGAAATTATCAAGAAAGTCTTTGATCCAGCGCTGAACCTCTTCAAGGTAACCAGTGGTTGGGTAGAAAAAAATTGGGAAATGGAAACGAGCCTCAGGGTCAGAAGGTTACGGGTTTCATTGTTTGTCAATCAGTCTCTGTCTGTCTGTGTCTATCTGTCTTTGGAAGCTTAGGCAAGTTTCCTTACTCCCACACGCCTCAGTTTACCCAGCAGTAACTAGGAACCCGGTTGTTAGTTGATTGGTGGAGCGCTTTGGTTGGTTGAAATAGGAAGTTATCTTTGGAAATGTTGTGAAAACCAGCATATCTGTGTGAATGAAGATCTCACGGACTCGAACGCTCTTCATTGTTTCAATGTATTTATTTACAGACGACCAGCGGAGATGAGCGACTGTTCCCGTCCCCCACCTCCTACATCCATGAGAACCACCTGCAGCTCTTTGAATTTGTGGGCAAGATGCTGGGAAAAGCCATCTACGAGGTAAAGCCAGCAACAAGAACCTGTAACCCGACAGGGTGAAGAGTGCCTCTGTCGTACGTACATCGTACATGAGCTTTGCTGCTTAATGATGCTTAATGACCTCCCCCTTCCCCCCCCCCCACCCCACACCCTTCTTCCCCATCTTCAGGTTGCACCTTCCTTTTTGGCCATGCTTACGGTCACTTCCCCCTCCCTCTAGTTCGCCGTCGGGCTCCACCACTGTCAAGCGCTCTGGAAGGCTATGGGTGCTCTATAAATGCAAGTTGTTGTTAAAGGGGCATTTCTCCTGTTGTCCTGGCTAATAACCCTCTAGATAAATTGGTTTCACATTGCTGCGCGCAAATTGGCTCCCCTTTTCGCCTACAAAATACACAGCCATTAAACGTAACTGTAAATCCTGTGAAGCGATGTGAAGCGTCCTTCTGATTTGAAAGGCATTAAATCGACTAAAGATGATTGAAAACTGCTTAGCAATATAAGAACTTTAATTGAGCCAAGACATTTACTCGCCTCTCAGTAACTGAGGTTCTTCGATTTATTTTAACCTCAAATAAGCAATGACTTTTATTAGTGTGTGAAAGGAATAATATTGTGGAATTCTGTTTTTCTTTCCCCCTCTCTCTCTCTCTCTCTCTCTCTCTCTCTCCCCCTCCCTCCCTCCCTCCCTCCAGGGAATAGTTGTGGATGTGCCCTTTGCTTCCTTCTTCCTCAGTCAGGTTCTTGGACATCACCACAGTGCGTTATACAGCTCGATCGATGAACTCCCCTCTCTGGATTCAGAGTTCTACAAAAACCTCACCTCCATCAAGGTAACCCACTGGCCCCGGGGGCTGTACGTGAAGGGAGAAATAAACGTGTGAGAGAGCAAGCAGAGCCGCATACAAATGATTCACTGTAAACATGAGGGAAAGAAGAGTGGAAAATGCAAAAGTCTTGCAGTATGTTTCTTTGGTCTGCCAAGCACTTCACAAGGTTATACTGTAAAGTGAATTGACTTCATGTTTTGTGGGTGGAACGCGCAACCAATTACGCACAGCAGTGTCCTACAAACAGTCAGGGAGCGAGTGAGCAAATTATTATTATTTTTTTGGAGGGATTATTCCCCCCCCGCCCCACCCCCCGGAAAAACGATCCGCCAATCGACCAACTGGTCCTCTTGCTTGAAAGGCGAGCGCTCTAACCAATACGCTACAGGTCTCCACCCATTCCCTACTCTGTCATTTACTGTCACCGTATTGCAAAGTTGTTGTGTCAGCGTTAGTGACAAGCTGAGGAGTGAGTGCGGCTGGTTCACTGTGCGTTTCCTCTCTTACAGCGTTACGATGGCGATATCAGTGATCTGGGGCTGACCTTATCCTACGACGAGGACGTCATGGGTCAGGTAATGATGGCCCAGCACTGGGCAGGGACTGGAGTGTGAGTCTCAGCCCGGTTCAGGGGGGCAGGGTCACGAGTCGAACAACAACGACAAATTACACAGAAGCACGGCAGTGTTAATTAATCGTTTTGTTTTCTTCCTCGTTCAACAGCTGGTCTGTCATGAGCTGGTTCCTGGTGGCAAGACGATGGGAGTGATCAATGAGAACAAGTGAGTGTTACCTCAGCCAAACGCAGTGCAAAGGGTTTGAGAAATGTCCGCATAAGCAATGTTTTGCCCTGAATGGCTAATCCCGTGGCCAGACAGAGCCTGTGCCCCCGGTGACCGTCTCCCGATTGGCTTGAGGCCTCTGCGAGTCTGTGTTTGCTTGTCGGGCAATGAAATTTGAAATGGTTCGGGGGGCCGGATGTGGCCCGCGGGCCGCCAGTTGGATTACCCTGGTGTAGGCTGGTATTGCAGTGCTGGGGGGAGCTCTCGCTGTGGCCTTTTGGATGCGACACAAGCTATCTCACCCTTGGAGGAGCTATCCCACGCTTCCTGTTTCCGATTTGGAACTGGTTATGTTCCGGGAAGAACGTACTTTGGTGAACGTTTGGTTGGCACTGGGTGGGATTGACGTTCCTGATTTTTCACCCAACAGAATCAGCTACATCCACCTCATGGCTCATTTCCGCATGCACACCCAGATCAAGGATCAGACGGCCGCCTTTATCCGAGGCTTTCGCTCCATCATTAATCCAGAGTGGCTCCGCATGTTCTCAACCCCCGAAGTGCAGCGCTTGATCGCCGGGGACAATGCCGAGATCGACCTGGAGGACCTCAAGTAAGAGAGTCGGCTCAGTGCGAGGTGTTGTGTGTCAGAAGTGAGGTTGTGTTGCTTGGTGTGATAGCAAGCAGGTGGGACGCACAGAGGCTTAATTCTCCATCTTGTTTGGTGGAGTCCTGTAGCGCAGTAGTTAGCGCGAGAGGACCCGAGTTTGATTCCCGGCCGGACGGGGCAAAACCTTATTAGGCAAGTTTCCTTACTCCACACGCACGCCTCTGTTTACTAGTAGTAAGTAGGAATCCGGTTGTTAGTCGATTGGTGGATTGCTTTACAGGGATAATAATCCCCCCACCCCCAAAAACAATAATAATTTGAACACTCAATCCACGACTGTCTGTGGGACGCTACAGTGTGCAATTGGCTGCTGTGTTTCGCCCACAAAATACAATCTATTCCGTGAAGCACTTTGAGATGTCTCAGCGACGTGAATGAAGCGCTAATTCAAATGCAAGGAATATTATTATTTATTTATTATTTTGTTGTTGTTTGTTCCTCCACTGGAGCTGACCACTCCGTTGCCAATTCCCTGCCCCTTTATCCACACCTTATAAATCGCTTTCTAGTGTTACATTGACATTTCCCAGCAAATCATCTCATGTCTCCAGCATTCACTCTTCAAGGGAATCCTTACTAAAGAAACCTCCTTGTATTTTTAATGCTTGGATTCTTGTAAAGGAGGGAGGGGGTCGATGGTGACCTTTACATACAAATCTCTGAGTTCCGACTATTGGAGATGCAGGGTTGACTACAAATCCCTCTGGGTTTCTTTCAACTGAATCCAAATGCTGAAATGCTGCAAGTGCGGAGCGAGAGACGGTCCCAGCGGATTGAACTGTGCATCTCGAGCTCTGCCTCTTGTTCATGGCATTGCGAGCGCGCGGGTTGTCTGATCGATGGTGGCTCGTAACCTTTCTGTCGTGTGTGTGTGTGTGTGTGTGTGTGCAGGAAGCAAACCGTGTATTACGGCGGTTTCCATGGCAGCCACCGGGTCATTACCTGGCTGTGGGACATTCTGGCGCATGACTTCACACCCGAGGAGCGAGCCATGTTTCTGAAGGTAAATAAATGGACATTGGGTGGTGCCAGCGGGAGGTCTTTGGAAACATTAAAGTAGCCCAGCTGTCTGATGCCTGAGTGTCGCCTGCTGCTGCTGCTGCTGCTGCTGCTCTCTCACCTCGAGTCGGAAGGTTGTAGTGACTTGGAATCACATAATCAGAATTGCTGTCCTTCGGATGAGTCATTAAACCGAACTCCCGTCTGCCTGTTCAGGTGGATGTTGAAAGATCCCGTGGTGCTATTGGAAACGAGAAAGGAGTTTCTCTTCTCTCTTTCCTGCTGTCCTGGCCAATAATCCCCCATTTATGGGGCTGCCTCGTTTCGCCCACAAAATACACAGTCAATTCACTTCACAGTGTGTCCTGTGAAGCCCTTTGAGACGTCTCAGTGACGTGATATGGCGTTATATCAAATGTTAGGATTATTCATTGTTTGTTATTTGTTTTGGTCTGTTCTTTTGTCTCCCTTTTCCAGTTTGTCACCAGCTGCTCTCGACCTCCACTCCTGGGTTTTGCCTACCTCAAACCCCCCTTCTCCATCCGCTGTGTGGAGGTATCGGATGATCAGGTACGAAGACTTGATGTGTCTTCACGACTGTTTGTGTGACGTTGCTGTGCGCAACTGGCTTTTCGCCCACAAAATACACGGGTCACTGGACTTTATTTATAGTATATCCTGTGAAGTGCTTTGAGACGTAATAAGGCGCTAGATTAAATGCAAGGATTATTATTTCAGTATCAGACGCCGCTCACACTGTAATGTATTTCAGGACACGGGGGACACCCTGGGCAGTGTGCTGAGGGGTTTCTTCACCATCAGAAAGAAGGAGCCGGGCGGACGTTTGCCGACCTCTTCCACCTGCTTCAACCTCCTCAAACTCCCCAACTACAGCAAGAAAAGCATCCTGCGGGAGAAACTGCGCTATGCAATCAGTATGAACACGGGATTCGAGCTTTCCTAGCCTCCGGGAGGACCCTGCGTGCGAGCGCGCGTGCGTGTACGCGCTTGCTTGCGTAGGTAAACATGCAAAGGGACTTCTGCTACAGAAGCTGCCCCCGGCCACACGACAAGCAGTCAATGACGGATCATTTTGATTCCCCTTAACTGAAGGAAGCGACGAGGATTCGGGGTACAAGCCGGATGTCCAAGGGTCTCAAACGTAAGATTAACGGGACTGGAAGGGTTAGCAGGTTATTGCTGATCTGTGTGCCACCTGAGATAGCTGTGGATGTGGGTGACTTGGGGCTCTCTGGCTCAGTGTGGTCAAAGTCCTGCTTTACACTAATTGACCGGACCTGATAATTAACCCTTTGTAGGGTGGTTGCACTTCCCTTCTCCCCCCCCTCCCCACCCCCCAAAAATCCCTGAATCTGCAATGTTTCCAGGAAACTCTTTCAGGGATGCCGTGATTTAGGAAACGTCATTGAGGAGGTAAGCCGGGGAGAGGGGAGGGGGTGCCAACGTTTTTCTAATTGTATTGCATTAATGGGAAATTGATTCCAAATCATTTTTGCAGGCGTTCGTTAAAACAAAAAGGCCCAGAAAGGCGAGCGGTCCTGGTGTTTCTGCGGCTGAAACGGTTAAAGTGATGGTTAGCCCAGATTGGCTTAGTTGCTGCTCTTCCCCCATCCCCACATTGCCAGCAGCACACAGACAAGTAGACAGGGTCAACTGCTGTGATACCTTGCTCTTAGGTGCAGAATGAATGTCAAATTGACCCCATGGTGGGCAAACAGGTAACAAGACGAGGAAATTCCAGAGATAGGTTATTGGAATGGAATGCAAATCATAGCAAGTAGTGGCCAACTCACTGTCAATGGCTCCTTTAGTTTCCATGTTGACTTCTATCTGATGTGTGGCTCAGATCAGAAATTGAGTGCGTGTGTGTGTGTGTGTATATATATATATATTTGTTTTTTTGGGGGGGAAGGGGGGAATCTAACTTGCCCTTTCATTGGATTGCAGTGAAGCTCTTTAAGACGTCTCAATGACATGATAAGGCGCTATATATCAAATGCAAGGATTATTATTATTATTTGCATCAACAAGTTTGGCGCAATTGTCTAAACTGCATCCTCTACTAATGTGCTACTGTTTCACCTCATCTCAACCTGTCTGCCACACAGGTTGAACCTCAGGAAATGAACGTCAGGCTTTCTCAAGCCATTGATTAATCTGTTGACACTCACTGCCGCCTTGTGTGGGATAAATTGTTTTACAAATTCTCCAGTGTCGAAGCCTGGAGTTAGTAGGTGGCAGTAATGGTTCTTTGACCTTCACAGAACCTTTATCATCAGTTTCGCCATCAATCAGTTCAAATAAAATTCAGCCACAGTTTGAATCTCTATAGAGCCTGACAGATTTCCTCACAAGCATCTTGAGTGTGTATATTTTGTGTGTTGGGCTGTCTCATCTATTCCGGCCCTTTCCTTGGATTTGTACAGTAAAAAAAATCAGGAAATTATTTATACTTTAGAATGGTGTAAGCACAATTTGTGTTCATGTCTTCGGAGCAATTCTCTACCCCTCCATTATTACTATCCCTTCTTCCCTCACCTGCCCTGTAATGCACCAGCATCTTTCAGGAAGAAAACTACATAGGCTAATGATATGGTTGTTATCACTAACGAGATACTGCAATATATGGAACGGACTTGGTAAAGAAATAAAACCAGATAATGCTGGAGAAATACAGAGGAATGTTGACCTTTGAAGGGATGTTTCTGGGATCCGAGGAGATTCTAACCTGACTGGCTCTATTTCTCCAGCATTTTCTTTTATAATCCCTGTAACGGTATTTGGTCCTTTTTAATGTTGCTAAAGTAAGGGAGCGATCAGATGACTAGGACAGCCTTTGTTCTACCTTTTCTTTCTGTAAAATAATCGAGTGTGTGGTTTAACTGGCATAGAAAGACTTGTTGCACTATGTAAAACCCCAGCCAACTTATCACACATCTAATGTACAGCAACAGTGATTAAAAAGCGGACTTCTCTCCTCGCTGCTTGTATTATAACAATCTTACTCATTCTTCAATTGTAACTAGTTAATTGTACTGTATTAATTGCAAATGTTTGAAATATCTGTGCACTACAAATTTAAATTGTGTGTATGTTTTTTTTATTAAAATGCAGTAAACTCTGGGTAACCTGACCCTGGCCTTACTGCTCACTGCCACATAAGTCGCCACGCTGTGGATTATCCTGGCCGCTTCCCATACAGAATGTTATACGGGATTCGCTTTACTTGCCGCTCGCTTAACATGTAAATAGTCGCACTAGTCGGAACTAGAAATTCTTATTACTTAAGATGTAAAATTGATCAGATAACTTGTCCTATAAGATGGTGCCTTGCATTGCCGTGGCCTCCTCCTCTATCCTGTGACTGGTGCAGGTGTTTAGCGGAGGTTGGTGAGCATGCTCGGATGCATCGCAGAAGCCACTGGACTATTGGAGGGCTGAGACTCTGTGACAGGATAAGGCTGGAGGATAATGATATTTAATATACCGTATAAGGCTCGGGATACAGGGTAAGGTTAGAGGCCCTCCAATCAACCCAGGTATTTGAGCACGTGCTTCCTACCTCCACTAGGCAACTGCACAACTCACAGTGCCCTCCCTTGTGGCATAGGAGGACTCAGGCCTAACTCCCCACTCCTGATAATGACCCTGAGCCCTTTTCCTTTGGTGTGATGAATTATCCAGAGATACTGTACGTGTTGTATTCCACAGGATATATGTGCAGGCAGACCCTACAACATCGTTTTGCATTGAAAACTCACAGCCTTCATTAAACTGCAGCTGGGGCAGCACATGCTTGACTTTCTTATCACAGGTAAGGATTGCTGGGAGCTTGAATCAACAGGATTCAGAAAGATGAGGTATAAATACATTCTAATGTTAACTCTACGGTATTTTTTTAACTCCAAAAATATTAGATCCATCTGCATTGCCTGTGCTTTTTTTGCTTCTTGTAACCTGCTCAGATCTAGCCTGTGCATTTGGCTGAAAAATACACCCTTTGAAGGAAGCACTCTAATCAGATATCCTCCCAGTGTGGAGGGTGCTAAATCAAATGCAAGGATTATTATTTTCTTTGTAGTCCTTTAATAGTGTGATAGGTGAGGAGGGCCGTCTATTACATCGATTACAAACCTGTTGTATAGAATAATCAAATTTGAAATCCTCCTGTTCTAACTCATATTTTTAACAAAGTGACAACTCATGGGAAGAGGGGAAAAAAACATGCACTATCACCTGCTGCTTTGACCCAACCTTTTTCCATTAAACTGATCACTATTCAAGACGATTCTTATGTAATGTTAAAAAAGTTATTTAATATTGCCACAGGCACTAGAGCTGTTGCAAAAGGACAGGGGTGACTTAATAAGGAATCTGTTCAGGCCTCTCTAATGTTTGAGGAATTTATCCAGTCCATTACCATGAAATTGGGTTTAGTCAAGTATACATTTCCAATCTCGGTTTGAATGACACTATTTAGTTAATGCCTAAAATCAGGTGATGGTTTCTGTGCAAATTAATGGAATGGTATTAGAGGAGATCTGGGTTCTGTGGCCCATGTCGTAGCTATTAACAACATGGAAAAATAAAATTTCCATACAAATTGTGCTTTGCCTCTTCCTGAATGGAAATTCATTCATCCAGGTTTTGCATTGCCTGATCTAATTAGCACCCACTGGCAGATTTGGATTAAAGCAGAAATTATATTCTGAATAATGATGTTTGTAATTGATAATCTACCTTAATACATCAAAGTACTGTATATCAAAAGTGCTTCATGCAATATTACTTGTAATAAGTGTAATGAATGATGTAGACAAAGGTGGCATTTTTTATCTGCTACAGTGCCTTATCACATCATTGAGATGTCTCAAAAGTCTTCACAGAATACACCGTGAAATGAATTGAATATATTGTGTGCAAAATATCTTTTTGGGGAGGAATTATTACTCCAGGAAAGGGATCTGCCAATCGACTAATAACTGGGTTTCTACTTACTGCTAGGGAATCAGAGGAGTGCATGGAGTAAGGAAAGTTGCCTAAGGTTTCACCCCACCCAGGAATGAGGCGAGCGCGCTAACTATTAAGCTACGGGACTCCACATTACAGAATGAAGCTAGGAATGAATACAAAGTGAAACTATATCAGCTGAAATTGTCCCACTCACTGCTTGGAAGTCACTCCAAGCGAGGAATTACTTGAAATGTGTTTCAGATGAGGAATTTCTTAATGGAACTTCCAGTGGACTTAAATTTGAAAGAGCAGCTTGTGATTCATACGTATTAAATACACACAATTCAATTTCACAGAATGTTGAGTGGAAAGAACACTTGCAGCATCTACTTTATTTTAGTTAATCAATACACATAATAAAACATTTTTAAAATTCCCATTTTCCCAAATGACTCCACAGTGCTGTGTTACAAATTCGTTTTTTTTAAATAAGTATTTTTGCTGATTTGGCAACATAATTCTTTTGCAGACTTTCCATACAGAAACACAAGGATATCCTCGCGAGGCACGGGGCATAAAACCAGGGTGATATAAGAACCTTTCAGAACTGCAGACGACAGCTTGAAAGTTAGTTCCATGGTTGTTTTAAGGCCTATGGTTTCTGTTCCTACTTGCGATAGCTCCAAGATGCCCATTATTCCATACAATAAACAACATTGATTGATCTTGTTCACACAGCGCAGCAGTGATCAGCTGTGTATGACCTTCAACCAGAGATGTCCTTTAGGTACAAAAAGCTCAGTATTTTAAGATGTTTCGTGTAACTTACATCCACTGCGTATTGGATTTCACTAGGTCTCCCAGTCTTTTTACTGAAAGCATCAGTGATCCTACTCCGTCCTCCTGTAGACTTGTTCTTTATTGCCCTCCTTTTCAGCAGCGTACCGGGCCACTGTGAACAGGAAGTCGCTCAGCCTGCAGACAGCAAAGAAGCCTGAGAACAGTTGCAATGGATTTCGATCGCAGACAGGGGACGTAGAGGTTAGCGAGTGAGGGCATCACACCTCAACTCAGTCTAATCCTCCAAACTCCATTCCAGTCAATAATAATAATAATCGTTTCATTTGATACAACACCTTCTCTTGTAATTGAGACTTCTTAAAACTCTTCACAGAATATATTGTAAAGTGGATTGACTACTTTGTAGGTGAAACCTGGCAGCCAACTACGAACAGCGGTGTCCCACAAACAATTATGGATTGAGTGACCATTTTCCCCCCAATAATACAACACATTATCTGCTTTGGTTACAGCACAGCACAGGATCCACTTACCTGTTGAGATATTTTGCAGTATTAGGGTCCGTTTCTCCTGCTTGCACAATGGGACACACACTGTAGAAGAAAAGAAAATGATTATTTCTAACCCCAGAAAACAGCCTTCCCTCGAAGGAGGGAAAATCTCTAAAGGCTGGGAAATAGAACATTTTATTCTCCTCTGGCTGGTAAATGTTAGGCACTGACTCTAAGCTTATACTTAGAAATGTACCAAACATACAAAGCTTAGTGAGAATTATGTGACAATTCAGAGGATGGCATGGTTTACTTTTATTAGCAGTGTATAATGTACCATTCACCTCAATATTTTATTTAATTGATAACGGTAGATACAGAGAAACTATTTCCTCTGTTAGGGGAATCCAGAACAATCTTAAAATTCGAGCTGGGAATTTAGGAATTAAATCAGGAAGCACTTTTTCCACACGTGCCTGACCTTACCTCCTCTCTGCTCTGCGGCAAATCGCCCGGGCCAGGTGCAAAGCCGCACTGCTCCTTCCTCCCGACTGCAAAACCAAGGAAAAATACCAGATTAGGAATAATACTGGCATCCATCAAAGCTATCATCCATCAGGACTTGGAACTCGTATCGTCCAAGATGTGCATTCCACAAACGCCTGTTGTTGTGTCAAAGCCAGGAGTTGGCTTGTAAGGCACTTTTATTGCAGAACTATGTATTGCCCTGAAGGGTCATCTGCACAATACAGTGGATAGTTACTGCCAGATTTGCGCTTCTGCAGTGCATGTACATACCGGTAAGATGAAGTTTGTAAGAGGGGGGAGTTGCTGTGTGTATCGATCAATCCACTCCTCCAGCTCCATCACTGGCTTTTCACTGAATGTCGTCCTTTCTAATGAAGCACACGGACAAAGAGAATTAAAGACATTTACTGATAATGTTTATACCGGCAAATTAATTATTCTAATTGAGCGACATGAAACATCTTAAATAATGAGCTTTTTGGAGTGTTGTTTTTGTACCTAAAGGGCACCTCTGGTTGAAGATGAGAGAGGAGGTTATGAAAGTTGAGTAAACCTACACTGCTCTTGTGTATTGACAGCACTTGTTTACAAAAAGGAATGGTATTTACCATTAGGGGAAAGGAAAACAGAAGATAGTGGGTCCAAGAGAAAACTTTAAACAACTTCTAAAGCAGAGGTTCATTGAAAATTCCCTTACTGAGGTGGCTGTCACGTGCAGAGGAGATGGGGGTTGCCACGTTGGAAGCGACATCTTGCAACACACATTGGATCTGTCAAACAAACCAAACCAAGCTTAGGGGACTGTAATCAGCAAGTGAGGGAGGCTGCGATTCTCCCTCCAGAGATAGGGTTGAGATACATGAAAGCAAATCAATACCCACACGAGCTACGAGACAGCTGGGATTTTATTTCAACATAGTGAAGATAAGATTGAGGGGATAATTGCAAAGTCAAGAAGGTCTGCAAGTATGGGTCACAGGCTCAAGTTTCAAAGGGGAAAGATGAACGGAGTTTAAACAGGCTTGTGGATTAAGGAAACTTGCCTAAGGTTTTGCCCTGCTCGGGAATCAAAACCAGCTCCTCTCGCTTGTGAGGTGAGTGCACTAACCACTACACTACAGGACTCCACGTAACTTTGTATTAAGTGGCCTGAAAATTAATCATTACGTAATAAATATGTATCAGTTTTGCTTAGATAAAGAGTACGTTTTGCTGATCGGATACCACTGGTGACCTTGAATACTGTTGGCAACGTCAACCCCCCAAACGGATGCATTTATCTGTAAAATTGCTGAGAGGTTTCAAGCACTGTAGTAACTGAGGAGAGAGTACCTTGTCAAGTTCCTCCACAAATGTGTGACCCTTTTCCAGAGCAAACTCTCTTGCCAATCTGAAAGAGGCAAACAAAACTTGTGACAAACAGCCAAGGATGGACAACCTGACGGGGCTTGATTACAAAGCCGCATTACAAAGACAGCAGCTCAAGGCAACCGTTAGTAATATCAAAGGTTTTGATCTCCATTAACGCTCTTCAAGATGTGTACATGGAAAATCAATGCAGAGCTCAGAGCAACTCAAGCCTCTGCAAATGGCTCGTTTACGTGTAGCAACACTGAGCGTTGGAGCTTTTTACCCGATGGCAGAGGTTAATTCATCCGTAGTGCCCAAAGCTTCAAAGACCGGGTCATCTTTCGGTCTGCGTTCGCCCGTGAATGTGCTGGAAAAGCCTTTGTCTCCGGTTTTTGTGTAAATCTTCGGCGTCTTAGATTTTCTTTTTCTGGCATCGGAGCTGCAAAAGACGTGGTGCAGCTCGTTAGCCTTCCCCAGCAGTAGTGATGCGCGGGTAGAGCTTATAGGGATTTGGGGGACGGAGTTCCAGAGGAGGTTCTGCCAGAAATCAACACGAGCGTCCAGTGTTGTGGCACTGCCCGCCTGTAGCGGCCGATTTAGGAATCGTGCCAATGAACACGGAGTCCCAGGAGCGTAGCGCTCGGAGCGCTCCCCTCGCAAAGCAAGGGTTCGATTCCCGGGCGGTACAGGGCGGGCGAAACCTTCGGCAAATTTCCTTCCTCCGCAAGAAAAAGGCGCGCCCGCGCGATAACGCCTCCGTTCGCCAGCAGTCGGGCGAGCGGCCCGACCGCTTTTCCGGGGCGGACGGTAAGAATCCCTTCCGGGGGGAAAAAAAATGTAATCGACGATAATAATAATAATGATGATGATGATGATGTGGAGTCCTGTAGCTCAGTGGTTAGAGCACTCGCTTTGCAAGTGAGAGACCTGAGTTCAATTCCAGGCAGAGGGCGAAACCTCGGGCAAGTTTCCTTACTCCACACAGAGCCTAATAATAATCCTCCAAAACCACAAACAATAATAAATTGGTCATTTTCAATCCACGACTGTTTGTGGGACATTGCTGTGCGCAATTGGCTGCTGCGTTCGCCCACAAATATACAGTCAATTCACTTTACAGTGTTCTGTGAAGCGCTTTGGGACGTCCTCCCGACGTGAAAAGCGCTATATCAAATGCAAGGATTATTATTATTATTATTATATTATAAGTCGGTCGCTTCGACCCACGACCGTTTGTGCGCGTGCGTGTGTGTGGGGGGGGGGGTGACGGCCGGACAGACTGAGGGGGGTGGTGGTGGGGAGGGAGGGAGGGGGGGGTAACGTGGCTACGCTTTGGCCGCCGGCGACGCGGCGGTGAGGCGCTGCGGCCAACGCCGGGATTAACGACGACGGTTATTAGTCGTATTATTATGATTATTAATAATAAAAACCCGCCCCAATCTTGACAACACTGCCCCCCCACCCCCAAAAGGCTGTGCGACACGCGCAGTAGCAGCGCCTCCCCCTCCCTCCCCCCTCCCGACAACCTACCCCCCGGCCTCCTCCTCACAGTAGGCGCGGAGGCCCAGCGGACGGCCCACCGGGCGGCGGGAGCTGAGGAGCCGGGCGGCCAGGCGGCGCGCGCAGCTCAGGGGCATGACTCCCACCACCGCAGCGCACCGCGAGCCTCGCGCTCGGCTTCACCAACGGTCAAACCCCCTCGCGCCACCCTCGCCCCGCCCCCTCCGCGCGCCGCGCAACCCGCCGTCCCATTGGCCGGCCTCAGGTCAGCTCAGCCTCGCCATTGGTCCGCTGCTCATCGTGCGCGCCTGCCTCTGATTGGTCGGCAGGGCGGGGCGCTCCCGCCATTGGTTGATTGGCGAAGAACCCCCCCCGCCCTCCCCGCCGCCTGATTGGTCGCAGGGCGTGCGTGACTCCACCAAGCCCCGCCCCCCGACTGATTGGTCACAGGGCGTGACTCCACCCGCCCCGCCCCCCCCCCGACTGATTGGTCGACGCGGGGAGTTGGTTTGATTGGCGGCTGTAGCCCGCACTCCGATTGGTTGGCTGACGGGCGGTGGTGGGGGGTGGGGTCAGGTGCCGCCCCGCTCTGAACCCCGGGGAGAGGAAGGTTCTGGCATCAGGTCCGAGCGAGGGTGAGACGCTGAGGGTGAGGGAGAGAGAGAGAGAGGGTAAGGGAGGGAGACTGAGGGAGAGAGAGAGAGAGGGAGAGTGACAGAGGGAGAGAGAGAGAGAGTGACAGAGGGTGAAGGAGAGAGAGAGTGAGTGACAGAGGGTGAAGGAGAGCGAGAGAGTGACAGAGGGTGAGGGAGAGAGAGAGAGAGTGACAGAGGGTGAGGGAGAGAGAGAGAGAGTGACAGAGGGTGAAGGAGAGAGAGAGAGAGTGAGTGACAGAGGGTGAGGGAGAGAGAGAGGGTGACAGAGGGTGAGGGAGAGAGAGAGAGAGAGAGAGAGGCGGGTGAGGTGGCTTCTGAGGGTGTGAGGTGAGGGGGAGGGGGTTTGGGTATTTTTGAGGGAGTGACATACAGTATTTACATCACACAGTACTGACAGTAACATAGTATTGGTATTGTTTTATATGACTATATGGAGTGTGCGGTGTCGATGTAATGACCATCGCATTTGATGTAGCGCCTGATCGCATCGTTGATAAGTTGACCGTACTTTCGATCTCCCTCTTACCCCCCACCCGCGCCCCACCCCCACCTGCTCTCCAACCTCCCCGACCCCCACCTCCCCCCCGACCCCCAGCTCGGGTCAGAGAATTTTGAGATGTCCTCCCAACGTGACGGGCGCTGTGTACGTGTGCCATTTAGTTGTTGTTGTTGCGACGTCTCAAAGAATGTACTGCGAAGGGAATTGGATTCACTTGAGTATTTTGTGGGCGAAACGCGCCAACAACACCAACAACAAGATTACATGTGTATAGCGCCTTTCGTGTCGGGAGGACGTCCCAAGGCGCTGGACAGAGAACAGCCTTTCGGACCCGAGCTGGGGTCGGGGAGAGGGGGCAGCCCAATTTGCGCACGGCAATGCCTCCACAAACAGCCATGAAGAGAGTGACCAGTTTGGTTTGGTGGATCGTTGGGCAGGACAGAAGGGGAGAGAGAATCTCCCCTTCCCTATTATTAAGGGAGAGGGAGGGCATGGGATCGGGTAGGTGGTGTGAAGTTCGGAGCGGGCGGTGTGAGCTGATGAACTTGATACCTTGTCAATCATCCATTTCAGAATTCAGATTTTACTATGACGGACAAGACGTTGATAGTGTCCGCACCAGGGAAGGTTATTCTGCACGGAGAGCACGCAGTGGTTCACGGAAAGGTGAGTTACAATGGCTTTGTAGAAAGCATCACGCAAAGGGTCCCACTCAATTCTTGACCCTGTTACAGAGAGGACTACTTTTTCATTTTATTTTGATGGTCCTGTACTGTAGTTGCGTTCAAATTCTGACACTTCGCCAACTTTCCATTACGCATGTTAGAACTTTAACAATGAGTGTGGGAAGATATTTGGAGCCACAAGTTATCGGGAGTTTACTGTGTAAGGGTTGGTGAAAAGTCAGGTTGTATTCTCTCCCCTCTTTCAAGTCCCGCCTGAAACCTTTCCTGTTCGGCCACCTCCATGCTCCCCCCGGCTCGGAGTCAGGTTCCGCCACTGTTAAGCGCTCTGAGACGCTACCCTGCGTGGAGGGCGCTCTATAAGTGCAAGTTGTTGTTGTACTCTGAAGCAATTCTCTTCTGAAATCCCAGGGTTTTTAATGTGGTAATGCTTTGCTTTTTGTATAGGTGGCGCTCGCAGTCAGCCTAAACCTGAGAACCTATCTTCAGATAGGTCTGTGCTCTAACGGAAGGGTACAAATAAATCTACCAAATATTGACACCTGCCTGAGCTGGGAATCAGCTGCCCTCCAGTTCCTGCTCACAACAATTGATGGTAAGATATAGTAAATTAATAATAATCCTTGCATTTGATATAGAAACTTATTAAATCGTTGAGAAGTTTCAAAGCGCTTCACATGAAATATATTGTAAAGTGTATAAATATTTTGTGGCTGAAATGCAGCAACCAATTTGCACATAGCAGTGTCCCACAAACAATTGTGGATTGAGTGACCAAATTTTTTATAAGGGATTATTACCCCCGGAAAGCGAACCACTAATCAACTAACAACCAGGTTCCTACCTCATGCTAGGTAAACAGAAGCATGTGGAGTTAGGAAACTTGCCTAGGATTTCGCCCCTCCTGGGAATCGAACCCGGGTAATCTCTCTTGTGAGGCCAGTGCTCTAACCACTACGATACAGGACTGTACAGTTGCATATCGTACTCATCACAGAATATACTGTAAAGTGAATTGACTGCTCTTTTTCTCAGATTGCGTTATTAATGGTCAGAACTGACAGTTTGCAAATGCATATGGTCAGGTTACCACGTTTGGATGTTTAGATATTTTACGAAATGTGCTAAAGAAATGTCCTGATTGTTTCTTGTTTCATAGCCGATGTCCTGAATCCAAAGGCTGCAAGTCAGGAGCAGGTGGATAAACTGCGACAGTTTGCAGGAATTCCAGATGGTTGTGTGGACACCAGGAGCCTCGCAATCCTCTGTTTCCTCTATTTATATGGTGCTATCTCAGCCAGCTCCAGGTATTGTGTACCATTAAATCTTAACCCTATGAGAGACTCAGTTGAAGGGAGTTTACTGCTCAAGTGCCAGCTGTTGGAGAGAGACCAGAATATTATCATCTTTCACCTTCGAACCATCCTCCCTGAATTTTCTCACCAAACAATTCTTCCCATGTGAGCCTGGTTAGTGAGTGTTAATGTGATATTTGACTCTAGGGGTGGTAGGCATCATGGTTGAGCATAAAATGTATGACAACGGTGAAGTGATGACCAATTTTATCTGGGGCTTGACAACCATACAAGTGCACATTTCAGTAAGGCTCACTAGATAGAGACCATGGGTGGGAGCTGTTTTGCAGTGTTGATTTTTTTTGACGTGTGGACGCCTTTTCCAACAGTCCTCGGAATGAAAAAGGTCTTTATAATCACTTCTTTATAAATTGCAGGCAGCTACCAAGCATGGAAATTCTGGTTTGGTCTGAACTGCCCACAGGAGCTGGGTTGGGATCAAGCGCTGCGTATTCAGTGTGCCTGGCAGCAGCCCTGCTGACTGCTAATGAGTCCATTGCCTGCCCTGTTCCGGAGGAAAACGGCACAGTCAGGTGAGTAGAGACCCTTTTGAGGCACACATCAGATTTATGTGTCAACTAAAATTTTATGTATAAGCCTGGCTCAGTTGGCCACTCTTGTCGAACGCTGCATTCAGCAAACTATCCTGTGAATATATATGCCTGTTTCGCCCACAAAAATATATGCAGTCAATTCACTTTACAGTGTTGTTGGTTGTTGTTATATTCTGTGAAGCGCTTTTGAGACGTCTCGAAGACATGATAAAGCACTATATCAAATGCAAGGATTATTACTATTCCCAGCACAAAACAAAATCAATACCAACCCTTACGCTCATCACGCTCAGCTGCCATCATTTCATTAGTTTGGAACATTTTTGATTGGAAAATTTTAGTCTGAATATTGAATTAGAATTCTGAATTTTACATTCTTGTCTCAGTGCAGCTACAAAAAGGTAGGTTTACATGGGCTGAGCGTTAATAGCATAATCTCGGCCCCAGGGAGACCTCTGTTCAGAGATCAGTACATTTGGCCACTTAAAAACAAGCAGTGCTAGCCACTAACTTTATTTTCATTGGGCAGTGGTTGTAACAATTAGATCATATCCCATCATGTTGCTTTTAATTGAATGCTGATGCTGTCTAGATGGTGGAGGTAGACCCGAATTGATACCACGTTCCAACAGTTTAGTGCTGGTTTCGAATTATGCTCATAACAGCTGTGTTTACCTCTTATCTTTCCTCCCATCACCCCTATGTCAGATGGGCTGAGGACGAACTGGAACTGATCAATAAGTGGGCCTTTCAGGGAGAGAAGCTAATCCACGGCAACCCTTCAGGGGTGGATAATGCTGTTGGAACTTGGGGTAAGTTTCATTGTGTGTGTTTGTTATGTGTGTGTGCAAATGTGCATGTAAAATTGTCCTACAACTCCCTTACACTTAATCTTGAGAGAGGATGGCTCAGAGGAGACCTTATAGAAGTGTCTAACGTTTTAAAGGGGATTGAAAAAGTCAACCCAGAGCAATAGTTTAAGATGCAACAAAAGAGTAGAACAAGAGGACATGTTGCAAGGAGCAACTTTGGGACAGATACTAGGAAGTTTTTATTTGCCCAGAGGACACTTAATGAGTGGAACAGGGTTAACAGGAAGAGTGGTTCAAATCTGAAACCTCATGACTGATGTTACTCAATTCTAATCACATCTACCCATCACAAGCTAAAGTACTTGCCTTGAACCCATTAAATACAGCAGATTTTATTGTCATTCCTTGACATACTGAATGTTGCATTCCTGTCAGTCTCCTATATATCAACCAGTTAATGCTTGGGTCATGCATATATTGATGGTCTACTCAATTTCAGGTGAGTAATCTACTTTAATTATTTAATAGAAGGATTTGTCTCTGACTGAAGACTTCCAGTAACGTACAAATTAAATTTTAAATACATGGGAGTTGTTCCCTTCCTATTCCTTACCCAACATGAGACCTGAGCAATATCTGCACCAGGTTAAAGGGAGAATCTCGCCAACCAGTGATCCATTTCAATAAGAAATGTCCTTGTCAGTTTTTCTCCTATCCTTTCTCTCGTAAAGGTACTGACTCTCGTTGGTTACGGTTTCACAAACTCCACTGTCTTGCATAAGTGGCTATTCTTCATATATAAGTTTTGACAATGAGTGTTGGCAGGTTATTTGACTGCAGGGGTATTACTGTCCTTGCCTGATGTTCACTGGGGAGCAGGAGCTCTGACTGATTTCTTTAACTCTCCTGTCTCCCTAACCCAGGCAAACTGAGACCAATGAATTCAACCACAGACCAGGTTTTGAATCTACGCCCTTCCACATGGTGGCCACAAAGTCCTGTTACCCCCATGTTTTTTATCTACAATACACTGACCAACAATTGAAACATGTGGAAGAATGATGATAATTGTACTTAGAAGTACTTAATTGTATTCAGTACAAGACTTTGTGGACACCGTGTATTCTGCATGGCTTTATGCTGGGCCATCAGAGAAAATCAGTTTCATCGATGTAATGATGGATGCTTAAAAATTAATTGGAGAAAAACTGACTTGTAGAAATATTGACATCCAGTATTACGGGGGAAAGCAGAATCAACATGACAGCAACAATTTTTCCATCTATATAGCACTCCGCCTACAGGGCAGCAAGCTTGTCAACTCTTTGGTTGCATGACTGACAATCTTGTTTATTTATCTCCTATTTATCCTCGTTTGCAGCTCCTCATAGTTGAAGCCTCATCGCTTTTATATGTAAGGTTTCATTTTCTGACTTTTTATTTAAATTGTCATGGGACAGATGGAATCTGCAGAGCAAAGGTTGACACTTTGGCAGTTTTCCCTGTAGTTTTACTGTGCCCCAGATTATTGGGTTCCCAGAACAAAACTGGAATATGGAGTGTAGTCAGACAATGCCGTCATCCTTGCAAATTATTTACAGGTTTTTGTTTTAGGTTCTTAATTATTCAGGTAAAAAGGTTCTTGATAGATGTGTAACCGGAAGAGAGTGAGTCTTGAGTTTGAGAAATGTATTGTTCGTGTCATTCTGATGTCTTTATTTTTTATTATTAATAATCTTTGCATCTGGTATTGTGCTCTATCACGTCGTCGAGACGTCTCAAAGCGCTTCACAGGATATACTGTAAAGTGGATTGATTGTGTATTTTTCTGTGTTTAGGGGGAGCACTGAAGTATCACGCCGGCAAAATTATGCCTTTAAACAGGTATCTGTTTGGCCACATCTTTATTAACTTTAAAGATCAACTCTACAGCTCTGCTCGTACAATAAGACAGGACTTTGGTAACAATCCTGCAATGTCCAAGTTCCATAACGATCAATGTAATTTTTTTTAAATTTGGGGAGATTTGTTTGCCGAGCACCTTTTCATGAATACTGACCCTTTAAGATCTGTCCTGCTTCTCACACCCATCGTCCCGACTTGTGAGACCTTTGTGCATCACAGACATTCTTAAAGGGAATGTCTTGCCTTAATCAAAATTCTCCCTATGCTAAGAAAACAAGCTAGAAATGTAAAATAATAAAATTGAAGCTGATAGAATAGTCTGTTTGAACTGAGAAGATAGTGCAGTGTTTAAATGACCTTTCAGTAAATCAATTGGGTAAATGACACTGCAAGAATTTTTGTGTATTTAAATTAATATGTTCCCTGCTCTATTACAGAATACCCACCCTAAGAATACTGCTTACTAACACAAAGGTCCCAAGAAGTACAAAAACACTGGTAGCAGGAGTGAAGGACAAACTGAATAAGGTTAGTTTTTCTTTAAATGAGCTTTGCCACAGCAAAATACACTAGTCTTGTATCTTCAGACACTTTTTCCTCCTAACATGTCCACTTGCTCTTGCCTCCTGCTGAACTGACTAGCTGGTCAAGACTGTGTCTACGCACCTCCAGTGTTCAGTTCAAAGTCTGGGATTGTTTCCTCGGGGGAGTGGAGATGAGTTTAGAATGAGCTATCATCAAATATTTACACTAGCCTTTAGTTGAATTAATCTCAAAGTCCTTTTAGATTGAACTAAATTCCCCAAGGTTAGAATGGCTTCAATTCTGCAAAAAATCTCTAGATCTGGTCATTTGCCTTCTCTCTGAATTACAGTACAAATAATAAGACAAGGATGACTAATGTTTTGCTTTTCTTAGTTCCCAAGTATAATCGGACCCATCCTGAATTCTATCGATGCCATTTCATGTGAGTGCGAACGCACTCTGGCTGCTATAGTAGCTGGAGATTCTACAGAGGAGTCCTACGCAGTGCTGGAGGTAATCTTTACCACAGAAGTAGTCTGGAAAGGGTTTCTGTATTAGAGCAGAGTGCAGTCGTTTTACAGTGTGTACAATCTAGCTGAGCTCTCAGATATTGTGGAGTCTCGTAGCAGAGTGGTTAATGCACTTGTCTCGCAAGTGAGAGGACCAGGGTCTGAGGCGAAACATTAAACATGTTTCCTTACACCACACACCTCTGTTTACCAAGGAGCCAGTAAGTAGGAACCCAGTTGTTAGTCGATTGGTGGATTGCTTTCCGGGGTAATAATCCCTTAAAAAAAATTGCCCACTCAATCCATGACTATTTCTGGGACACTGCTGTGTGCAGATGGCCGCTGTGTTTCACATCAGGAGGATATCCCAAGGGGCTTAACAGTCCTGTCCTGGCAGCACCCCTGAACTAGGGGCGAGATCTGAAAGGGGGGTGGGAAAGGGAAAGGAAAGATGGTTGAAGGCACTGTTAAAGAGGTATGTCTTGAGATTCGCATATCTAGCTAAAGCAAGTTGAATAAAGTCTGTTTTTTGTCAATTTATTTCACTTTTAATCCTCTGGACTTTCTGTACGTTTGTTTTTATAGGAACTGATTGACATTAACCAGCATCACCTGAATGTGATCGGCGTGGGTCATTCTTCTTTGGACCGGCTCTGCCAGGCGACTGCATTGCACAGCCTACACAGCAAGCTGACCGGAGCAGGTGGTGGTGGATGTGGAATAACGCTGCTCAGACCAGGTAGGCGTCAGGGCCTGGGTGGAAAACAGTGACTTTTGTAAATTTTGATCAAAGCAGAATCCATACTGCTTCCTCATTCCTCCCAGTGTAACTTTAAGTTAGAACTTCTCAAACAGGCAGAACAAAAGTAGTGAGGAGGAAATTCACCGACTTAATCATGGTCAAGAAAAGTGTCCTTTCACCTCAAGGTTTCAGTCAAAGCTGTGCTGATGAGATTTGACCTGTGTTCTCACCGTTAAGAGTTGGGGAGTGTTCATGTTTGGCACGAGAAGTGTCCTGCGGTTGCGTTTCATGGTTTATATAAAAATGGCTTTACTCATTATTTTTGAGATTGTCTGGAGCCTGTAACCATTCAGTGTTAAACTGCTGCTTTGCAGAGAGATGTTTCTTATCGCCATTTGTGGAGTTCTTTAGCTATGTTATGTCTTAATTCCTTATCCTGTGTGTTCTTGATCCTGATCAGAAATTTCAACTGCGTCAAAGAGAAAAGGTTATGACTCGAGGCAAAACAAGCCCCCTGAAAAAAGGGGGGCGTGGGGTGGAGGGAATGGGAGGCACATTTACACTCGTGTTTTGGGAACTCTTGTGATTATTGCGAAACTTGCAGTTTAAAAATGGAAATTGGATACAGTACCAGTGCGACCCACTCGGTGTCAGTGCAGTATTCTTAATTGCAAAGTACAATTCTGTCAAGCCGGGCAGTATTCAGCTAATCAAAATGCTGCGATCAATTGCTGTACAATAGCAGTAATGTTCTCCACGTGGGTAAATGTAATGCGCTTTGACGATGTGTGCACATAAAGGGACTTTCCCGTTGTAAGTGCTCATCAAATTGCACTAAAGTTAGCGTCACGTGGCACATTGCACCCTATGGTATACTTGCGACGGGCTGGCTGCCCTATGAGTAAACGGAGAGACAGGGACATTTGGAATGAACATACCGCAGCAGATTGGATTGTCATTGATGGAGCTGAAATCTCACTGTGCGGATAAAGCTGTAAAATTGAATCCTGTTCGATTGCCGTCATGGTTGAGTCACTTTATATGTCTCGCTGATTTGTGTTTCAGATACAAGTCCTTCAGTGGTGGAGGCATCTAAACGGGCCCTAAATGACATGGGGTATGATTGCTGGGAAACTAATATCGGCGGGCATGGGGTGTCCCTGCATTCACCTTCCTCCTTGCAAAGGGACGTGTCTCAACTACTGACGCGACTGACTGACTGCCAGTGAAGAGACAAATGTTACCACGTTAACCATTTGCACACTTGGCACATCCCAGGTTTCTGTCAGTGTTCCAGAGATTTGATCATCCTTTCTCCCTTCCCTAAGGAGCACTTGCCATTTGCCTTTGTCTGTAATATATCTGTACGCTGCATTTCACTACGAGAATTGTGACATTTATTTTTCCAGGGGGTGGGTGAGAGGAAAGAGGTGAGAAGGAGAATGAATGCAGGACAGGACTGATACACAGGCTGATGTATTCTGTGAAGCGCTTTGAGATGTCTCAACAATGATAAGGTGTTTCATGAAATGCAAAGATTATTATTATGAGGGGTCTTCATTTGCACACTGGGCTGAATTTGCACTGTGTTCTGCAGATATACATTTTAAACTCATTCGGATCAAGCAACCAAGATTTATTTATTTATAATTTCACTATGCTGAAATTATGCAATTCATTCACTGCATCAACTTTGACTTTTTAATGGAAGTTGGTTCTACTAACAGAAAATATATATTGTTCATTTCAGTGGGGTCCGGTCCAACAAAATCAGTAAATAACTCACAAAAATTACTGGTCATTCAATTTGGGGCTATTTGTAGGGCATTGCTGTGCACAAATTGACTGCAATGTTGACCTACAAATTCACAGTCACTACACTTTACATAAAACTTTGAAAAGCTTGGATGTTATAAAGCTCTGAATTAAATGCAAAGATTATTATTAATAAAGAGTGAGCCCTAGTAAGTGCTGTGATATATACTTTAAATCAAAGAATTGTTGTGGATTGGTTTTTTATCCTTTTATAATCCTAATAATAAACTAGATTATAACCTGTCTTTGCTTAGTCCTTGACGCTTCTTCGGAAGTAAAGTTGTGTGTCAGGCTGACTGAGTTAACACTCTCGCGTTTTGAGTCAGAAGGTTTGTGAATTCAAGCCCCACATTGAGACTCTGAACTCGTATCACTTAAGTTGACATTTCAGTGAAGTGCTGGGAGTGTGCTGCATCGATGGAGGTGCTGTCTTTCGAATGGGACCGAAGTCCTATCTGCCTGTTCAGGTGGATGTTAAAGATCCCATGGAACTATTTGTAAAAAGTTTCTCCCAGTTTCCTGGCCAACAATCCCCAAATAAACTTGGTCTTTCGCTTTTGGGCTGCTTGTAGTCCACTGTTGTGCGAAAATTGGCTGCTGCGTTTACATTTCACAGTACATTTTACAGTATATCCTGTGAAGTGCTCCTCCTGACGTGAAATCAAACAAGGTTATTTTTAATTAAATATTTAGATAAATAGTATCTGCGCTGATTGTTGGGAAATCCTGTAAAGTTTCCGTTAGTGTGCAAAAGACTGCACCTGTTGTAACTGCTTGAAGAATAAGTAGTTAAATCTTCAGTCAATGCAATGCAGGCAACATCGATTTTTGAATTTAGTACTTCTGTTAAATTAATTAGAGCCCAATTAATTAATTGGATTGATCAGAATAGAGTAGGTATAACCTGATTTAGAACCATTTGGCATCATTGAATTAATAATATCAAAGCCCCTAAACATGTAAAATAACTACCCTGAAGCCATTTTTTTCTGTTCCTTGTCAGAAATCGCATTTCTTACACAATGGTGTAAAACAGATGTGTGTGCAGCCAGCAACCTTTTTATGTTAACATGCAAAATGTGTGCTTGGGAATAAGGTAATAAATTGATGAAATATAATGCTAGTATGATTTTACATAGAGTATTTAACACCTGGCACAGTTTGTAAATTATTTGTTCTTGCGCTCTTAGAAGATTGATCGTTTGGGTTTGGTGTTTGTAGACTGAATCAACATTCATTTGTTAAAAGCCTATGGAACAAGAAAAAAACTGCTGTATCCATTGAGCCTGGGGTTCTCCTGCCGACCCAAGTTCAATGTTCACTATCGGTGGTTGGGTTATCTGCCATCCACTCTGTGGAACTCTATTCCATAGTCCCTTTGACTTGCTCCCTCCTTCACATCGTTCAACATCTATTGCGAGGCCAACCTCTTTAACCGCGCTTTCCGTCATGTTTCCTCTTCCCACACGGAGCTGGGAAGCTATCCTGTGAAGCGCTTCGAGAAGTCCCAACGATGTGATAAGGCGCTATATCAAATACAAAGATTAATGTAAATGGACCCGCTAGGTGGCAGTAAAGACTTCTGCCTCTGTGCGGTGCTGCGTAAATGTTTCACGAATTAGACACAGGAGATTTCCAGTAATACTATTGTGAGTAGAGACTCACTTCAGAAGACCTAATGCACCATTATAAATGAATACGATAAAGCCTATTATTTTCACGGAGAGTTTAATTTCACTGATTTCATGGTTTTCAAAGCCCATGAAAATTACAGTCCGGTGAAAATTAATGCAAGCTATTAATAAGGCACCTTTTAGCATTCAGGGAAATTAAAATGCAACCGATAGGTCAGTATTTTTCAATCCATTAAATTTACACTCCAGGGTTTTACACAGTCTGTGATGTCTGGCAGCTGAGGGGATGGGGGGGGGGGTGGTGGGGGGGGAGACGGTGCGAGGCTACCTCTTGGTATCTGGAACTGTCAGAATGTCAGCCTGTGTGGAATTCAAATCGGATGTTTGCCCTTTTTTTCCGCAGCTCTGAAGTGATATGGAACAAAGCGAGAAGCATAAATTGAGCTTTCCGCTCTGCTTTGCTTTACTGGGAGGAAATGGCTTCCTTCCTAGCAGTAGAAATGAAGCATTAAATTTGCTTATAAACAAACTATTACTGTACTTGGATCTGTATTTTCTGTCCCCCACCCCACCGTCAACAATTTTCTGCTCTTTAGTGTAAATATTCCCAGCTTCCTTCCACCTGTGTCGTCACAAATTGGGTGAATAATTCCAACTATCTATCTTGTTGCTCTTCTCTGCACCCCTTCAATGCCGAGATGTTCTTACTGTTAATGCGACAACTAGAAATGTATGCAGGAATGAGTTCGATGTCCTATGCAAATGGGGCATCACTTCATGTTGCCAATGCTGTATCTTCCACTGCCTGCTGCCATGTGATCTATCCACGAGAAGCCCCAAATCTTTCTCGTATTTTGGTCTTATAACTGACACCTTTTCATTTATATATCCATTGTATATTTATCATGTGTAACGTTAGCTATATCCTGCTGGCACATACTGCACTGATTGTTCCTCAACCAATCCCCCAAATTTCTCTCCTGTTTGGAGTCCTCTAGTCTAGACTAATACCATTTAATTAATTTACCCACTTGTTGTTCTTCCCCTATTCTCATCTCTATGCATTTGTCCACATTAAATGGCATTTGCCACTTGCCAACCCAATTCCGTATTCTACGTAGATCTTCATTGTTTGGCCAGCCTCTTTGGCATACGGATACATGGACACTCGTATTTCGATCTCTTGCGATATCTTGATAGATATACTATATTATGAGTATCCTGTATGGGTGCAGTATTCCAAGGCACCGCTGGTGATAGCAGACAGCGTGGCTCATTGACAGGACTTGGAAGGGCAGACCAGTCAGTGGGGGCAGGTAATCCTCCCACTCAGCCCTGTTAACCTTGCAAGCCAAAGCCCTAAAGGCGTAGGGGGGTCCTAGCTGGACAAGCAGCGGGAAAGCTTACCAGACAGCGCATCCTGGTCTTCTTTACAAATACTTCTTTCAACATGAAATCGAAATGGGTCCAATGCATTTAGTGAATAAGACAGCCTTAAGTGACCGAAGATTTAATCCGATTTTCTTTTAATGGTCCCAGAGGCCACTTGGAATTATTAATTAGCTCCTTGAGTACTGAGTGTTCTTTTCAGCTCTCACATTAACCTACCAATTCTCCTTCGCCTGGGACCCACAGGAAAGAAACTCTTCTGCACATTTCCAATTGCAACCTTCGGAATAAAATTAGAAACATTTGCCGGGCAGAGCTAATGGTTGTAATTAGCCTCGCGCTACCACCTCAAGGATCTGGATTCGGCCCAGACTCACACTATGACTTCCCCTGTGCCTCGACGCGATGACTGAGGGTTTCCCTCCAAAACAGGTTTGAACGTAGTCTCTGCTCAGTCCTTTAATGAGCTAAAAGTCAATGGCACAAAACAGCCGTCTCGCAACGCAAACTGAATTATTTCAACAGGGAGAGCCACAGAACATCTGATGTGAATAGTGCTGCAGCCGGGCAGAGTTTGACATGCATTTGCACATTTCCAGTTGCAATCTTCTGAATAAAATTAGCAACATTTGGGGCAGAGCAGAGGAAGCTTTACCTCGGATCTGATCTGTGAGAGTCTGACGCTGACACTTGGTGTGAAAGATACTCCAACCCACCCAGCACTGGCTTGTATCTTCTGTAATTCACTTCCACTTGTCTCCACCCAATTCCGACTTTCTCCTTGTCGAGCTGGTTCCTCGACAGTCTCTCCCAGTGTAAATGCCATGACTTGCTCCCTTATTTCATTCCTGCCTGAATCAGCCTCCACTGGTTCTCCTCAGCCTAGTTTTTGTTGAGACTAAAGTATGTAAAAATCTTACTTTAGTATCTTTCAATGTTACGATTGATTGACTTAATCTTGCCTCTGGTGTTGACTGGTACCAGTAAGTATTGCGCACAGGAGTGTCCAACAAACAGTCGTGGATTGAGTGAAGAATTTTTTAAAAATGTATTTAAATCTCACTTATCTTTAAAGACCTACCAGTCTGATAACCTCCGCTCTCCCTTCTCCCTCGCTAGGCACTGTGCAGCGCTACAAGACACATCCCTGCATGAAGGGCACTGTAGAAATGAAAGTTGCCGTTGTAACGCAAGAGTTACGGGTTCAGAGTGTTGACTGCTTTCTCTGCTCTACACGACACAGAATATTGGGTAGACAGCGAGGAGAGAGAATGGAGAAGCAAGAGAAAGGTGGATAATGAAGTACAGAAAGAGACAGAGAAAAAGAGGCGAGGAAAAAGTAGGCAGGGACAGAGGGACAGAGTGCATCTGGCTCTTGTCCAGTTTATTCAACTGTGCTGCGGTGCTGATATTTTTATTGCACATTAAGCCGCAGTGCTTTGCTAATGCTCTCTGATACTCAGCCCCATCAAAATAAAATGCCAGTCTTCATCAAATGTTCCTGGATGTCAGAAAATTATCAGAGAGTAATGATTTCCACTGGCCCTAATTCGACCTTTTACAGAGAATCTTTCAATTTATTTTGTTAAAAGAAATAATTATTAGATACTACAGAGTACGTGACAACATGTAATTAAATCCAATCAAATGCACTTTTGCATCATTACACAGCTGGGTGCGTTTAATGTAGCCCATGTCTGCTTGTTACTTTGACATTTATTAGAGTCAATTACAGGAATGCTATGTCTGCTGGAAATGCAATGCGCCCCCGTTAGCTTTAGTGTGTGTTGAGTTTACTCTGCAGCTAGACACAGGGATAGCGTGCGTTGTTCAATAATGGTGAGTGTGACAGGTATCAGACCCACGGGGGGTGTTCCAGATATCCCCAGTCCCTTCTTAAACACAAAAATGCTCTAAATTGTATTGTATTTCTCTATTCTGTATCATCTGCCAAATCGTCCTAGTTTGTTTTGGTGAGGGGCTAGCGAGGTTCAGAGGTGTGCAGCTCTGGACTTAGCTCAGTGGAGTGAAGATGATGAAATGACCATTAAAGTCACAATGCAGTTTCTCTGCAGTTAGCAAACTTGCTGTGGGTATGAAGCAGTCGACAAAGAAGCAGCTGACACGTAAAGCACCACTTCAGTTTTAAACTGTCCAGAGTCCTGCACTTGAGGTGTTATAATAATAATAATCCTTGCATTTGTTGTTGTCGATTGTGC